GATGGAACATACGTCCAACATTCTCCTCCACACCCTCTCTCTCCCCCGCCATAATCCCCGCAATTCCCCCAAACACAGCTGCCGTCCTCAATGGCGGCGCCACGAAATTCCTCTCCCCATCAATCTGCTTCATGAATACCCCGATCTTCAGCGTACTATTGATCTTACTATCCTGCAACAGATACCTCCTCACCACCCCCTCTTCCCCATCGACCTGATCGCTCTCCTCTACATATTCCGCGAGATTCAGCACCACATGCCCCAGTGGTACGCGCTCGACCTTTGTAACGGTGCCCGAGTGGAATTCTTGCAGGATCTCGAAGTGGATGGGACATTCGGACAGATTGTTGCTCTTGTCGATGGTGAGGCGTACGGGGAAGGTGCGCGCGTAGTCGAACTGTACTTTGTGCTCTGTTATGGGACAGCGCTCTGTGCGGCCCGTGTGCTCGCCGCTGGTGGCAGAGGAGGAGGGGAGGCTGTATTTTATGAAGGCGGTGCCGGTTACGAGGGGGACGTTGTTGAGATCTATTATCTGTTGTTTTGGTGAGTACTCTAGGCCTGGTAGCAAGGTAGGTGGGGAAGGACAACGTACTCGTAGGGTGAGGTCGAATTTTGGCTGTGCTAGATGTTAGTTTTGTTTACTTTGGGGTGAGGGGGATGGTGATGTTTTGTTCGGACCCTGCGAGACTTGGGGACTATGAGTTTTGTCAACATGATTAGTATTGTTCTGGGGTGAATATTTGCACATGAAGGAGATATAATTACTCAATGGATTATTCATGGTCACAGTACAGTTGCTCTTGAGCAATCCGTTTGTGGAAGTTGCGAACGTGATGTCTAATGGTTTCCCTTGATGGAATGCATGTTCGGATGGCGAGGCTGAATGACGTCTATAGAACGGAGTAACGGAGTTACACTACAAATATTCTAATCGCCCATGATTATCGTTGCACGTGATAGACTGTGAATCCAGTTCAGTCTTAGCGTTGGTTTATGGCTGAACTGGCCATATTCATGAATGAACCGGAACACATATCTGACGGCATTTATATGTTGCAGTAGCAAGGCCAGAGGTATTACAAGCATCAGTTGAGTGCAAACTACATGGCTGATCCAAAACTTGCATCCTCTCAAAGCTATCAACCGCACCTTGAATCCAGTTCACGATCGTCAGATGCACCGAATCAAAATTTCAGACTTCCACGCAGCCCCAAGCCGAGGTATTACTTACGACTAGATGATAACAGAGACCATGTCGCAGATTCGTAGGCAGCAAATATCCATGTACTGTATATTCTATCACCTGGGTGCGATTCGAGAGAATGCAGCGCATTAAAGAGTGGCTGAAGCTATATTTTTTAAAAGTTACCTTACACCAAGATCTCCTCGCAAGGCTACCTAGGTATGTTTTGGCAGGCAGGTAGTCTTCTCAATAGAAATTACAATCCGCACCTTTCGCGTGGAATTAGTCGTAGAATATACGGAGTAGTAAGGAGTTGTGACTTGCAAAGTGTATTTGTGTCGAGTCTCCTTTAACAGGCAGCACTTCGTACACTAAACTACTACTGTACTCGTACCCCTGAGACGATTCTCGAGACCGCATCACGTGCGCGAACATGGTTCGTTTTTCAAAATGTCACTTGTTTGTTTCATACAGTAGAGTAGGAGGTCAATGAGTAGGCACCGGCCCAGCTTGCGCTGCATAACCTGAAGGCGGCAGTGGTTGCGCTGCATGTGGCTGCGGAGAGCCCATCTCACTCACATTCCCCGACGGAGGTTGAGTTTGCGAGCCATACGTGTGCGGACTCGCGAGTTCGCTGACTGTAGGAACTGGTGATTTGGGAGTCTTCGCATTCGCATCGAGAATGGTTTGTTGGTCTTGCTGCTGCGCGAGGTTGTGATGAGGGGTGTTTTTCTCAGGGGTAAAAGGACCGCTCACGCTCATGGGTGAGACGGGTACTGGTGCGGGACTTGGGATTGGAGCCCATTGCTGGTCTGGAGACAGGGTCTGTGGTTGCTGGTAAGGACCGGTGGTGTATTGTGGTGCGGGTTGGGAATATCGCGGGTCAGCTCCTGGTGGTTGCATGTATTGTCCGTATGCTTGCTGTATGGGTCCTTGTTGCATCGGTGCTGGTGGGGATACTTGGTTCTTCTTATTCTTCTTCCTGAGGCAGAAGACCCAAATCAGGAGACCAGCGATGGCAATTGCTGCGAATGGCCCGACAACCACACCTGCGATCCATGCTTTGCTGCTATTTTTCTTGGGGGTCGGAGTTGGAGCCGGGGTAGGAAACGTAGTTTGACCGCCAGGAGGAACGGTGACTGTGGTCGGGGCCGAAGAGAAATCTGTAGACGAGGGGCTAGAAGGGATAGTCGTTTGTGCTAGATTGAGGAGGTCTGTCAAAATATTTCTTTTTTAATTTTCACCTATTGCATACCTGCTGAATTCGACGCCGGCATGTTTTCATAGAAGTTTGTTTGCACACCATCGGTATCACAGCCAATCCAAAGGGTAGGATTAGCATCATTCGCTGTTTGCAACACGAAGTCGGTATTGCATGTATATGAGCTATGAAAGTTAGTAAAATTTGCCAACCCAATTCCAGCTCAACAGACGCACCATGAATATGGCCCATCTCCATACATGGCATAGGCACCAGAACAAGCCGTCGCGAAGCTATTACGCCCACAAGCCCCTAGCGCTGTATCGCAGCATACTCCATACGATGCAGAAGTCGTGAATGTTCTGCCTGCCAGACATTCCGCAGTCTTCCCTTGAAAACAATTATTATACATACTGTCTGTTCCTCGGACCTCACTCACATGACAATGCGCCGGACGAAGAGTAGTATCCAACAAAGCCTTGCGGGTTGTCGGCTTGCCTTGGGATTACTGCTGCTGCTGTAATTATCAGAGCACGCTCAGCAACAACATGAGCAGAAACGCCACCCAGACATGTTGAGAGAGCAACTATCAGACGTGAAGTAATCATTTTGATATTTTCAGCCTTTGTATAACAAAAAGAGAAATGTGAAATCAAATAAAAAATGGAAGTAGATCCATCATGGTACCTCATATACTTTACTGGCGAAAGCATGATTAGCACAGCCCGCATGTTAGAAGAGTTTATTGCGCTCAGCCGCAAGCCTCAAAACAAAAGATTGGTCAAGTGAGTCGAATGCCAATTTTCAATATTTGCAGGCCGACGCCTCGAACCATCGGATTTGATGAGCTGTGAAAGCGACGTGCGGCAGGGCTGAAACTAGTCCGTGGAGAGTCATGTTCACCCCTTGGCAGCGGGATGTAGCTGGTAAATTTCGAGTTTATTCTGTCTCCAAGACTTTGACCCCTCTTCAATGTCAACTCCACGCGGGAGTCGTCGGTAGAGAATTGACTGCATATAACTGATAGGAATCAGGACCCGGGTTTCGTATTCCCCGTTCTTTCCTGCCTCCTAGTTGAGGTTTTATTGATATGACTAGAAGAAGAAGTTGTACATCAGACGCCAAGAAGCGGCTGAAGGTTGTACTGCACGTTCTAAACATGTCGAGTACCCGAATCAAACAAACAACGACATCGAGAGTAACATACTCTTCGTAGGCTCCGCCGCATCGGTAGCATTTAGGCAAGCTTGCGGATAGTCGAGATCTCGGAAAAATCTGTGAAGTATAAATTGCTAAAGGCTCAAATGTTGAAGATAGACAAATGTATTTTAGCGAGAGCACTGAAGAGATAGACAGGAACGCCAAATAAGTCAAATACTTCACTGCTGCAGAGCAATACTCAAGCTCTGCCATTGCGGCTCAAACGTCGGAGTGAAAAGAAGAGACTTTAACGAAGGAAGTTATTCAGCAAAATAATAAGGCCAAATCTAGGCCCCACTAGAGCTTATGCATATAAACCTGGGGAAATTCCGCCACTTCAGATCCAGATCCAATTTGACTCCGGCCAAGCGTTGTTCTATTCGCCATGATATCGTACAAAGGCAAGCTGTTTGTTCGTTCATCTAACCCCATATCCTCCACATTACGCTCTCTCGCTACCTCTCAACCTGACCGCTTGACCGTACTTCTGTAGCTTGGTGATAAGCTGATCACCCTGCTTAACCACATCGTTATATTGCTTGTTCTTGGAGTCGGGTCTGTTGGTCTCGATAATACCCTTTCCAGTCACACGGTCGATAGTACACGGAATGCGTTCTGCGGCAATGAACTTGGCCAGATCACTGTAAATGGTTAGTAAAAGAACTGGAAGTTTGAAAAGGGTGATAGCATACCGGTCCAAGAAATCCACGGAAACGCCAAAGTCATTAGCCATACTCTCAAGCCCAACAACACGATAGCTTTGCAGCAGTTGTTGGTAAGCACGAAGACGCATCTCTCTAACAAACCAACCTCTGTGCTCGTAAAGGTATCGGTCCTGGCTTAGAAAGTTGACCTCCACAGCTGCCAAAGCACCAAAGAAGTCACGGTAACTCCCAGTGTACAGACTGCTCACAAGCTGTGCAAGCGGCGAAAAATCGACCGCGACTTCAGCCTCTGGTTGGTCGCTTCCGAGGGTGGTGAGGTTGACGACGGTTCTGGCACCTGATGGTGTTGCTGAAGAGACATCCTCCATCTCCTCATCAGCTCCTGGACCAGCTGAAATCGCCCCCGAAAGCGCATCAAGCTTGTCATCGCCATCACCTAGAATAGCCTTGATCTCTGGCGCATCAACAACCTTTGTCTTAAAATCGACTCGCTTTAACGAAACAGATCCAGCCAAGACGGCATAGACGACGAGGGAAGAGTAGGAGCAAAGTTCGTAGCTAGTGAAAGTAGAAAGACTGTCGAGAAGGAGAGGAGCGGCCAAGTTGTAGGATCGAGCTGTGAGGAGATAGAGTCCCTGGTATGCCTTTAATCGATTCCTTCGGTCCCAGTCTCCTCCACTCTCAACCAACGCCTTCGCCCGATCCACATGCTTCTTCACCAATAACTTGTCGCCGTAAAATAGACCCATTCGAATGATAGCGAGCACGAGATCAATCTTCGTTCCCAAAACGCCTGTCTTTTCGAATACCTCTTCGTAGGCTGCAATCGATTGGTCCTAAGCCAACTTGTCAGCATTCCATATAATCTCTAATAGCCATAATATTGCAAACCTTGTCTCCAACTCGAGCCCAGAACTCCGCACGCTTTCCTCTAGCAGCCTGTACTTCGGTTTCCCCAGCCTTCTCTTCCGCCTCCTCTTCCTCCTTCTTAAACGCCTCCAACTCCTCGTCATTCTCCTTCTTCAACTTCTCATATAGAGCCTCGTCCCACGGTAGGTCGATCTTGGGTATTGAGTTCTTGCTTGCCACCATACCAGCAGCGCTAGCTTTTCGTCCAGGCGGCTTTGTAGAATGCGTAGAGCTTACCCCGGTGGCGTTGAGGATGCCTTCTGAAGGGTGGGCCAGATACCGGTATAACGGCGCCATCTTGTGCTCGGCGATTGCATCTTGTAGGCTCTTTAGGGATGTTTGCTGGATGGTTTTGGGCGAAGAAGGGTTGGTGAGAGTGAAGATGTGCTGGGCGAGAGGGAGGAGAGGATACTTCGCATATTGGGGATCGGAACCCATCTTGAGCTGCGAAGTGGGATGTTGAGGATAGTGGGATGGGGTGATATCAAGAGATTCGTGACTTGTAGTGCTTGGTGTTGTTGCATTTATTGTTAATCGGCTTTGAAGGCTGCATGAAGCTCCAGGCTACTAGCGCGACACGAGTCGGCCGGGGTGAATCCAAAGCTTCCAAACGTGACCTCATCCAAACCCAAACCTTCCACTAAAACTTTTATAACATTTAATTACAACCAAATCGAACGTTTTTATACGTTCATTTCAAAGCTTTCAAAGGTGGTACATTCGTCCAATCATTCAAGATGGCAGGCGCAGATGGCTCTCCAGTGGACGACCAACCCCAGCCTTTCAACGCAACCAAACTCGAGCCAGCAAAGAAACGCAAAAGATCACGCTCGCCCTCTGGATCAACTCCCAAACGTCTTTCAGCGCACACCGATTCCCGGCGCTCTCTCTCACCCAATCCTCAAGAACGCCAGCGAACGCCCTCACCTTCTTCCCAAACCCGCAAGCAGAAGCGTCCGGGCCAGCGAGCACGAATCACCGACGCAGAGCGCGAGCACATACGCCAGAAGCAGATTGAGCGGGAGAAGGAGATCGAGGTCGCGAATGCAAAGCAGGGGATTCATGATGCCGTTAAACAACATTATAATGCTGTTCCTGAGCGAGGCCGGGACTGGCGCAAGACAGATAGTCGTATTAAGGGATTGAGAAGCTTTAACAATTGGGTCAAGAGCACGATAATTCAAAAGTTCTCGCCGAATGAAGACTACACTCCTGGTGCACAAGAACGGGGTGGGATGGTCTTTGCGGAAGGTCCTACTGAGGCGAAGGGTCTGCTGGTTCTTGATATTGGGTGTGGGAAGGGAGGGGATCTGGGGAAGTGGCAACAGACGCCGCAGAATGTGGAGCTTTACGTTGGCTTAGATCCGGCAGATGTTTCAATTGATCAGGCTAAGGAGAGGTATCGACAGATGGCGAGTCGTGGCGGAGGTGGTCGAGGCGGACGGGGACGAGGAGGTTATAACAGCAGACCACCACCAAGACTATTCCAAGGAGAGTTCTACGCACAAGACTGCTTTGGCGAATCAATTGAAAAGGTCTCACTAGTCAGAGAAGTGGGCTTTGACGGTTCTGGCGGTCCATCTCGCTTTGGTGGAGGTGGATTCGACGTAGTCAGCATGATGTTCTGCATGCACTATGCTTTCGAGAGCGAGGAGAAAGCCCGAACCATGCTCAAGAACGTCGCAGGTGCGCTGAAGAAGGGAGGCCGATTCATTGGCTGCATACCCAATTCAGATGTCATCAGTGAGGAAGTCCGGAAGTTCAACGAACGCATCGCCGCTAAGCCAGATGAGGAGAAACCCGCAGAGGACGGAGAGAAGTCAGAGAGCAAAGAACTCGGGGAGCTAGAGGAAGGCGAAGCAGAAGAGACCGCCGAATGGGGCAATGACATCTACCGCGTCCGCTTCCCCGGCAAGACGCCAGCCGATGGTATCTTCCGGCCCCCCTTCGGCCAAAAGTACAACTACTTCCTACACGAGGCCGTCGAGGAGGTACCGGAGTACGTTGTGCCGTGGGGAGCTTTCCGTGCGCTTGCCGAAGACTTCAACCTCGAAATGCAGTACCAGAAGTCGTTCGACGAGGTCTGGAACACGGAGAAAGATGACGAGGTTTTGGGTCCTCTGAGTGAGCGGATGGGCGTTAGAGAACGCGGTCGTGGTCCTCTGCTTGTCAGCCCTGAGGAGATGGAGGCTGCTAGCTTTTATGTGGCGTTCTGCTTCTACAAAGTCTAGTAGTCCTTCGGGTGGCGTTGGTTAGTTTGAATGGGAGGTTCTCCAGTGTATTTTATCCTCCTTTGGGGCTGGTGATACAGGTATTTTTCGGGGATCGGGTTTTATGCATAAGGGGATGGAGCATACTAAAAAGCATTTATGGCGAGGTCATTCTACGACTGCCGAATAGATTTATAGCTTTAAATCGATACGCGAATGCAATATGAATGATTTTCAAGAACAAGGGACGATTTGTGTCACATGTGGATGGTTCACAGAGCCGCAGGAGAAAATCAAAGCTCTCGATAGGACATTTTCAACGGAGGTTACGGGATCTTTGCCGTCATTTGATTCATAAATCCATTCAGGGATTCTAATCACACCTACCACCAGTACTCAATTTCAACAGATACCATCTACCTACATGCGTGAGCGTATCATCTGAACTCATCCATTAATTCCTTGTGAAACTTCGCAATACGACCCACCCACTCAGTACCAGGCGCCAAGAAGGTAGTTCTGAAATGCAGTGAGCCGGCTTTTTGCCCAAAGCCGGAGCCAGCTACGACACAGATTCCGGTGGCATCGAGCAGGCGGAAGGCGTAGAACTCATCTGGGGAACGACCTTCTTTCTTGGCTGCCTCGATGGCTTTGGGTGAGAGGGTGATGGTTGGGAAGAGGTACATAGAACCCTGATAACTGTTAGTGTTGAAAGGATGTTGGGTTAGATAGATTCAAACTTACTTGAGGTTCGCCGCACTCAACACCTTCCATATCCTTGAACGCCTCGTATAATGCAAAAGCCCTCTTTTCCAGCCCAGAAAAGATGCCATCATACTCCTGCTTGTACAGCTCGTAACTCGGCTCTCCCTCTTTTGGGGGGTTGATCATCAACTCCACGAGACATTGTCCGATAACAGGCGCGCACAAGCTAATAGACACAAACTTGTAGATCTGCTCCTGGACTTCTGGGTCAATGCCCACCAGCTCAAAATATCCCCCACGGTGCCCACACTCTCCGATAATACCCTTAGAAACACTGTGCAGCGAAGCTAACTCCACATGGTTGTATTTTTTTGGGTCGGCCTTCTGCATCTCCCTCAATACGCCTTTGAAGCTGTGGAATTTGCCTTTGAAGACATTGGTCTGATAAACCTCATCTGCCATAATCACAAGCTTCTTTTCAGCGGCAAAGTCAATGACTGCCTTCACATCCTCTGCTGATAGACTTGCACCAGTTGGGTTGCCCGGGTTGATTATGACGATTGCGCGGACGTCTGTTCCTGCTGCTACCGCTTCCTTGTATGCACCTTTTATGGCTTCCAAGTCTGTACCCCAGTTCTTGGACTCGTCGAGGTAATAGGGAACGCATTGTGCGTCGAGGACTGAGAGGCATGCAGTGTAGAGCGGGTATTGGGGGATGGGAACCAAGACGCCGGTCTTTGGCGTGGCGCAGATGATGTGGAGAAGGGTGCTGACACCTGAAGAGGCACCTGCAGAGAGGTAAATGTCTTTTGCTTCAGCAGAGTGGCCGTCACGTTCTGCGACTTTTGTTAGAGCTGTATACCGTGGTTTTAAGATTGGTACCTACGTTCAAGAAACCTGGCAATACTCTCCCTGATTCCCGTGGCTCCAGGACTGGCACTGTATGCACCAACGGAGCCAACAGTCTTCAGGAGCCACTTTGCCCTCTCAAGAACATCAGTCTTGTATCCCAATTGATTCACCAGCACATCCTCCTTCTCCAAAAGCGCGGGGTTCTCCAGCAAGCTCAATACTTGTCTGAAAAACGTGATTGGCTTCTGGTCCAACTGTTGGGGGTTTCCGATATTGGCAGAGATGACTTCGTCGAAAGGAAGTCCGTGAGAGTCTTTTGTGAGCTGTTCTCTGTATTCCTCTGACCGTACGGCGAGCTCTCCTCTCACGGCATATTTCGCCTCCTTGACGCGGGGGTTGATATTGTCGATGTTCAAGCGTCGAAGTGGGGCAGTGGTCGACATTGTGCGCCGTATCGGTTGTAGGTACTTGGAGGGGGGTTGAAGTGGATTGGAGGATCTATCTGAAGGTACTGTATATAGAGTCAGATCAGCCGGTTATTCACATGAGGGGTATTAAAGATTTCGAGGCTGGAAAAAAGAAGTTTGAAAAACAGTGTGCACAGCGCATGACCCCGCCCCCACCCCCACCAAGGTACATGATACCTTAGTTGGGTATAGCAGTAGGGGTCCTTAGGTACAGTAGGGCTGGATGGAAGGAATAAAGCGCAGATGGCGATCCGATCCGATGGCGAGATCGGAAACTTGCCCTGCTCTTCCCCATGAAATGGATAAATAGAAATATTCTCCGTTGGGCCGTTGGAGTTCCTACATACCCGAAGATCTGTTGAAGCAGTATGAATTGGGGTAAAAGGAAGAAGAGAAGTATTTATTCCCGCGCGAGGGGATTTGCTGGAATCGCATTCGTTTACTCGTGCATGTCCAACTTAATGACGCATTGAGGGGAACCATATCTCTTGCAGGCGGGTTGATCTGAGATCCCGGATTGCTCTTGCGGAAGCTACCACCAAGGGCCTGGCTTTATTATTTTAGGCTCTTGCGCCGTTCAGCGAGTCGGAAGAGTTGGGGGTTTTCGTGAGCGCATTCATATCGACATGACAGGCGGGTTTGATCGGAGCAGGGGATATTCGATTGGAAGCAAAGATGCATCAATAATGCTCCGCGTGCCTTTTCGGGAATGTTTGTTTGCCAGAAGATGCTGTTGAGGAGTTGTTGAGCATTTAATTGGGCTAAGCTTATACGGTACGGTGTAGAGAGATAGTGATTGACGATAGCGACAGATAAGACAAAAGTGGCATCTGTCCCGTACAGTACCAAGTAAATGCAAGACTTCCAACAGTTTTCGTCCTCTTTCTTTTCTCTTTCTTTTTATTATAATACAACGTGGGATAACATGAGTCGAGCTGATTTTACCTAATCATTTTACTTAATTATGCTACGCTTAATGACTTTATTGACCGTCAAGTGCTGCAATGCTGGTGTATTTCTTAAGGTACCTAGGTATCAAGGAGCAAGCTTTTGAAGTACTCATCCGTAGCAAAAAACAGCAATAATTAAACCGCGGCAGATAAGAATAGATTATATCCTATGTACAGCAGGACTAAAATCAAGGCGCTGAAGACCGAAAGTTTGCTAAAAGAACCAGAGTTGTGGTACCCTATCTATTTACCAACTCCCTAGTAATGAGCTAAACTGACATCTGGGTCCGCGATATGCAATAAATACACTGTAAAATTTCCTATACGGGAATATGGCTTCCCCCTAACCCTTCCATGTGGTACTAAATTGATACTCCCGAAACAGCGATGCGCAACAAACATGCTTGAAAACTTCTTGAACTACCTAGGTAGCATAGGAAGATAGAAATGCTTTTCTTTTCGCTTAAACAATAGGGGTCTTCACTTCGCTTCGCTTCCCCCTTTCCAATTTATTCCCCACCAAAAAACTAAAGACATCAAAATAAACAAAACATCAAGTACAAAAAAGACAACCCCTACAAGTACAAACCGGTAAAGTGTTAAGAAAGATGATAACCTACCTTTTCACACCCTCCCAAATTATAAAAGCGAAAAAGCAAAAAAGACGAGCCAGGACACCCCGAAGGATAAAGATCATTAAGTTAAACCTGGCTGTTTGTACACAATTATAAACACGCAAGTGGCCAACTTACGCGGTGTACGGAGAACATTCTTGCTTATTTCATTACTTATATCCTTAGGTACAGACATTCAATCATAGACTGCAGACGCCGCAAATTCCCCGTTTCGGTATTCTCAGGGAGACCGCTTTTGACGTTGGCACAAAACGCGCCTTCTGAAACTAAAGCCACTTATTTTACAGACGGTATTTTAGCCTTCAAAAACACCAAATCTCTGGGGATTTCCGTGCCCTTTCCCCTCATCGTGTGCTTCAATATGGGATTCTTCATCTCTCGATCAGAGTGTTTCTACTCTTCCCGATTCGATATATCTTTCGAGTTTGCTTCTCAGGCCGAGGTTCCGAATCTCCGATTTACAAAAGTACAGAAGGAGTTCATCGTAGTGAAAGGTACTGCAATCACACCCGAGTATGTGGCCTTGATACAGATCAAAATACTTGAGCCCGCTGGTAGCATTACCGTCATAGATATTAATAGCGCAGAACTTGTTTTTCGGTATCACCCAGGGCTACATATGCATGTACTGTACCTAGGTGCATATGTCTTCATCTAGGTCGTAAACGCGCATATGACATGTTCGATCAGCGCAGTGAGCTAGAGCAAATGTCAACTTGCCAAATAGCATATTGAATCTCTTGGAATGGCATGGGAAAGCTTTTTTATGCTCGGTCCGCTGTGGTAGCAGTAGCGGGGGAGGACAGAATAATGCTGCTCTGCTCATTGTGCTAACATATACTATCACTCGATGGGAAGGTTTCAATTGACCAAGCAGTTGCATCACGAGATCAAAGATGGAGGCTATGTAGACTATCTTTCGTGTGAATTGGTTGACGTGTAGGTGGCAAATCGAAGCAATGGCTGATTGATAATTATTCGAATATTCACGTTTATATTACATACTACGAGAGACTTCCACAGCAACCGAAGAAGTGTAGTCCATATGTTGTTTTCAGGCTTCTACAAGTAATGCGTTCGAAATAAAGCCATTGGATTGATATCTGACAGCTGCTCCCTCCCTGATCTGAACTGCAAATTAAAGCGCCAAGCCATTCATGTCCTTTCCATCGATCATACAATTGTGTAACCATCTGCAATCACTTTTGGACCCCACCAAGATCTTCATCTTCATTTTCATGACTAGCGAGACATACAATGTAATAGTAACCCCTATCAAAATCTGCAAATAAACCAGGTTCGTCGATCGAGAATGCGAGCCAGTTCCATGCATACGGCAACCACACTTAGAAGTATCTTAATACTGCAGTGAGAAAATGGCCGTGGCTTGTGACTCTACCCTATAACCAATGTTGAAGAAGGGCTGTCGCCATTCATTGCCTCACCCCATCCACCACAATAGCAACAAGTTTGAATTCCGGAGTAACAATGTCGTAATCATCGTCGTAATAACTTATAAGTTCATCTCTGACTGTACATAAGGACTTCCATTCTCCTGGTGTCGCTTCGTCTTGGTCCAGATCGACAAATTCAAATGATCCATCACCCGGGAGCAGCTTCCCGCAGTAGTACAAGTAAACATCCGTGTTGATATGAGCACCATGATCCTAAAATAACAAAAGATTGAACCGAATCTCGTATGCAATTGAAATCATCAAGTCACTATCAGACGGATCGAAGTAAACATTAACAGCCCAAGCAGGGGTTTGATCCAGACGCCATAAACACGCATGTGCGTTAGTTTCGAATTGTCCCATGGGGCATATTCGATCAGCCTCGAAATTACTGTAAATTCTTGCGAGAGTGGTAAGTTTGAGGCTACCTGCTAGGTTGATCTCCGTACCAAAGCTCAACTTGTAAAACTTGAGAGCAATGGTTCGAGATTCTTGATTTGCGTGTAGAATACCGGGAACTGGACGAGTAGAACAGAACTAGAAAGGGATGAAGGTGATGGGTCTATCGGCCTGCCTTCGATGTAACGTCATTTCCTCTCCGATTGTTGGCGCCCATATATCGAGATTGCGAGGCAGATTTGCGGCGCGCTCCCAGACCATATTCCGAAGTTCCGGCGCCATCTTTGGAAAGCACGTGAAGGTCCGGTCTGTCATGGAGCTAAGGCTGTTCTCGTTGCTGGTGTCTGGAGGGGGGGTTCGGTAGCCATCTTAGATGTTGTTGTCGAATGAAGTTAGTTGAGGATGATCGAAGGTCGAGTTCGGCGCAGTCAAGAGGGGGGATCGTGATTCTTCGAGGAAAGTCGCAAGTCCAAGTTTATGCTCGAGTAGCTTCCTGACAAAATGCAAATCGATCGTGTTGCAAGTTTTCGAATGTGGATGTCAAGTTGTCAAGAGACGTCGAGGAGACAATGAATGCGTGAAACTCAACATCTTAGCCGAGCCGATCCATCCTACCTACAAATAATTTACACCGCCCAGGCTCACTATTCAATTACCTACAACACACTTTCGTCGATTGCACCATGTTGTACGTACGACAAGTTTCCAAATGAACCCACCGCAGGTAATTGGGTAGAAAATGGATATGCCAGGGGTACCTCATACCTCTTGGCTCGCCATCGATTAGTAGATGCTATCAATTATTCACAGCCTTCGAGCGCGCAAGGCCACTTCCTCATGATTCCCAACGTTGGAGCAGGCATCTTAATTCATGATGTTAAAGTCAATTCATATGAAGGAAAATATTGTGGTTCGCGGGTCGTTGCAAGTGGCGTGAAGTTCCGCATCCATTTGAATCTGAATTTCAATATAGTCACATCTAGGCTCAAGAATGTTTCTGTTGCCAGATTTTTATTACAAGAAACCAAGATATAATAAGCAGACTTCGCAAAATATCCCCAAAACTATCTGTCACCAAACAATTCCTTTGAAAACATTCTGCATCCAAAAAAACAGTTGGATCTCCTCCGTTCCGCTCTCAAAACTAGCCATTTGGTGCCAAAGCCATATGCTGACCTTTTCCATTAAAGGATTCAGATTGCGAAAGGGCCACTCGATCTTTGGTAGCTTCTTGTACTTTGTTTCCCCAAGCCCGACCAAGTCGAGCGTTATAATGCAACCATAGGTAGTCTCGGCAATACCAACAAACGGTGAGTTAAGCGAGGTGGCCCGAAGAAGGGGGGGCCCCGAAGGGTGGTGGGGGACTTAAGTCAGGTAAACCTGCAAATAGATGTCCCTACTTATTTCAAATCTCACTTTTTAATTATATACCAAATAACTAAATGGCAGAATTTCAAGACCTGATCACTGAGGTTGCGGCATATCTGGAGACATATATGAAGAAGTACGACGGCTCCCACGATTTTCATCATCTTGAAAGAGTTTTGGGATTATCCCACACCATTTACGAAAAGCTCAAAACAACAAAATCAGCGTCCTCCGTACCCCAACTAGCTCTAGATCCCACGATCATAACACTCTCAGCACTTCTCCACGATGTAGGGGATAGAAAATATCTGCAAAAAGGCGATGATCCAAGTATCATGGTGCGAGATCTGCTTCTTGGATTTGGCGCCGAGCAGGCCCTAGCAGAGAAGGTGCAGATTATCTGTAGCGGAGTGTCGTACAGCTCGGAAATCAAAGACCGTGATTACGTCAAGACGCTCATTGCTCAATACCCGGAACTAGCCATAGTACAAGATGCGGACCGCCTCGATGCCATCGGTGCTGTTGGCGTAGGACGTGCCTTCACATACGGCGGTGCTGTTGTTAATCCAAGCAGACAGGATATGGAGGGCTCGATCGCGATGTTTGAGATAAAACTTTTTAAATTGGAGGGGATGATGAAGACGGAACCGGGGATGCAGATGGCGAAGGAGAGGATTGCTATTTTACGGACCTTTCGGAAATGGTGGGATAAGGAGGTGAAAGTTGCAGATTTAGGAGCATCGATCTTGAGTTCTGCAAGCCAATCACACACCGAGTGAAGTGGCAGAAGTATAGGCCCAGCCTTTGCAGTAATTTCCAAGGAAATCTATAAAATGAACTGCGGGTGACTAAAACCTTGTTGTTGTTCGTGGAGGTTGCAAATTGTCTCAGAACTTAAGGATGACCAAAGACAAAATTCTATTATCGGCCACCTTAAGTGATACGTAGTGGTGCTGTTCAAGCTACAATGCGGTTGGAACCAATACTGCAATGCGGTTGGAACTAATACTTCATGTTGCGCAGACCAATCGAGCCCTCATGATACACGTGGACGCTATGGACTAGCGTGCTGATAAAGTCTGCCATCATGAATATAATATTATCCTGATCATTCCTTCAATCCCCAGCTGAGCCGTGAGTATGGATAGACATCACGAATAATAAGACTACAAACAAAACCAATAGTAGACTTGTGACTTGTGATATCACCCCCGTAATACCAACAAAACTAGAAATATTATTAATATTGCAGTAATCATATTCCCCATACAGTAGTAATTGCTCACGTCCGTAGACTAGAACGGAACCAGCCCCAGCGAAAGGGAAAATTAATCCTGAGTTTACCGGTATTCAAGGATCTATTCAGCCTATTAATTAGTGCTTCCTTCAAGTAATTGATTTGATAAAAAGATAGTGCACGTGGGAAACAAATATCTTCACTCAACTATAGCCAATAAGGAATCATGTAAAGAAGTATATAGTAAGTCAATCCTGTTGGGATATATGTCACGTGGTATACGTGACTTAGTATCAATGACTAAGCAGCGATGAGGCTATCCCCACATCGCTGCAACCTTAGCTAGAAACCTCTTCTACACCTAGAAATGCAACCATGAAAACCACAGATTACTAGGCCAACCCAATGCATTAGGTGAAACCATCAAATCCTCTAATACCAATTAATAAAATCCATCCATCTATCTATATTCCAATCTTCCAACCCGCCCTCGAAAAATCACCTGTTCATATCACGTGATGCTCCAATATTAACCTCACATCTCAGGCACCCATAAAATCGAACCTCTGCTCTGCACTGAGCCTCACCTCACGAACCACAGCTCTCCTCGCTCTCCCCATCAAACCCCCCAGCCCAATCCTCCTCCACAATGGCAAAAAAAGGTACCTACCTACCTACCTTCCTCCCTACCCCCTCCCTCCCTCCTCAAATTACAAACAACTAACCCACAAACCCACTCCAGCCAAATCCCGCACCATAGCCGTGCGTCTCGTCTCCATGGCCCTCACCGGCTACTACAAGACCCTAATGCGCCCGCGTACCCATCGGCCGTTGAGCATGCTGAAGTATGATCCTGTTGGTACGTTCTGTTTCTCTCTTGTGTATATATATGGCTAGGGTGAGGGAGTACGAGTCCGGGGTCATTGGGGAAAGGAATTGGGAGTACGGATGAATGCTAACTTGCGGCTGCAGTAAGGAAGAAGGTGTTGTTTCTTGAGCAGAAGCGCGGTGGGAGATAACAAGCGAGTCGCTGAATCCTATACTACGAGATACATGTGCGGAATGAATTGAAGGGGGTGGTGGAAGGCTCGCGAGATGTATATTATACGGGTTTAGACAAAGCATGGGCAGGCGTTTTGGAAGCAAGTCGTTATGAAGCATTGAGATGAGCTACAATTGTATTTGAGGTATAAGACTCTGTAGCAACATGGTGCTCGTGCAAGATATGTGAGCTAGAAGCAGTAGAAGTTCCAACAAAGCATAACATATCCCCCAGAAAATCCCCTTCAGGCAATACATTGTGACCTTCTCCGCATTGTTCGTTGTGCTATAGCTACTAACATGATCACCTTCATTAGGGTACTAGAGCAAATAGAATACCACTCATCGTCGTAGGTGAGCCGCAGAAGAAGCAAGGAAGAAGCAATAGATTAAGCTCAAATTCTGTACTTGTCCGTAAGGAACAAATGACAAGCCGACGAGGACTCAAATTTGCTTCCAAGTCAAGATACTCGTATCTTGAGATCATGGTCTGTGGCCTTATTGGGAATCCGGAATGACTTGACTCAAGGCTGAATTGCGCAATGAAACTCGGCGATTCTTCCCGAAGACCTCTTTAGTCTCGGAACTTCTCGTTCGATTGCGTGCTGGAATACGAGTTGAACTGGCTGCAGGATTTGATGCATGATTGCCGGCTTTTGACCTGGAACTCAAACCGGAGGCACCTTGATTGTAACGTGTTCTCAACTGTTGAGTCTGCTTTTGATTCGTTCCAAGTCCAGCCGACTTGTCTTGCAAGACAGAATCTGACGCCATAGCTGTTGCTGTTGCTGTGTGCATATCATCTTGATTCGAAATGGGGGCTTGTTGCGGGGTTTTCAAAGCACTCTTAGGCGGTGGCCCTGAAGCTCGTCGACGATTGGACTCTTCTTTGGCGGTCAGCTTTTTGTTTCTCTTGGCTGCCGGAGAATGATACTCTTCTACGTCAGAAAATTGCAGAGATTGTGGGAAAATGTAGTTTCGTTTGTATGGTGTGCCCCGGCCAAAACTCTGCGAGTCTGGAATGACCTTCTCTGCTGCAGCAACACCAACTTCTGGATTGGCACCATCCTTCTTTGGCATATCGACCTGGCTATATCGTCTCTTCTTAGATCTCGGGTTGAGTTGCTCTTGGGTCATGGCTGATTTCATGTCCTCAATCATTGGTCCATGGTCAATGAGAGGACTGTAACCAATTGGCGTAAAAGCCAAAAGTGGTTTGATAGATGAAGAAGTCCCAGCAGATGGGGGCAAGTCTCGATCAGCGCCTGAATTGAGCGCTGCTGGTACACGATATTGAGAATATGAGATCACTGTGGGAGTCAACAGCATCTCGCCATCATGAGGCTGGCTACTCTGACGACGCTTAATGATCCCACGCGCGGATGCTTGACGGGAAAGCTTAAGCTCTTCTCCGACCTCGGAAGAGGGCTTCGTAGCCAATACTGGCTGGACAGTAGTGGCACGAGTAGTTTCGGATTGCGGAGGTTGACAAACGTTACTGCCGGGGCGTGCAGAAGTTTGAACTGAAGTTGGATTATGGGTGGTCGGCAGGGAAGCGAACTGGATCTCAGGAATGGAATCGGGCTTCTCTGACCTAGAATTGGCTTGCATTCGTGGATTGGAAGCTAACGTATGCTGTTTCATCGCGTCACGTAACATTCTCTTTGGACTAGGCATTTTCCCCTTGAGTATCTGGTCATCTTCATGGCCAGGATGAGAAGGAGTCAGTTGGAAAGTTGGCCGTCGCTGTATCTGCTGCGGCGTCTCTTGATGAGTCGATTCGATGGTTGGCATATTGGCCTTCTTCGATGAGCGGTAGGGTTGTTTCAGGGACTCTACCTGAGCTTGCAAATGTGAAATTTGCTTTTCAAGTGCATTATTCTCCGTTTTAAGGTCTTGCATCTTTGAACCAGTAGCTGATTCAAACTGCTTTTGAAGAGTAGCAAGTTCCTTCTCAAGAGCATTATTTGTCTCTTTCAGAGATGACTTCTCGCGGTTGTCCTTTTCTGCAGCTTCCAGCTTCTTTTGGAGATTGTTGTTCTTCTCTTGATATTCAACCTTCTCTTGTTGTAGAGAATCCAGCTTCCGGAAATTAGTTTCAAGCTCGGCCTGGGAATTGAAGATCGCATCCAGGTCCTGACCGGTTGCATTCCGCACTGTTGCGAGATACTCTTGGAGCTCTCTAATACCATTGCCGATGGATATAACGTCACCATCCATTTGCTTACCACAGTCCTGAAGACCTAGTTGCTGCCCTTCTATTCGCTCTAGAGCAACTGCTTGCAGACCAAGTTTCTCTTTATATGAAGCTATCTCAGCTATAACCTTGTCGACGAGAATGGTAGTCGAAAACCCCTCATTTTGGGCTTTTTGCAAACTTCCCTTGGTGCTCTTCAATTCTGTTTCCAACTCAGAGCATTTCTGCGTTAGATTCTTCACTATTGAATCATTCTTCGTCTGCATGTTGGACTTGGTAAAGTCCGCCTTTTTGGCAATTTCCTGTTCCTTCCTTTTTATCTCTTCTTTAGCCTCAGCTTGGATTGCCTTCTTTTCCTCTTCGAAACCGTTGATACGAGTCTGGGCATGTTCCAATTTCCCCTCGAGAGTACGTATATGGTCCGTGTTGCTAGAACCGGTCTCTTTGATTAATGTTAACTCTTCTTTGGCCTTTGCAACGTCTCCATTCGCAGTTTGGATTTGGCCTAAAAGGCCCAAATTCGCAGTCTCGAGCTCTTTGGTAATAGCGAGTAACTTTGGACTCTCTACTGGAAGGGCTTGTGCAGCAGTGAGCTCATCAGACTTTGTAGACAATTGGTCCTGACAATGGTCGAGGTCTTGTTGCGCTTGTTCCAGCCGTGTCATTAAGTTTTGAACCTCCAGATCACTGGCTTTGTTTTTTGCGGCCAAATATGCATTGGACTCTCGCAGCTCCGATACACGATCGTTGAGCCCCTTTTGTATTTCGGTGTCGATTTTGAGCAGACCCAGACGTTCTTTGAAGTCTTCGAATAGCTTGTTGACCGATTCATGGACAGATGTTCCATTACTATCTGAAGCTTGTACTTTGCTCTCAATCCTGAATTATATAGTTAGCAATTGTCGTTTGCGTATTTCTACTAAGCAGTCTACCATGGACTTACCTGTTACACAAATCCTCGATGAGTTTGACTAAAGAATGTGGTGGTTCAGCTTGGTGGTCCTTGAGTTCACCAACAGCATTTATAGCCTGGTCAATTCTGCAACATGTCAGCACAAATAAGTCATTCTCGGGTGGGGGTGGGGTGACGCACTTTGCTTGGGTTGCGCTCGCGGACGTCAAAATCTCTGTTAAGCTACCGTCATCTTTGGTGAACTCCTTGATGACTTCACTGGGAATCTTCTTTAGGAGCGTCATAAGCTCTTTGTGAGCTTCTACTTGTGCTGTGAGCTGCTTATGAAGTTGGTCTGAGTTGTGGTGTTCACGTGACAACTCAATCAGATTCTTCTTCAGGTCGGCGTTGAGCAGCTCGTTCGTTCTTGAAGCTAGGTCTTGTAAGAGTGTAGACCTTGAACAGAAAAGCGAACTCACAATCTTCCAGCTTCCTCTCGAATTCCTGCTTCTTCAAAGCATCTTGGCTCATCAGCTCATGCGACCAAAACAGTTGCATATTACTTACCTGTTGTAAACTTCTCGGCAATCTCTTCTGCCTTAGAAACTTTGACGAGCATGTCCTTCTCATACTTCTTGGCAATCTCTTCTGCCTTAGCAACTCTGGCGATCATATCCTTTTCATACTTCACTAGTTCATCAGCCTGCAGCCGCATTTCCTTGATTTCCTTGATTTTTAAGTCCATCTGGTCAACGACAGATTGCTTCTGGTTAGTGGCGTACATCGCGATAACCTCAGCTGAAGTCTTCCTCATTTCATCTGCTTCGTTCATAAGCAGCTTTTGCGTAGTAACAACCTTGTTCATATGGTCTCTGTATTGAACATGGAAAGTTCCGTATTTCTTCAACTTCTGTGAAATGTCCCTCTTTTCCACTTCCAATGCTTCGATTGTCTTCTTGTATTCGTCCGCAAGGTCGTTAAGCCTTTTGATTTCTTCTTGCTTCAACTGGCAGTCATTGATCATTTCTTCGAAAACGTGCGCCTTCTCGATGAATTTTCGGAAAGCACTGTTAGGAGAATCCTTCTGAGTAGGTTAGCGGATTGACTCTATGCTTCCAGACGAGAACCTTACCTTGCCATGAACTGAGAGGGGTGAGTGCGCTTGCAAAGATGTCTGGGATTCATGTTCTCGTAAAGCATCTTCAACAACGGGTTCGATCCTTGAAGCCTCGCGCGGCTGCATTTGTCTGGACTTTTGAACTTTTGTGGCTTGGATTGGTTGCAAAGCGGAGTGCTCGGAAACCCCTTTTGGTTCCAATTGGTTTAGCGCCATGGGCCTGCTGGCCCTGTTCAGTGGGGTGCCCATATTGCTTCGCGGTGGCCCATGTTCAGTAGGGGTCTTTGATGCAGATCTTGAAGGTTGCTGGAAACATATTGTGCCTGTAATTTCATTGCTAGGGTTGATCGGGTTGACTGGTACTGAAGCATGAGGTACGGCGCCTGCCGGTTGATCAGGAGCAACCATGTACTTATTCTCAACGAAGGAAGGCTGGCGAGAGTGAACTGCAACTGGCTGAGACTTGTTCGTTAGCTGAAAGCTACTAAGAAAGATTTTATTACTTACTGCGCTTTGGATTGCATGAGGAAGCTCTGACTGGAAATGTTTCTTTAGCTTGGATTGATATTGGCAATAGAGTGATTCTTACACTAATAGGTTCTTCCACATGACTCATTTGCACGTCTAGAGGCTCTGTCGAGTTGCTATGACCACGTCCGTTTGTATACTGATCATAGGCGATAGAATTACGAATGTATTGCTCGTGTCTATCCTTGAGGACAGCATCGTGGTCGGGAGCCAGTGAACGTGTTTGCCGGCTAACGTTTGGCGGGAATTCTGAGAACGAAAAACTGGGTCCTTTAGGCTGTAGATTCCTCGTAGACCCAATAGGCTCACTGGTTGGGGTTGGATCTGTCGGGTTCAATCGCGAACTATTTGAAGTACGTTGCATCTCTGGAAATGGTGCTTTGATTCGCTTGGCCCTGATAATTCATGTTAGCAAGACAGCCTAAGAAATTTGCGGGCGTAGGTCATTATACCTGGTTGGTGCAATAAAGGGCGGTCTTAGGCCTGATTTGGTTCGGATAGCTGAATGTTTTACTTGATAAGCAGCTAAAGTGGGCGATGCTGCTTGTCTAGCAGGTTTCTGCAGAGCAACTCCTCTGGAAGATTGCCGTGGGTGGGCCGCGTGGGAAATAACTGAGACAGTCGGCATCTGTACATAAACAGGTAGCTTCAATGATGTCTCTCGATCGAGGGGATGCCGAGATACACGCTCTTTGTTTGAGTGCAAGAGGTGAGGAGGGATAGAAGCAGTTGAAACAGCCGGGACTAGCAGTTGGGCATCAGGCTGTAAAGTTGGGTCTCGCTGCAAAATCTTTCGGGGAATAAACTCTTCGGCGGCTTGCCCCAAAATCGAAACGTGAGTAGTAGTCGATGTCTTTACCTGGGGATCAATTGGCATCGAAGGTGTCTTCCCTGCAGAAAGCTCCTGTGTGTGGTCCTTGGCATGTTGCTTGGGTTGTGAAGCGAGGTACTCATCACTTCTAGCAGGACTAGCAGGAGTTGGTGAGTGACAGAGAGGAGTCTTGATGGGTAGTTCAGGCTGAACGGCCCGGATCGTCTCTTGCGGTTTCGATTGAGCTGCAATAGAACATATTAGCAGAGTCGATAAAAGCATATGCCATTACTGACCTTGGAGTTTTGGGACGGTATGCGTAACAGGAGACTCTTGCGGTGGCTGAGACTTGGGAGCCCCCTTGCTACGCTTCGGTGGGGGCAGTGCGTACTGCCCAGCTTTGGCTTTCTTGGCTTTAGCAAAAGTGAACTCTTCATCTGGGCTTATGTCGCGCGCGACCGGTCGCGTGATGAAGGCATCGGTGGGATCTTTATTTCCACTTGGTGGTGAATTAGGTTTCTCCGTGATGGCGGGCCTCAAGACTCGATCCGTTTCTGGAGAAAATGGATGATCTCTAGATGCTAGCGATACCTGTGTCTCCATAGCTTGTGTGTCAATTTCTACGTTAGCGAATTGGGTCTCTAATATCCTGGACTCGAGGCTCTCTTGTCCAAATGACTGGGTGTCTGGTTCCAGAGGAGCGAATTGAGTCTCATCAATTCGAGATGCATAACTGTTGGAACCTTGATCCAAATTGTCTTGACCCAGCAAGACCTCCACGCTGGATTGAGTGCCGGGAATCTGGGGACTGTGTTCATCATCATCGGACAGCGGTTGATAATTGAAGACATCAAACTGCTCTGGCAGGACCTGACTCTCTTCTTCTAGGGGATTGGGCGTCATTGATGATGAGGCGGCAGGCCTATGGTGTAGGGAAAGTTGAGAGAAGCGTGGGCACTGAAAAATTGCCTCAAGGGGTGACACCACGAAGATGAGCAGCCCGATGAGCAATCGCTTGATGTGTATTAACGCTCGCAGGAGAACTTGGAATGTATACGGAAAGGGGTGTGATGATATTAATGAAGAGAGAAAGGGCAAAAGGGAAGAAGAAAGAGACGAGAGCTCGGCAAATTTGAAGCAGCACAACCCAATTTGGAAGGAACGCCCTCGAGCCCCTTCTCCTTCCGAAGGAAATACGACACTCAATGACGATATCTCAATGGCAATTGCGGCTTGGTGTCGACCTCAATTCTTCATCAAAGGAGAGTGTCACGTGAACTCAACACTACCTTGATATTCATATAGGTAGGTAGATACCTTTCCTTGCTGGGAGGAAAGAGATCTTTGAGAGTCACTAATAAGACATTTGCCTGCTGTCGACGAAGAAGAACACCTACGGCATCCTCAATCCTCCCATCCCTAAAGCTGCCCAGAGCAATGCAACGGCGAACAAGATAGCCGACGACATTGTATCATGTCCTCCCCATCTTTAAATCAAGAAAGGAAAGTGATTTGTACGAAAAATGAACTGGCAGAACTAAAGTATTGAGTCGACGGCTGAACGCATCTCAAGTTCAAAAGTTCATAACTTAGGTATTTACTGCCGCGCATTCTGCAAAGCTCTAACGCTTTAGCTTAGAACATTCTGATGGGAGTCTGTTTCCAGCGCAAGATGAAGATGAAGATGAAGACCAGAGAGAATACCAGACGGTCTGTTCCAGATGGTGGTACTTCTAGCGCTTGAAGCCCATGACACGGCCGATGTTATGAGTCTCGGGGGTGTGAAGTTTCGAGGATATAGAACATACCATGGATGTTTCTTGTAGCTGATGTTATTTGTAGATTGGGGCTCGTCTCCGTTGCAATCTCTTAAGTGAGCTCCACCCTCCAGCGCCTGGCGATGAGTGCGAGTAGCATCTTTATGGAACCAAGTTTCGAGCCAAGGTGACTGATCTGCAAGCATCAATGACCAAACAACCAATCTTGACAGCCTAGACATCCAAGATACCCACGCAGTACCTTAGGCATATTTACAAAGCATAGCGGCGCGTAGTAACACGTCTCAGCATGCGCAAAGTATTCTTCAACATCACCAGCCACCTCAAGGCCACAGAAGAAACAGCGCGCTACTCCTCATGAGACTCCTCTAGCCACAGCTGCGATGTAAATAGCTTTCCAGACATGAACGTACCTTACCTTATATTATGTGGACAAGTCGTCGGCAGTCATCATGTACCCAATGAATCTGACGTTAGATCTCAGTTGTCGTTGTCGTTATCGAGATCTGCCCTCGCTAATAATAACCCCAGCTTACCGCCATCCCTGAAACGAGCCTCCAATTGGGCCACAACATCCCGAAATAGAGACGCTGGGCTCTTTTAACCGCCAACAGTCAGCACAACAGCCAATGAATCTCCCTCATCACCATGCCCCGGATCTCCTAGCTCCCGTCCTCACCCATGTAGGTCAGTTTTGAGAAGCCTTAGCAAAGTGATACAGATTTCTTGAAATACCTTACGGCCCAATAACAGGCCTACGTGTAGCCGCTGTCCTGGGGGTCTGAGGATGCTCTTCATAAAGGCAGTGCGGCTCCCCTTGCAGAAGTGAGCTCACATTTCTCGTCACCAGCAGCAGGCGTTCCTCAAAAAAATCTCATCACAGTCACATTGAGTGCCGGGCGCTTGAGTGAGAGGTTTCACTTGGAACTTGCATTTTCATATTCATATAATGGCCGTAACAATGAGGGCAATGATTCTTCTCGCTTTCTTGCTGAATATCTTCTTTCTACAAGCTACAGCACAAGATTCTACCGCTTCTTCTGCTCCAACGCCAACATCGTCTGTTTCATTGACTCCAGCAATGTCTTCTAGTGCTGTTGCGGCTCAGTTCTCTAGTCTAGCGACTTCTTCTCCCCAGCAGCCGGGAGATGGTGAGTCTCATTCGAAGGACGGTTGATTTGTAAGACATGCTGATTGCTGTTTAGGTCCAGCAGCAGGAGATGCTGGTTCTTCAGCCGGGGCCGGGGATAGCAACGCAGGAGCAGCGGGTGGAGATTCTGGATCGATTACTCTGTCGAGAGGCGCAATCATTGCACTCATAACGATCGCCGGAACAATATGCATTGTTGGGAGTAAGTCGCACGTTGCTGCTGTCATCGGGCATCCACTAATACCGCTTTAGTTGTTTCGTCGGTACTTTGGTACCTTGCAAAGAAACGGTCATGGGAGGTCCGCGCAAAGATCCGAAGATCCGCAAGACGAGTTGCTACTGCCTTGACGCCACGAAGATCGACGTTTCCCAAAAATGTGCAAGACAGAAGGAGGGCTTCGACTCGTGGGTTGACTAAGATAAACGAGGTTCCGAATACGCCGAGGGATGATGTCGAAAAGGGTATGCCCAAAATGAGTTCGTTTGAGCTCTCGGAACCTCCAAAGAAGTCGAAATGGGCGAGATTGGGTCGGTAACTGCGAACGGTTGGGCCACTTTATCAGTTTTTGTTGACCTAGGTAGCGTTGGTGTTTGGGTATTTGGGATTGTTTGAAATTTCCCAGTATATATAGGGCCAGGATATGTTGAGAAGGGAGATGGTTGCGATACCCCCATGTTACTACAATTGACAGAGACTTTGCAATGCGTCTCGGTGTGGTATTGTGTTCTGTAATCACTAGACACAACGTGCTCCCATCACAGGTTCCTAAACACGTTTCCACTGGCGCTCCTCCGACCGTCGTCACGTCTCCCCTTCCGCTCGACAGGAGGTTTGGCACTCTCTTTCTCCTTCTTTCTTCCCTCGGGTGCAAAGGTAACGGATCGCTCGCCGACAACCTCTCCCTTATTCTTATTGACACGGCCCGCACCTTGCATTCGTGATCCCAAAGGCTTATCCTGACGTTGGTGACCAGACTTCTTGTATGAAGAGGATGATATCCGCATTTCAGGCTTGGGCTTGGGCTTCGACATAATCTCATCCTTATCACTGTCCCCACTGTCGCTCGAATTGGCTTCGTCATCTGACGCCTTCCCATTGACGGCGTCAACCTTCGTACTGGGATTGAGTGCCTGAAACTCTCTGCTTCGCTCATCCACAGCAAAATCCTCATCCTCAAACAGTTTGCCAAATCGGTCGTCACCAAGAACACCCATATCCTCATCGACCTTCTGTCTTCGCTCTTGTCTCTTGAGCATCTTGTCGACCAAATTCTGGTTAACCTTGACTTTCTTGCCGCCTCTAATCCTACTGGCTCTTTCTTTCTCAACTTTCTCTTTGACTCTCTTGGTCCTCTCCTCGTCTAAAATGTATGGATTGGCAATAAGCCGAGCTTCCTCGTAGAGCCTCGAGGCAACAAAATATCCGTGCATGTAAGGCCGTAATAGATTGGTTGTCCCAACAAGATGTCCAAGGTTCAAGGCTTTCAGTTCCGGTAGCGTCAAGAACTTGTAATTATCATATGTTCCTGCTGGCGCTTCTTCTGCCATCTCCTCAACCATATTGTCTAAGAATGAGCACCACCTGGGCGCGGGGCCAAGCTGTGGAATGAAGAAAGCGTGCTGCTGCTTGCCTTCGTTCGCGGTCAAGAGCATCCCACTCTCCTTACACCATGCTACAGAATTGATGTCCACAGCTGGCTCGACTGACGTCCAAGCCTTGCCATCAGCCTCGTCCCATAATTTGATGATTCGTTTGTCCGCCGACAATATTTTCTTTTCCTGAGATGATGTTGTCATATGTATTAATGTTTTAATGGGGTATCCATATCCTTGATCTTTGCGCAAAATTGGAACTGGGCGTCGGAGGTCATAGATTTGCACCAGACCTTCAGAGGAACCAGTTGCGAGCGAAATACCTGACCTGTCAAAGTCGAGAGCCGTAATTTCTCCTTCTTGTCCTGACAGAATCCCTACTCTAGCCTTTGACCTCGGATCCCAAAACTCAACAGTCCCAATAGAAGTTCCGAAAGCAAGTAGATTATGGCTCTCTTCTGCAATTGCAGCCGTATTCACACTGCCAGTATTGATCCCACCTTGTAATGCACCGCCTCCAGCTGAAGCCAGGTCATCACCACCGACGTCAACTTCGTAAGACTTCATAAATCTTCCAATCTCGAGGTTCAGTCGGTAAACCTCTCCACTACCATCTGCATTCACGCCAACAGATGGAACCAAAGCTTCAGCCGATTGCTTGTCGTAAATTAAGTCTCTGCCATATCTCGGGAGGCGTGTTTGGTAGTGGCATCCTCCAGGAGTGTGGAACTCGAGTCTTCTGTCGATTTGTAGATGGAGCGATTTAGAATAATCGGAGGATAGGAGGATGAAGGAATGATTTAGGTTGGTGGTATGTCGCGCGAAGGAGAGAGAAAGTTGTGGCAGGTTGTGTGCGTGAATCTGCGGCTTGTATGTGCCAGTACTCATCGCCCATTCTCCATCTTCACTGACTCTTATACACGTGCTGGCTTCTTCGAATTCAAAATCCTGGAGTAATTCGACTCGATTGGCATACTCGGGGTCGTTTTTTAAACTGCGCTTCCGTTGCCGTGCAAGCCAGTCTGGCAGAGGTCTTGCAGTAGAAGCACCGGAGATGGTATAGACCGGCACCTCGTTAGCATTCGTGAGCTTCATGGCGGAGTTGTGTTTGACGGTTTGCAATCGCAGAACCCCACCAGCTTAGATTTGACTTTTGAGATTTGAAGTTCTTCAAGAAATTTATTTTCTTCACTGTACTGTACTGTACAGGGATGATTATCCGATTGTCCCACTACTTTAGCGGGCCCGAAACCCCGTCTCAGAAGACTAGTCCCGCTCCAAATCCTTGCCATGCATACCCACACCCATGATTCAATCGTCAACACAGCTCACGCAAAGGCAGGCGCAACGTCCTTCGGATGAAATAACTCGACACCATCTGACCGATAGTCCTTCCTTTGCTGCTTCTCTGCCTCCCACCACCTGCGACTCGACTTACATCAGATGAAGGGGGTCCAGTGTGTTTAATATACTCGAAAGGTGCCATTGTCTCTGCGGAGATGGAGCCCTGCGAACCTCTCACCTGCTACGCGATTCAGAGGACCCCTTATACTATTGACCCGACAAGGATATTCTACCACTCTTCTAGATGACACTGAGTGTCTATCTGCCCTGTGGTAATTTCAAGCATTTCTGGCGTCGGCGCCTTTAGAGAGGCGTGCCCAGCTTCTATCAATGAATCGAGCTACCCAACGATATGGAACCTGGCGAATACCTTACGAATGTATTATCCTTTGTGAGGAATCCACCTTCTACTATGCAATAATAGTGGGCTAACCTTGTGTCTGCAGAGTAACTTCGCATCGATAAACTACGAGTACCTTGAACCCCAAGGGCTTCCTCCAGGGATAGCCAGGAAGGTGCTGCAAAAACTCGAAGCAAGCTGGAGGCAAGAGGGACGGCTGGTACATTGTGACACATTTCGGGATGGAATTTGGGCATTTCAAAATGCCTCGAACACTTCGACGAGTTCTCCAATATCCAAGGGTACTTCTACAGATACCAGTATCGTTGAGGCGCAAGGGATTAGGCTTGTCTTGAGGGAGAAAGGAATATTTGAACCTGCCAGCCTTGCAAAGAGCAAACATACTTCGCCAAATGCTCTGAATAATCCAAACAGCAACTCGTCACCTTCCTCGTCATCCCTTGAAGCGAATATTCGAAATGCGCAGCTTCAAAACTCAAGAGCAATGCAGGGCAATGCAATGCCCGAACCACCGATGCATTCGCCTGGACTCAAGCAATCCAACAAGCCAGATGAAATATGGCCATCAATGAGAGAGGTTCATGAGGGTTTCATATCGGCTGTGCTTGGTTCACTGGTCTATTTTCTTTGCCGTGATGAGTGTCTCGTACCCCTCAATTCACGAACTTTGATTTTGAATTCTACAAAACCATTAAACCAGGGTGGGTTTGCTAGTAGTTCTCTACAAATAACAAATGCAATTACACTTGCAACGTTAGATATCAGCCTGACCTCGCTGGGTACACTTGTGGTCAAGGCTCATTCTGATACAGCGTCTGGTCTACAAAGTCTTGTAGATGGTTCAGGGGTTTCAACCGCCGTGGTACCAGGCGCTGCCTTGTGGTTAGCACCGGGTGGAAATGCTGCAAAATTTTATGGCACATGCGACGATACGGACTTGCCTTCAAGCTCAGCATCTCAAGTACAGGCAAGTGCTACAGATTCGAAGCTGAACAATTTCAGTGAAGCCTCTATGAAATCATGGCAGTCTAAATGCCTCGAATGGTTATCTGCGAAAGGTATCAATACTGCTGCCATCGATAGTGCGGGCTGGCTATACGTGCAAGTACTCGGCGGTCACTCGTCATACTCAAAATCCGAGAATCAAGGGATACCAATTCTTGAAGGCTTAACTATTGTTCCTTGGCCAGCTGTACTCTGCTTTCAAACTTCTAGCTCTGGGACTCGCGATTCTCAGCCCAATGGAAAACACACTAATCATGGGCGAGATCCCATTTCGTTTGCCGAGAATTGGTTCACTGGTAGAGATGAGAGAGCAAGTATTATGCTTAAGCGGCAAAAAGAGAGACAGATAGCTGAAGCACGATCCAAAGAGCAAGCTGATGTAGAAGCACGTGCGCTGCAGTCGGCCATACAATCCCCTGCTGTCTTGCGAAGAGCGAGTAATGCTGGCGCAATGTATCCAACGCCGCCGGATGCGATTCATCATCCTATCGGAGCAACTCCATCTTTCGACGGTGCTGCTTCTACACCAGGAAACCTGAATCCTTTTATCCAACAGGATACTTCGACCATGGCTCAAACTAGCTCTGGAATTGGCACGGGCATGGCTGACAGTGAGGCAGACATTTGGGGCTCATCTATCAAGAAAGGAAGAGCGATTTCAAACGCACATTTCAATGATGGCGAAAACGATGCCGATGACCAGTTTAATGATATCGGAGGGGATCTATTTGGAGCTGATATCACAGATGCGGACTTCAATTTTTTCGACGAGCCTGATTCAATTCAGCTTGAGCCACGTATACCTGGTGCTGTGGACTTTAAGCAAATTCCCGTCAACATAGTCCCAGAGTCCCGTGATGTCCAAATCTCCTCCAATATGAATGGAATGGACGCTCCGGATGCTCTTATTCACGAGCCACGAGGGTCTGAGGAGAAAGAAGATGAGAAGACAATGTTGTTCCAAACGGAAATCGTACCAAGCGGAACAGACGATGGCATATCGAAAAAGGCCAGCAATGCGCCGACCACGGAACATGTTTTTCAGCCTCCAGTACAGCCTCCTTTCAACCAAGAAGCTATTTATAGACGACTTACTCTTGGGCCGCTGGCTGGTCGTCAAAAGAATGCGCCTCGACGTGCTAGTACTTTCGACAAGGTGGACTTCGAAAGGGCCTTGTCATCAGTTGACAAGAAATACAGAGCGCATGGACAGTTCAACTTCTCCTCGGTTAAGAAAAATTATAGACCAACAGATGCTACGGTTCTACCTCAGACGGAGTATCTTAGCAGTCGGAAGAGGATACAGGATAATGATCCACCATCGAACACTTTTGCGCGGATTTGGATGGACGAAGGGGTGAATGATAAGCTCGAATCACCTGAGAAAATGGATTTCCTGATGGACTCTGACGATATGAGCCCAACATCCGAACAAGACGATACAAGCAATACTACCGATGACCCATCTTTCCTGCCTAAACTGGGTTTGGAACGAAGTTGGCTGGCAGAGAATGCTCAGGGAGATGGAACCGCTACTCCTTTTGATCCCATGGCTATCGACTTTGAGCAATCCGCGAGTACACCACAGTCAATGAGCGGCTCACAAATCCCACTGCTGGATGCAGATCCCGCTGACTGGTCCCTTACCACATACTTCACTTCTCCAGAACCCGAGGTTCAGTCGAATACCCTTACGGACCTAGATCGCATAGCGACAGCACAAATTCTAGCTGACCAAGCTGTCTCGGGCACCCTTCAACTCCCAAGAGTCTCCGGAAGTGAAACTCCCCTGCGTTCAAATAAGGTCAACTTCACAAGAGAATTGATGCGAAGTGTTACGAAAGCCGCAAAATCATATTTCAAAGATATTACACCATGCACGATGCGCTCATTTTTAGACATTCAAGGTATCCCAGTCTTAAATCAAGGGCTTCGATTACCACCACGGCCCATAAACCCCCGAGGCCCAAATCCTTTGGATCCGAGGTCGCAGAATCCATTTCCTATACACCCTCCTCAGCTTGAGGTCCGGAGATCAGATTCAAAACTTTCGATTCTCCCTCCTGCCATAAACTTTTGGGAGAACCTCGGGTTAAGTCCTTGCAAAGGTGCCAAGGATATCAATGCAGTCTGCGTCTTTCCCAACATTGATGGTGTAGCTACGTCCGCAAACAGCCTTCTTGAACAAATGAAGAGTGTATATGAATCTTTCAGACTGGGTAGTCATGATAGGATTACCTCGAAAGATCTCATCGACGGCTTAATGCCATTTTCTTTCGACCCAGATCAGAATAATGGCAGTGCCAATGCAACAGCCCTTAACTCAATGGTTGGCCGATTATGCAAAGTCCTCTCGACTTTGGCCCTCGAAGAAACGAATCTCGTGGTTTATTTTGTCTATCCAGTCGACAACGCGCCTCTCTTTGTGAACATTTGCTCATCTTTCCATGTCCTATTTAACATGTACAGAAAGGCGCTACTTGATTTGAAGAAGAAGCCGTTCAATGAGTTGGTCTTACAATTGATACCGTTGGACTTCATATCGTCCCCAACCACGATTGTAGCGCCATTGCCTTCAGAGTATGCACGACTCGCAATGGAGGTTTACGACCGATGTATGGATTTCAGCTCTTCGTCTTCGAGTCCGGGTATCATGTTAGAGCAGCCTCTTCCTAAGGGTATCGACTTCAAGCTGAACGCAACTCCATCAGCATCTGTACTCCAAGAAAACACGTGCTTTCATATCGCATACGCGCAGAGTATTGATGATCGATGGGTTACAGCTGTATGGACGGATAATAGAGGAACTCAACAAATGACTGCCTCGTATTGTCTTGGGCGTAGAAATGAGCCGATATCGAGGCAGTTTTCAGAGATCGCCGCCGAGATTTGGGATACAACCCTCGACTTCATCTCTCACAAGAAGATCCATTGGCGGATTATGATTGCCCGTGTCGGAGTAATGGATCCTTCGGAAATAGACTTTTGGACAAGCCTCGCATCGGCGGAGTCGAATGCACAAGTGAGCTTAACGCTCATCACTGTGCAGACCGATCCTTCTTTGCGGCTGTTACCTCCAGCTGTCACCTTAACACCGAATGGGAATAATCCCACACAGTCAACAACGCCTGTATCGACTCCCCAGCACTCAATTGTCTCCCCTGAGACTTCAACAACACCAGTTCGCGACGCAACAGTCGCGACCCCTAATGAAGTTGTTGAGCCAGACGTAGATGCTCGGCTCATAGATTATACCGACCAAAGCTGGGGCGCAGTCCTCGCGCACCGGCTCAACAACTCCAACTCTCTCCTAGAGCTGAATCCCGCGCTTATAAGCGGATACCTCATTAAACGAGGTGGAACAAACAGCGATGATCCACCCATCGTTATCGAAGTGAATATTGTACATAGTGAGGTTGTTGGAAATCCCAGGACCTTTCATGAGAGTCTGTTGAGGGAAATATTAGGTTATTATAGGGGTCTTGCGACCTTGGCTAGGGTCAGAGGAGTTGTGGATCCAGTCAAGGATGGGAGACCTTGGCATGTCGCTGCTGCTGAGAAGGCAGTGAAGGCTTTATATATGCTGATGTGATGGGTTGGATATCATTTTAGGACTAGGTTGGTCGTATTGGACAGAATTGGATAATAAGAGAGTATTTCAAAGCTGCATCAATTACTGGACGTCTCAAAGTGACTCAAAAGTGACAATCTTTGTTGTAGTTAGATTTATTATTCATGGCTCTTTGGATCACTTCATCGTCTCAATTCAGGGGCTAAATGAACCCCTGCAAGGAGTCTCGCCTAAAGACTGCGGGGTTTTGGAGGGGTAAAATTGCAACTTCGAAAAAGCCGCTCGACATTTGCTGACAGCCTGACCTTCCCAACTTCACATTCTCAACATCCTCTTCAGCCTCTTCTCACTCCTCCTTCTCCAACCCCATCTCCTCTTCAAAAGAAATAGCAACTCCGTCGCACAATGGCAGACCTCCCAACCACCTACGCAGGCAAGCTCACTCTCTCTCTCCCCCTCCACATCGTCCCCCCCAAACTAACCTCCTCCTCAGACCCCATCCACATCGCCGTGATCGGCGGAACGGGTCTCCAATCCCTCTCAGGTTACACCCCCGTCGCAGTCCTCAATCCCCTCACGCCCTGGGGCTACCCCTCCTCGCCCATCCACGTCTTAACCCACAACAACACCCCCATCGCCTTCCTTTCGCGCCACGGCTTGCACCACCAGCTGGCGCCGCACGAAGTTCCCAGCCAGGCTAATATCGCGGCGCTGAGGAGTATTGGCGTCAGGACGGTCATTGCGTTTAGTGCTGTCGGCAGCTTGCGCGAGGAGATTCGGCCGAGGGATTTCGTGGTTCCGGATCAGGTTATTGATAGGACGAAGGGTATGTTTGTTTATACTGTTACGATTACGAGTTTTGCGAGGTTGGGAGTGAGAGGGATATAGCTGACGATGGTGGGATAGGGATTCGACCATTTACGTTCTTTGAAAAGGGGGTAGTAGGACATGTAGGCTTCGCAGATCCATTCGATGCCAAAATCGGCAAGGTATGCTCCAGCACCCCACACCATCCCCCGCGTGCGAAAGAACAAGCTAACATATATTCAAATCGAAACAGGTCATCTCAGACTGCGGGCATTCCCTCGCGGGCGCCGGCGTAACGATGCACGACAAAGGCACGATAATCTGCATGGAAGGCCCCGCCTTCTCGACGCGCGCCGAGTCGCACATGTACCGCAGCTGGGGCGGGTCCATAATCAACATGTCGTGCCTGCCCGAAGCGAAGCTCGCGCGCGAAGCCGAGCTCTCGTACCAGATGATCTGCATGGCGACCGACTACGACTGCTGGCATAGCACCGAGGATGTGGATGTGGCTATGGTCATGGGGCATATGGCTGCGAATGGCGAGAATGCCAAGCGGTTGGTGGGCGCCGTGCTGGATGAGTTGAGTAAGGAGACGTATGGGGATTTGGTGAGGGGGAAGCATTGGGAGGGCAGTGTTAGTGGGATGTTGAAGTTTATGACGAAGGAGGCTGGGAGGGGGGAGGTGGGCATGAAGAATATTGAATTCCTGTTTCCGGGTGTGTGGAAATAGGTCGTGATGGTGGGTGATAGGTAGGGATGAGTATATTCCAAGCAAGGATGCATCAACTGCTCCAGCTTTACGCAGATAGACACTAAGTAAGTCTATAATCAAGTGATTCTTCTTCATTCTGGGTTCTCTATCTGCAAACAATGCTTGCCGCTCAACTCTTCCAAACCCAAGTCAGAACACCCCATCTCCAATGCGAAACTGGAAGTGATATCAGCAATCCGATTACTACAGTATAATAAAGATAGATGATGACCACACCCAAAATCTCCTCGCTTCCTCGTCCCGAATCCAGCTTAGTCACCTCACCTCACGCATACATGGACAGTACATTAGATTTAATTTTTGAATTTCCTACACGCCTTACAACCAAGTAAGATCTTACATAGTAATTCAACACCCATACTAAAACGCCATGCCAAAAGCCATCCGACGAAGAGATATCCGAAAGGGTATCAGTACAGAGTAACCAACCGCATGAGAACACACATCCGTCACATAAACTAGAAAAGCATGCATGTACTTCCAAAGAGAGAGATCAACAAATAATGAATGAATGAATGAATGAACATGTTTGTTCAGATGGATGGGTAAAGCATCAAATCCGCCGAGTATATATTTGCAATGTATGACAAGACACGAGGAGACAAAAGAGATAGCGATTTAGTGTAGTGGTGGGGTGGTGATATGTGGGTAGGACATCTAGTTGTGGCTCTTGCCGTTAGACATGCTAACCTTCTTCCCACTAACCTCGCGCTCCGACAGTCCATCCGCAAGCTTTCCGAACTGCCATTCTGGGAGAGTGATTCCGGTTTGTTCATTGATTGTGGACATCAGCGGAGGAAGCATCTGGTACATATTGCGAATGGAGTCAACACCCCCCATTCCGGTACCCTCAGCATGAGCGCCTTCGCCACCAGCCTGAGCGCCAGTGTTCCAGATCGTCATCTTGGGATTCAGACCACGGACAGCATCAGCATTAGCCTTTGCGAGCTGGGTGTAGACGCCCTTCTCAATCATGAGATATTGAACAAGCCAGCTGGGCCGCCGAATGCACGTGACAGATCGGCGTATGCACCAGCCATGGCTGACATACCAGCCGCTTCCTTCTGCTGGCGAACGAGTTGAGCCTCGGCTTCCTGGGCTGCGGCGTGGAAGGAGGCTTCTGCGTTGACGCGGATTTTGTAGGCGTGAGCATCAGCAGCGTTTTGTTCGGCGAAAAGAGCTAATTGAGTGAAAATCAAATGTTAGCGGTGAGGTGAATAAATAGCAATAGCCTTAAGGAAAGGAAACGTACCAGCTTGGGCTTTGGTCTTCTCCTCGTATTGTCTAGCATCGGCAGCTTGTTGCTTCGATTCTCTAGCAATGGTAGCCTTGACGACGTCGCTGGCTCTGAGTCTCTCGAGCTCAGTGAAGGCGCGCTTGGTCTCAACGTCCTTTCGGAGTTCTTCGTCACGGGACTCGGTGGCACGAGTCGCCTCAATTTTAGCAATGCTCACGTCACGGTTGAAGACAGTCGTGCGGGTAGCAAGAGTAGCTTCAGCTTGGGCGCGCTCGGAGTCACGCTCGGTTTTTTGGACCTAAGTAACGTTAGTATCATGTTTCTATCTGATCACACTTCTACCCAATATAACCTCCACCGAACCTCATGTTTTCTCTAACGTGGGAATCTCGGCATATCAAAAAGGTTTACGTACCGCAGTCTCGGCGTTAATCTTGGCAATCTCACGGTTCTGCTCTCCGTGGCGTTGAGCCTCTCCAACATTACCTCGTCTCTGTGCCTCAGCTACATCGATACGAGCTTGATTGATGGCCCCCTCGGCAGCTTTTCGGGAGAGAGACTCAAAGTAAGATGATTGGGGAGCATCACGAAGTTCCTTGACATTGGCGTTGTAGATTTTGAGGCCGAATTGGGCAAGTTCTTCCTTGATATTGCGGAAAATGCGTCTCTTAAATTCATCACGCTCAGTGAAGATTTCCTCCACTAAAGGTTCGGAGTCAGCATTGCTTAACCTAATAAATAAATCTGACAAGAGTTCGGAAGCACAAAGGGAGTTCGAAAATGTCAGAATCTTGGAACTTCCGGAGATGTTGAAGCTCCCGGCTCTATCTATCCGAATAATGAAATAACCTGAGCGCGGAAAGACATACTGGTCATAGAACTGACGAGGACTCGGGTTTCACCCTCAATAATGCCCTTGACGATCCTATCAATGTGCTGGCTATTGGCGACATTATTCTTTTTATCGTTGCCTTCAGCAAGCAGCATTGCATATTTTATTAAGGCGTCACCTTTATCCTCAGGGGCATGTTCAACGGTGTTTCCGTCGCGAGGAGCCTGTCCAGAAGTTGCGCCTCGTTGGTTGCAATCAGGGCCGACTGTGAAGACTACGGGAAGGAGGAATTGAAGTTTCTCCCGTGTCATGGCCTGGAGATCCCTGCGAGTGGAGGGTCAGTAGACTGCCTGTAGAGTGCTTGATGCAAAAGTCCAGGGGTTGAGTTAAGACATTGTGGATGGAATTTCAGATGTCATTTCAGATGTCATTTCCACTCTTGCAGGCGGAAAGCATGGTAGGGGAAAAGAAAAAGACCATCCAGTTTACTTACATAGGGTAATCGCGCGGCTGGATTGAAAACCTTTGACACTGCAATACGTGAGTAAGGAATTCCACAAATGATGCAATAGGTGTTTGTCACTTACTTTTTGAAACGGAAAGATCCAGGCACTTTTGGCAATCCTAATTGTCTTGATGCCTGCGCCAGTAATGGCGAGGTAAGTGTCCGGAGTAGCAACAGAATAACGCATTGTGAGGTATCAGATGGAAACGTATTTGTGGTGTTGTTGAATGGTATTCAAAGGAGAATTTTATACCCGAAATATAAGGTCAGACGATTGGTAGAAAAGTGGTGAGAGAAAATATGGTATTCTGGGGTTCTTGAATGTTTAAGTAGGAATGACAAGGCTGAGAGTTAATGCTAGGTTCAGGCGGAAGAACGTAGGGCCCACACAGATTCCAAAATTGATGTCAGCTATAACGCCCGTCTAATCATGTGATGGTTAGTTATAGTGAGGGTAATAATCACCTTTCTTGATATGGATGTAGACTCTCAAACAAGGCTGTGACGACGGCAATGTTCCGGGACAGAAGAAAATATGCCTCACTCTACCTGTAAATATTGGAAATGTGAATAAACCTTGAAAGAAGAAGACACCCGAACGATTGCTTGAACACGAGGAAAGGATCTGTTTGCCGCCGCCATACCGTTTTGTTGTGTGTGGTTCTACGACAAGGCTACCACATTGTCTGCCAGATTCGGAGCAATCATACCATACCTACCCTACCTTAGGCCCTTAGGGCAGATGACACAGGGTTGCAAGACACCATAGAAGCAGGGCGTTTTAATGCAGGATCTGCAAACAGAATGAGGCATTTCATGCCGTGCCGTCTCCATGCCTAAGTGACCAATACTGTAGGCTGTACGGAGTAGCTGGTAATCCTATCCTGGTGCACTGCCCCCGCATTCTGGGTGAGCAATACTCCATATGCTGAGCCGTGCAGCCATCTCGATGAATAAATCGGAATGGAGAGATGAGCCATGTTTACTTGGGTTGCGCATTGATTGGCATGAAAGTGAGAATCACGCTGCAGCGACCGAGTACAAGACCCGACCCACTCCACTGATGAGCCTCAATTTTGTGGATGGCATGCCTTTCTAGCTCCCTTCTAGCTCCCTTCTAGAAGGTCCAGCTGACTGACAAGGTTGACAACGGGGCATACAGTACATACACCGTGCCGCACGTACTCGGTACATCACGACATGCATTTTTGGTTCAGAGGCAGTAATCTTCTGCGTGATTACCACCAAAGAATAGCTATCTATCCTTCAAATCAGCAGAGAAGAGGCAAGGACACTTCTGCACGAGGCATGCTGGCACGGCATGCATGGCTGGGCTAAGGCAGTCTTCAGGTCTGAATACCTTATCCTAGCTACCTACCTATCTATCGTCCAATGACTCCAATTCCTCGCTCGCGGGGGGCACGGAACCGGCCCCAGCATAGCCCCCCCTATCTTTCAAGATCCGATCTCTTGCCTTAGTCCAATGCTTTGCTTCAACACGGGTGAGTAGTAAGTAGGTGCTAACCATCTTAAAGCTCTCCGCGCCTCTTCACCTGAGATTCTGAGAACCCGCGGTGGATAACTATCATTCAGCTCGACAGCCTCACATTATAGAGGTGCATATCCATCTTCTTGGCCGGATCCTAGCCTACAGGATCTAGTCCATATCTCATTTTAGGATTTCGTGACTTCCTTTCCATTAGCCGTGGGGCCTGTGTCGTAGATTCTCGACGGGACCCAAGATTTACAGCCCTTCAGCGTCATGCAATAGCGTCAGGTGATCATCAGAACCAGAACCACTCGATCTGAATCACCTCATCGATATTGACCAGCTGTACCTTAGGTAGGTACAGCAGTTGCAGTGGCGTCAAGTCCATCACCATACCGAACTCTCCCAAGCTACCCATTTCAAACACATCGTCGCTAAAGTCATGGATACCAAACTTCCCATCCCACCATCAGCCCCTTTCGACGATACCGAGGCAGCACCCCCCTCGTATACAGAGAGCATCGACACATCCTCCTACTACTCCACCCAAATCCGCACCCAACTCTCCGACCTAACCCACCAAATCTCCTCTCTCCAAACCCAGAAATCCCTCCTCTCCCACGCCCAAGACGAGAAGATCCTCTCACTCCTCACCACGCAGATCCAGCTCTACCTCTCAGACTTCGCCCGCTCAGGCCTGAAGAAAGGCACGCTGATACTAGTCCCAGCGAGCGGCGTCACGGATGCAAATGCCCTACCTGCAGACTACGATTTCAAGAACGCCGAAGAGTATGATGCGGTTGTGAGGGTGCGGAGTAAGCAGGATGCAGGGGCAGGTCGCGATGAGTGGGCGGAGGGCGCTGGCGAGAGAGAGATGATGTATTGGAGAGATGAGGATATGGCGCTCCGTCTTGCGGGGATCTTGAATCCGCCTCCTGATCCCAGAGACATGGAGCTGCCGCCTAGGAAAGAGCAAGTTGTAGCGGAGAAGGCCGAGGAGCCGAAATCGAGGGGATTCTGGGGAAGTAGGAAGAAAAGCGTCACGAAAACTCCTGCTACTGCCGTTGTTGTTGAAAGGAAGGTTGATGTTAAAATGTCGAGTACGAATGAGGAGCCGAATGATAAGGTTGTGATGGATGTAAGAGCTGAGGAAGTGGTGTTTAGAACGGAGAATGAGCTTGGGATTTATGGGACTGAAAGGGGCTGGGGGATCGTGTTGAAGCTTAGAGTGATCTTGGTTGGAGATGGGAGATAGATAGGTTTTTGCTTCGAACTTGATGTTTAATGCTGATACAAATCATTCTTGTAGACAGACTATCTGCCTTTTTTTCTCTACCCTTATTATCATCAAATCACCCCACACGTTATCCCTATTGGAAAACCTTCCTCTGCAATCATTTCCACGCTTCTCTTAGAAGAAAGACTGCTCTCAACGTCAATGTTCCAGATCGAGGGGACTATTTACCAACCCTCAACTTAGGTTCGTCGTTCTTCAGCATTGACAGCAAGAATCATCAAGAACCGAGGAAGTTCTCGTCAACAGTTTCGCCTCATCATCTGAATAGGGGCCGGGGCAGGAAAGTCATCCCTTCCCGCAGACAGACCATCGATTATGCATCTTTTTGGGGCGAGCACTGACGGGTTTCGAAAGCTCCAGCGGTCGTGACGATGGATTCAACTAATGGTGATTCATAAAGGTGTCTCTGGAGTACAAGAAAGGGATATAAGCTTGCTTTACTATCCCTCTCTTTCACCACGATTATGATCTCGAACTTATCTCCACACAGCTGTTTTACGAGTTCTCGATCCTTAAGGATCTGCAATCTATCATGTATAAGTAATTTGAATTTAAGCTATAGCTACTAGCTGAATCCAAGACCAAGACTTCTAAACTGCAACTGGGCTTGAAAGCACGAGCTCGGATAAAATGGCTGGGAATTGATTATAGTAGGGCACCCGCAGATACTCTACTTTATCGGCCGTCAAACTTTAGCGAACGTGGCACAGGGAGAGGCGGACATCATGAACGGAAAGCCCAGATCAATTCAACTACCTACCTACTTATGGCAACACCATACAAATCGACTGCACCATCACACGCCGCCGAAGAAGAGATGTCTACATGTTATTTTCACATGGCCAAAGACCATGATGATATCAGCAAGATGCACTATGTAAGAGCTTCTTTATCAAGAATGTCTAAAAGGCCTGCGGAGGCCACTGGGCTGGATAAGAATGAGGACGGAAGATGGCACGTGCACTTGGAGGAAAGGCCTATCCATGATGGAGTCGAAACACGACGCCAAATATGTAGCCGCTGAGAAAAAACATATTCTCGAGTCTCTCCAAGAACACTAGACCAAACAAATGCCTCACGAAGCCTAGTGAAGCACTGGAATACAGATTGCAGAAACATTCTACTCATTATTCATGGGGGTTTGATCAGAGCACCCGTCGTCCGTCCGAAAGAGGATTTGTGTTGCAAGTCGCACGAAAACGCCAGAAGGCTGATCAGACCACTTGTGTTTGGGCGTTGTGGGGATCGGGGTCCGCGGGGTGGCGTGCGTGGGGTAATGTCTTGGCTTACGTTGGATCGAGGGGTTCAATTAAATTTAGTGAGTACCAAGCATGCGAGAGAAAGTGATTTGGATGTTATTAGCTTTTCCATTATGCCTACAACCTCAGCTCAGCCCCGAACACCGTGTATGTACGGATGCATAGAACTATTACAACCGAAGAGCATCAAGATACGTTCTAGCTTCAGGGTATCAATTCCTCTCGGCATTCATGCCTATCCATACCCCCTTCAAGCTCTCTACATCACTAGACAGGCTGCCCATCTCCTTTTCAAGTTCCAACCGAGTCTGTTCCAGTGCCCGGATGTACTCCTTTGCTAAAATCAACACTTCCGCTTTACTGACCCTCTTTTCCTCGCCATTTCGTACATCACCTGCATCGTGTGCTGGAGGTAAGGCTGAAAGAAGGGTTTCAAATTGCCCATTCAATCGATTCCGATACAATTTCTCAGTGAGATTGTGGTTGGCTCTTAGAGCTGAGCTTGACCCGGCGCCGTTATCAGATTCAGGTGTTGTGGGTGATCGGTTGGAAGACCTTGGACTTGTATTTTTGCTCGTCTTGGCAGACTTTCTGGGCCGCTTTGGGGTCTTGGCTGAGGAGTCGGGCTTCCATGCAGGCGTATAAGATATCCTCTTCTTGCAGAGTTCTGGTTCGGGGGACTTTGTAACGGCTTGGCGAAATGGCTCATTTGCTTCCATATCAATGCCAGCTGTCTGCACTGGTGACGGCTCTAAGTTCAGCTCGCTGACAAGGTCTTCCCCATCGAAAGGGACGGATTCCGGGTCAGATAATGCTTGAGAAAGATCCAGGCCTGGAATATCAGAGACAGCGCAAGTGGAGAAGAAACCATCTAGTGACTTCTCAAAAATATCCTCATATGTAGTCCCATCTTGAAAAGACGAGTTACAGAATTCCCCTGGTGACCAAACATTTGAAGACCCCAAAAAGTCATTTTTAGGCCAGGTTGATTGCAGCAGATCTGGAAATCCGAATTCCAAAGGGTTGAGATCATTCGAGATGGGATCTAAATACGATGGGTCCTGACCAAAGGTAGGCCCTCCGAATTGAAGCTGAAGAAGACAAGTTAGATATATGTCATCATAGAGGAGACTATGGCAGGCCTGGACAACGGGGTCATTGTGGGGTAGCACTTGCCTCATCTTCAGATATTTGGCTGAACATGTTTGGAATTTGGCAAGTGTAAAGCAGTAGGATACTAGGAAATAGCAGGTGGAAATGTTTCAATGATTGCTTTTTCGAATTCTACTGCAAGGGTACTCCTTGCCATAACTTGGGCGGCATGTATGTAGGTATATATACATGTTCACGCACCCGAACCAACCGGGGAAAAAAAAAGAAGGGTTTGATACAGATCGGTGATCTGATGAAGTCGAGAACGACCTCGGACGAAGAAAGGCTTATACTTTCCTAATCCGAACTAAGAGAGGATGCACGGATATCGGCAACATTGACGTTACGTTCTAGTATAAAAAGACTTTGACAAAGAACTATGCAGCCAGTGAGAGCCATGCTTTCCCACGAGAGAATGCTTGCCATGCAGAATTTAGTGATAACACCCAGACGGAAATAAAAAGCGGAAACTAGACAATTTTTGCTGCATGCAGGGCTCTGCTTGAACGAGTTCCAACGGCTTCATAGAGGGACTCGGGACCAATCAGCAAGAAGGACTGGTCTATGGGGATACCATTTGCCTTCCAGACTCATGCAGTTATGGGCTGATCCAGGTGAAAGCTCAGCCCACTTTAGCATAAGCGAGTGTTGCCACCACCTGATAGCTCCCCCTCTCTCTCTCTTTGGAATTGTAGTACATACAGCATACAGTACAGTACTACACAATATACAGTATTATCCTATATGATTGAACCAACGGCAACGGATTAAAACCGCCCGTGCTAAGTCCATCAATCAGTAATCTCGCATGATGATTACAACCCCGCCAAGACCCCCAAAACCCAAACCAGCAAATCCGATCCTGCACGCCGTGACAACCTGGTTCTCTGCCCTACCGCCAGAGTTGCTCGGTACCATCCATAAATTTACGACGCTCCAAGAACTACTCGGTACCGCGCCGAAACGATGGGTCACATACCGACCCGTGATCCTCCTTCCGTCCGGAACCTTCTCCGGCCCCTGGTCCTCCATTTTCAACCTATCGTTCCCCTCCTCTCACAGAGATAACCTCTGTGCTGCAATCGTCGCCTCCATCTCCAAGAAAGAAGGGAAGGGCAGCTTGACCCATCTCGCAATCAACTCCGGGATTCCCCTTCACAGACATGAAGATGAGGACGCCGAGAATATCCTCAGAACGCCAAGTGGCTTGGTGACGCTCTACGGAGATTTCGGCCCGGCCTTGTCACCAGACCAAGTGCCTGGACTGCAAGACTTCAAGGATGCCTTTTGGGTATGCACGAAGCAGAATGGCATATCCCAGACTTGGGCGCCCAGGTATACGATGTTTAGCCGGGGGAATGTGAAGGAGAAGGCTAGACTGCTTGATTTCCACTCCCCTTCTCAAGTGGAAGGCAGGAGGAGGAGCAGAGAGGTGTTGAAGGGAGATGTGGCTGTGGATTTGTATGCTGGGATTGGGTATTTTGTGTTCAGTTATGCGGCGTTGGGGATGAGGGTTTACGGGTGGGAGATTAATGGGTGGAGTGTGGAGGGGTTGAGGAGGGGTGCGGGGTTGAATGGGTGGGGTGTCAGAGCTGTTAAGGAGGACGAGGAGTGGGTTGTAAATAAGGAAGAGGATGAGAGGATTGTGCTATTCGAGGAGGATAATAGGAAGGCCGAAGAGCGGTTACAGATTTTGAGTGAGAGGGAAAAGGAGAGGGTCAGGCATGTGAACCTCGGCTTGCTTCCTACGAGTGAGGGAAGCTGGGACATGGCATTGCGGATTCTGCATTCGGATGGATGGCTACATGTCCATGAGAATGTGGGCGTCAATGATGTGGATTCTAGAAAGGTGGAAATCGAAGGCATGTTCAGATCCTGGCTGAAAAAAGCAAAGGACGAGAGGGAAGTGAAGGTTGAACATGTCGAATTCGTCAAGACCTTTGCCCCTGGTGTGTGGCATTGTGTCTTCGATGTTTATATATACTACAAATAATACACATCTAGGAGCTGCATCCTAAACCAGGTCCGTCAATTCCCCATATATCTGAACCTTGCGCCTCATCTCATCTCTGAAAACATATACCCGGGCGCCAGTTAATCCGTATCTATTGCTGCCTCCTGAACTTAGCAGGTATGTTATGATCGACAATAGGTTGCTTATCCAACAACGCCTGCCTGTCCGCCTCGTCCTCTAGATCATCATGCTGCTTGAAATGCGCGATGTCTTCCGGATGCGTTAAATCCTCTTCCTTGGTGTTCTCATCATGATATCTGTCCCTCATTAACCATCATATCCCCCAACTTGTCAATACATGCACTTACTTCTCCCAGTGATGAATCTCATACTCCATCTCGATATCCCAATGATGTCCCGGTCCGGTCCCAAAATCTGGCAGGGCCCCCTTCCTATCAATCACAAACGCCATAAACTCCTCGCGCTCCACAATATTATTATTATTCGTATCCATCAGCTTGGTGATCTCGCGGATAATCTCATCTTTCTTAGACTGCGGCACATCCTTCGCAGTCTGGTCTTCCATGCCGTAGAACTTGAGGATTTCTTGGTGGTCCCAGAAACCGTTGCCATCGAAGTCGTGGAGCGTGAAGAAGGATGCTGGGTCGAAGTTGCCGATATGATGTTCCTCTGTTCAAGAAGTCAGTGCTTGTTGAAGAGGAAACGCGCTTGAGAGGATATACCGGCCATATGTCGAGTCGCCCAATCTGCTTCCGGATCAACTTGTAGAGGCTTCTGATGCGCCCCTCCACCTCCATGCGCGGAGACAAAGCCTACGAGCGCAATTAATGCGGCACATGCTCTTGTTACTCTTCCCAATACCATGTTGGTTGACGATGATGCGCTGGCGTGAATGAAGGTGTTGGGGTGAGGTGAAGTTGTAGGTTTTGATGTCCTCGATGTTTACGAGACGAGTATTTAGATTGCGTAGCGTTGCGTTGTTCAGGGGCATCTGCAGATTGCAGGGATGTTTTCTGGGGGAGCTCTAGTTGTAGCGAGGTTAAGTCATCGCTATGGCCCGACCTCAAATTTCTTTAAATAGCATATCCCAATAGCACATCCTGAAACTTCCATATAGTTGCTAGCAGCTATTCGTAACAACACCACATTTCAACATGAGCAAGCCAATTGAGCAAGCGCTCTCCAATCTCATCCCCCGCCACCCCGGTGCTCTCCCTCCAGAGCTCATCGAACTTGCTTCATCCCTGCTATCACAGTCTCGCACGAAAGTCAGTACCCTAAAGGCAGACGAGGAAATCGGAAGGACGTATGTCGTTGCCAACATTGCATGTGAGCGGTAACTATCTTTCTCCCTACGTCCCATAGAACCCCAAGGCTGACATGAAACCCGCCAGCCTAAAAACAACCCTCAACCTCCCCCCAATCGAGCCCCGCCCTCCTATCCCACCCCGCGTCTACTCAAGACTCTACGCCTACTTCTCGCGCGTCCTCGTCTCCTCCACCCGTCGTCGCGGCCCCGCCGTAAGGAACACCCCCTCTCGCCCACTCCCGCAAAAACAAACCCCCCTGAAAGAAACCAGCCTCGCCAGCTTCCGTGTCAACAACAGGACGCCGAAGAAAGGGCTAAGATATGCCGGGAACAAGGAGAGGGATGAGAGGGTGCCGAGGTGGGTAGCGCCCGTAGTTAGGAAGATGTGTAGGGAGATGGAGAACCCGGCTGCGGTACCGCATGTTCTAGCCGGTGCTGAGAGTATCTTGACACAGCCGTGTCCAGACGGCGAGCAGAAGATGCAAGGGAAGACCCCGGCGCTGGTGGCGGCTTCTTGGTTCTTTGTTACGCAGGAGCTTACGGGGAAGGAGACGAGTGGGAAGGAGTTCGCGTCGCGGTGTAAGAAGATATTGGGACTGTTCAAAGAAGCGAGAGATGATGTGGTGGTTGTGGGGAAGGTGGGAGATGATGAGGAGGGTTGGAAGGATTGGGAAACGGTAGTAGCGGGTGATGTAAAGGGGTGGATTAGGGAGATTACTGAGAATGGCTGGTTGGCGCTGGACTGGTTTACGAATATTGCTAGTGGTGAGGCTGCTGCTCATGCCGAGGATGAGGATGGTGAAACAACAAAGCGAGTAGGAAAACGAGAAGGTTTAGGGATGATGATGGCAGATCGTTACGATTACTTGAGCGAGGAGAATAGAGCGGAGTATTCTAAGTGGAAGGGAGCGATGCTAGCCAAGATCAACGACTTGGCTCAAGAGGGCATTATGGATATGGATACCACGGATGGATAAGCGAGGGTTTCTTGTATTTTCAAAGCGCTTTATAAATGATACCCAAGACGTATGATACCAGCTAAGCCATTACAATGCTTGGTTTTCAGGTAAATTCTCGAAAAGTAAAAGGTCTCTTCTCCAGTCCTTCTCAATTCAATCAACATCCTTTCCTCTCCCGCAATAGCTAGCCTCTCAGATATCAAACTTCTCCTCAACAAGCTTCTCGCTCAACTTCCACAGCTTTTCGGCCCTCTCCGCATTAGTCGCATACCCCTCAACAGGGAACGGCTCACAGTTCCTTAGGAACAGGCCAGACTTGCCATCAAGCCCCGGATCCAACGCCGCAAACACAAGCGTACTGGCCGATGTCTCAAGCGTCTTCTCATCGCCCTTGAGGTCGCCAGAAGGTGGTGTTTTGCCTTCCCATCTCTTGGTTATGATTTTGAAGGCTTCAGTGAAGGATGCGAGGCTATTCTCGTCGCGGGTGTGGACGTAGAGTTCAGTCGGTGGCACTATTTGTCTCTTCAACACTGTCGTCCAAGAGAAGGAGGAAAGATGAAAGGTGAAAGAAGGAAAGAAAGCAAGAAGTATCTAAAAGGGAGGGAGAAGGAAATAGGGCTGGCTTACTGCCAGGTTGCAGAGCAAAAGCCTCTACTCCCTTGTCTTGGAGATGAGAAGCAAGGTAGGTGTTAAAGAGGATATTTGCCGTCTTGCTAGAAGCATACGCCAACCAAGGATGATAAGTCTTCCCGTTCTACATTTCAACTTCCTATCAGCAAACGAACAACCAAGACTTGACAGTGATATATATACCGTATATATATGTGGGAGAAGAAGGCAGCAGACTTACATCGAAGTTATAATTCTCCATATCCAAATCTCCCAACATATAGCCCGTACTTGCCACATTAACAATCCTGGCATGCGGACCAGCAGCTACAATGCGCGGAAGCAGCAAGTTCGTCAGGAGGAAATGGCCGATGTGGTTCTATGAACACTCAACGTGACCCATCAGCCCTCTTCATTCCCTCAAAATAATTGTCCCTCGAAGAAATAAGGGAAAGAAAAGGAGGCAAAACTCACAATACCAAACTGCAACTCAATCCCCTCTACCGTCTCCTGATACGGCATCACACACATAATCCCCGCGTTATTAATCAGCCCATGCACAACGTCCGCCTTCCCACTCGCCAATATCTCCCCTGCGGCCTTCCTCACACTTGCCTGGGAAGCCAAGTCCAAGGGTACGAAAATGACATCGACCGCACTGTCAACGGCTTTGATATCCTTGATGACGGGCAGGATTTTCGATTCACTGCGTCCGGCGAGGAAGATGGTTTTCGGATGGCTGTGGGCGAGAGCAATGGCGGTTGCGCCGCCGATGCTGTTGGATGAGGGGCCGGTGATGATGACTGGGGTATGTTAGATGAGCTGGATGCATGAAAGGGAGGGATAGAGTGAGGGGTGGGACGGACAGGTCTTTCCGGTTGAGCGGGAGGTGAGGGCTTTGGCGACTTCTGAGCCGGTCGTGTGTTGGTTGAAAGAGGTCATCTGGGCGAATTGGTACTATGGAATAGAATAGTAGGTCTGCGTGTTCTGTTCGAGTTGAACTGTGGTTGGGGGTCCTTCTATCGACTCAATGAAAGGGTTTTCTTGGACCTGTGAGATTCGAGACTTACGGGGCAGTGAGGAAGAAAATCAGTACTGGGAGTTTATGAATGTCTTGCTGAACTGGATATGAGGAATCCATTGTTACTTATACCTCGAAATCTTGCCCTGGAGTAAATGCTCCATAGCGTTGTCAAACCACAGCGTCGAATTTTAAACTCGATCCTAAGCACTAGTTTCAAGACTCTGCATGCATTCATATTTTTCAAAGCCACCAAGAGTATGATTTAAAGCACGTATCGAGTATGAATGTAGAGTTATGGACATATGCAGGGACGCGGGTTCAGGCGTTAAGCCCGGTTGACCTGCATTAAAGGCGCAGGCGCGTTGGTGGCGTAGTGAATAGGTGTACGTACCTACGTTCAAACGCTAAATACTCGATTTTATTAAAAGTCTGACTGTACCACTATAAATCCACTACTTAGTGTAGATATGACATGTATAATCCTCTACGTTTGACTAGCTCTATACCCTAGCATAGGCCCTGAAATCCATGGGTTCAACCCATCTTAAAGTGAGATTTCTAAGCTTAGGCCTTGTGCGAGCCCTGGAATGGTCAAATCTATGCCCTTTAAGTGGTGCGGAGTATACATATATGGAGTAAAACCAGCGGGACAGTTAGACTTTAAAAGAAGCGAGTAGTAAGTAGTAGCTTTATACGCTCGTAAGGGGGAACGAACCACAATATTAAATGCGAAAATCAAAGGCGAGGATAATGATTCAAGGATGAAAGTTCTTGATCTATTGTTATATATCTTTTCTCGTTTCATATCCACTCCTCTTCACATGGCAGCTCATGCAAAGCACAAATCATTACCACGCATCTCATCTATTCATCCTCAAATCCGACTTGTGAATCATGGCTTCCATCCATTCCATCCAACCTTTCAATGTTCCCTCATAGATCTTCCCCACTCCAACCTCTCATGAAAAAACAATAAGTGCTCTCAATAATCAAGTTCGCGTTAAATTAGCTAGTATGTGCTGCGAAGCAAGGCAAGATGAGCGCCGCAAACACCAGCTGAAAAATGTGGTATCTCATGAAAAAGAAAAGCAGTAGGCTGCAGGGCAATAAAGGTGGGTCGTGTACAAAAATCCTCCCGCTGCTCAGAAACTGTGCTAGGAAGGCGATAAAGGCAAGAATGAAGTATACAAAGGACATATGTGCAGAAAGTCTGAGGCTCGGCTGTCTCTCCAAACGAGCTACAGCGTAGTAAGAAGCAGGCGAAGAAGGCGATTAGAAGCAGTTCAAGCTGCCCTTCTTTTTCTTTTTATTAATGGCGTTCATGCGCTCCTCGAGATGAGCTCGTGCGATTTCGGCATCCCGTCTCTTCTTGCGCTCTTCCTCGACCTGTAGCATGCTCCATCTATTCTCTTTGTCTGCACCGGCGGTCTTTTCTCGAGCTTTAGCGTCCTTCAATTCCATATCAAGCTCGCTAGCACGTTTTCTCCACGCATCGCAATCGGCTTTGACTTGTTTGCTCTGTTTTTCTAAGTCTGTAAGGGCCTCTTCCAAAGTTGTGGTGAGCTGCTTCTCGGCAAAAAGATGTTTTTTGATAGTCTGTATCTGAGCTTCTTGGTCTTCTTGGATCTGCGCCATGGCAAGTTCTTTGCTGTTTGGCCGATTGGACAGAGTTGGCGTAGGTGGAACAGGAACGTTTGCAGCATGTGAATTGGAAAGAGCAGTGTTGATGCTCATTCCAGGCAGAGGAGGCAATGGAATAGCAGGAGGCGGCGACGGCAAGGATGCCACAGATGCGGATTTGCGAAGATTGGATGTTGTCGAGTCTGAGCGTTTGGGACCGTTGGGATCTAGTTGTGCCTCATCATATTTTGCCTGAGATGTTAGTAGGGTAACAGAATTCAGAGTTGTGTTACTCACCTGAAGTATTGTATATTCTTCCCTGATAGCGTCCAATTCTGTTCGCGCACGTGCAGCACTTGCGTGCGCTGCATTCAGTTCGGCATTGCGCTCCGTTTGCAAAGTAGAAAGACGATTGTTGGCCTGCTGGTGTTGGTCGAAATTGGAAGCTAGCTGTTCCTCGAGTTCATCGACGAGGCGAGAATTCTTCTTGTTCTTTGTCTCCAAATCACTCATCTCCTTCTTCAACGCGGTTAGTTGCTCAGAAACTGTCGCATGCTCTGCCTTCAACTTTACACCATCAGCGGTCTGAACCAGTAACGCTGTGAGCTCAGCCTTGACAGTTTCGAGCTCGCCCATTACCGTATCGTTGATAGCGGAAAGGTCGGTGATGCTCTTTTCCATCTCACTACGCTTCAGTTGCTCATCGCCCAAGGCCTTTTGATCGGCCAGCAGGTCCGAGATCCGATCTTGCAGCTTTTCGGTACTGACATCTAAGCCAAGGCCAAACGCGACTTGGGTAGCGATCTTGGTGAGTTCATCGCGTGCCTCTGCGAGCTCAACTTGAAGTGCGTCAACGCTCTGTTGGTGTTTGGACGCAAGTTCTGATAATTGCGCTTCATGGTCAGATTGAGTGTTGGCCTTCATTGCCTCGATATCCTTGGCATGATTTGCGTGTAAGAGGTCAAGACCGTCTTGGTGTGTTTTGACAACATTCTCATGGTCACTAATCTGTTGTTCAAACCTGGCTATTAGGGACTTGTGTCCCTCTATCTCGGTATTTGCTAGCTCTCTTGACCTTGTTACCTCGTCTAGCTCCTGTCGAGTTGACGCATGGGACTGTTCAAGTTCGGCTACACGGGCAGCATTGGTAGCAACCAAGGCTTTGTGCTCCTCGATCTCCTGTTGAAGATTCCTAACCCGGGCGTTTTGATTCTCGTTGTCTGTGGCTTGTGCTTGCTGGTCTTCCTTCGTGGCTGAAATTTGTTGCTCCAGGTCCGTAATGGTTGCTAACAAATGTCTCTCGGAGTTCTCCATAGAATCCAATGCAGCTTGATATCTTTCTTCCCAGTTGGTAAGCTCGAACTTCAAATCTGCAATCTGCCTTTCTTGTATCTCCTTCTGATCGCGTTCGGCCGTAGCTTTATCGTTATCCGAAGCAACTGTGTGTAAATCTATAGAAGCTCGAAGGCTTTGGATTTCGGCAAGCAATTCATTCTCCCGGGCACTATGAGTCTCTCGGAGAATCATCATTTGATTTTCACTCTGCATCAACTGATCTTGCATCGTGGAAATGACAGACATATCTAGGGGTGACGCTTTCATGCTGGACCGTTCGCGAGTCAGGCCTGAAATCATGGTCATCTTGGCGTCCATTTCTTTCTTGTTCGCAGCAAGATCTGCTTCCAACTCTTGGACTCTCTCTGACCGAGAATGAAGTTCATGCATGGCTGTATTAAGATTCAGCTCGAAATTCGCCATGACGTCTGGGGTACCTTCAAAGCTCTCAGAGGCAATGTTTCGCAAAGAAGCGAATGCACGATGAGCCTTGTCGATTATCATAACATTCTGACTTGATTTCCGACGAATAACGGGAGTGGCCGTCTTTGGAGACTGAGCCTCGTTCATCTTAGCCTTGGAGACCTCCGCCTTGAGCTCTTCTACCACATCAAGGGCGTCCATGTGCTTTTCCTCGAGTTCCGCATACTTCATAGCCAACAAATTTTGAGATTGCTCTTTCTCTTCTGCTAGTCTCCGTAAACTCTCTATTTCCGCCACAATCGCCTCGTCGTTGGCAACAGTCTTCGACAGCTCCACTAGCTCTGACTTCTTGTGAGCGCCTTCAGCATCAGATATCTCTAATGCACTGTGCAACTCCCCAGCCGAGGATAATTCCGATGAGAGCGATCGCGAGGATAACAATTGTCCTCCATCCTTCAGCTCGTCCGCCCTGGAATCTGATAAAAAAGAAGTAGGTCGTGTGTCAAGCGTCGGAGTGGATACCGATAGGAATGAATCACGGGGGTTTGGATGGCGTGCCTCATCTACGGCATCTTGGAGAGCAGCCAAAGTGCGGAGGGCCTCATCGTATTTGGCTTGGAGTAGGTCCAGCTCAGTCGCAGTACCTTCATGCTCTACTCTCAGGTCAAGTAATTCCTGAGTGACGTTCTCCAGTTTGTCTTCGACGAATTTTGATTGTGCGGGGGTCTGAGGCGAATAGTCGTTGTTGACAGCCATTTCGAGCGACGTCTGAACCGCGAAGTCGTCGTCAATAGGCTCTCCATTATCAAAGGGGCCTTCTGTCGCAGATCGTTGGACGTGCTCTGAGTGTAAGTCGTCTTCTTCCTCCACAATAACGTCGTTGGGGCTTCGTTTACTAGCAAGGCTCTGATGTCGAGAGTGGTCGCTGAAAGAGCGTTTACCGTTTACAGCAACAGGTTCGGCACCGGCTTCGGTGTGTTTCACGTCCTGTTGGATGTGATCAAGCTCGTAAAGTAAGTTGTCTAACTTTCCGAGACTTCTCTGGCGTTCGACAACGTGCTCTAACCTCTCAATCTCCCGTTTCATCAGCTCGGCATCCTGTTCCCCCTCCGCAAGACGTTCCTCGAGTGTGGAGATATAATCTTCACAGCCGGCTTCATTCTCACGGACACGGGCGATCTCTTTGCGAAGTTCCATAACAATCGTGGCATTTTTTTCCTCGCCGGAAGTATGACCGTCAAGCTTTGCCTCGAGATCGTGAAGATAATGCTCGGTGCTAGATTCACGATCCATAAGCTTTTGGAGGCGAGATTGGAGCTGCTGGTTGACTGTCTCGACATATGCGCATTTAGTCTCCCTTTCCAACAGGGAGGTCTCGGTTTTTGAAAGTGATGACCGTGTTTTAGACAAGGAGTGCTCGAGGGACTGGATTGTGGTTTCGTACTCCAACACAACCTGTTCCACAGCTTCGGCAAATGAATTTGATCGTTTCAATCGCTCTGTGGCACTGTCACCCATAGTATTCTCAAATGCATTGTTATCGGCGATTTCGCCATCGCGGGCCTTAGCCATCTCACTGATAAGTTTTGCATGACGCTGACTGAGAGAGGTGTAATTTTCTTGGGTGTCAAGAAGCTGGTTTTGGAGTTCTACCTCTCTTTCGTTCTGTCGCTCAGGCCTCTCGCTCGTAGGGTTTCGGCGATCGTGATCACCGCCGCGCTCGGTGCTCCTGATCTGGTCACGAAGAAAAGCGACTTCGGCCTTCAAACGATCAATTAGCGCTTGCTTGTCAGCCTCGTTATCTGCTATCTGTTGGATTCTTGGTTTGCTCTGGATCGCGCGAGCACGTTGTGCGTATTGGACCGTGTTTAGAGTTTCGCTCAGATGAAATTCTGCGGGGGTAACACATGCAATCATATACGTGATTGCATTACCTCCTAACGAATCCTGGAGTAATCGAGTGAGCTTGGAGTCGCGATATGAGACGTGGGAGCCGGCCTGGCGAGACGAAAGCTGTGAAATGACCTTCCCGAGACTGGCAAGACCTGCATTAATCGATATCCCCTCCTTCGCCCGCTCGCCCTGCGCACCGGTATTCTTCAATCTTTCACTCCCTGCAAGATCCACAAAGTGGAGCTTGCTGTCAATTGTAACTAGGGTGTCCTGACCAGTCATTGCTTCTAACGGCACTGAGTGTCGTTTATCAGCACCTTGTACCATCTGCAATTTGTTCTTCCGCTGAATCAAATTCAGACTGAACACTGCATGGGAACGCGAGGACTTCGCGTTGATTGCCGTAGAATCAGTCTGGCGAATCATTGATCCAAAGTTCAGGGCAGCCATCAAGTCCTCTACCGAATTAATCTCAACTTGGTGCAACCCGGTGAGAAGAATATGACCCTTTGTATCCTCCCGAATCGTGACCGCCCCTCTCTCGTGCAACGGTGTGTGCTCGGGAACGAGCAGATCTCGAAGTTGTTCATTGTAAATTTCGACGTATGTTGCTTTCAGGGTCCAGTTCTTCTCCGCGGATTTAGCGAGTGCAGCCACATTAGTTGAATATCTTGTCGGTGTCCGAAGTCCTGACATGGAATTTCGATTTGACATTGGTAGTTTGTCATCTAATTTCTCGAAGAGTGCAATGGCTGCTCTTGGGATGACTCCTAAAAATGTATGTTAGCTCTAGATGCCACGCCTTGATTGGCATCTGTAGAGTTTCCAGAACAGCATACCCATTACATCCAAGTCGGCCTGCTCGCCAGGTCCTGAAGTTCCCATTGTGTATGATTTCCCCGCACCGGACTGGCCATATGCCAACATTGAGACATTGTAACCTTGTACGAAAGCATTTGTACTCTCTACTAGGTACTCCCAAACGCCTTCCTGATCAACATCTTCGCCAAAAACTCTGTCAAAAACAAAGAGCTTTTTTCCTTGTGGCGAGTCTATGGCCAGACTCGTGGGTGATGTAACCTGGGCCATAGATCGCTGGAATCTTTGTGGAATAAGTTCGAATCCTGGGTCGGATGGCTTGAGTGGAGGTCGTACACGAACAGCTGGGAAGGCAAGGTTAGTTCGGCAGTCACAGAGACTGTGGACAGGGGATAAACCTACCAACTTTGACGGAGGTCTTGCTATCCTCATCTGAAGCCCGACTTCCACCTCCAGCCTTACTGGTCATACTCATGCGACTATTTGTTCGCGGCGGGCGCATCATGGCGCTCATAGGCCTCGAAGGGATGCCCGCGGGCGAACCAGGCGGCGAGCTAGCCATCGCTCTACTGTTGGATGCTTCGTTGCGACAAAATGCAATGTTCTGAAGGTGATGTGGTCGTGAATACGGAAAGAGTGAGCCCTGGGCAAGGCGATAGGAACTGGAAGAACGGAGTTATTGAATCTGTAGCAGCCGTCGCGGAAGTCGCAAATAGAAGTTTTGTTCGGTCGCCAGGACAAGTCTTGGACTGCCTCCTCTGCTGTGATTGCAGGGACCAGTGTATCAGTGTGGTGTGTCTCCGAGAGACGCGTGGGTAGTCGTAGTCGCTTGTTGACCTGGAGGCGGTGATTCGTCGGTGGTTATTTGGGAGGTCCGACAGGTCAGATATGGTTATAACTGCGCGTGTCGACAATGCGAGTGGCCCTCGCACAGCAGGTGGATGCAAGGCGATGCGATGCGGTCGCAAGACTAACAATACAGAGAATTGGAAGTTGTACTGTAATTGTGATAGTAAAAGGAGTAAATGGAAAAGACAGGACAGGACAGGACAGGACAGGACAGGGCCGAGTGAGACGGAAATTCTTTCAGGGGCCACGCTCCAAGAGTACTGGAATAAGTTTAGCCCAGCCGGCCGGTAAAAGGGGTTAGCGTAAGTGTTAAGTGGGTCAAGGTACAGTACCTAGCCTAGCCTAGGTACGAATACACAGTAGGTGCGGCTGGTGGTACGGGTACCTTACGGGTTAGATTAGGTACAAGAAACACGACCGTACTACTACAAATAGCCTCAGGGGTGAATATAGAACGATAAGGACGCCTTTCCTTCTCCTTCTACTATTATCAATTATCAATCCAGCGTCTTTATTTAATACCACACCAACTGGCTCTCCTTCCGCGCCAAAGGACGAGATTGCAGGGATATCTTCCCCTTTAACTTTAACCTTGGAATCTGGCTGGTTCTGGACCCCTGGAACCACGAGCTTTCATATCGATAGGGATAGGTACGGGTATCAAACACCTACCCCCCCCCCCCCCCCCCCTTATCCCCGCATCTCTGACTTGCAGGACGGTGGCTAGAACCGAGCCTTTCTCCAGCTGGGAGACAGAGGAAGTCTGTAAGGCTTTCTAGTCACGTTTAAAAAAAACACGCTACTTGTACTGTACTGCAAACGAATTTCATAAATTTTGGAAAGTATGGAGTACAGTACGGGAAGGTTCAAATTCTGCCAAACCTCGCCTCGGCTTCACTATCACTTTTTGGCAGCTCTAAGAAGGATACGGATTATGGCTGCCAGCCTTAACATTAATCGTTCTGAATGTGGAAGTAGTCACGCTTTTAATTTAACAGTTGAAGAAATTGTGTTTCATCATATTCATCACGATTTTGACAGCGGCACGGATCACCGGCTTTGTCACCAGCCTCATTAAACATAAAGCCTGACTCAATCCAGATATGCTACATAGTCTTTGGCTCGCATAGCATAATAAAAGGATTTTATTATTATTTGTATTACAAATCCTTTGCACAAGTGCAAGTGCAAGCCCAAGCCCACGCCAAAGTTGCCCCCCCCCCCCACCCCCCATAATAAATAATATAACCTCTCAAGCCCCTTGAAAAGGATCCGATACAAGGCCCAGATGTGGTAAATACTGTCCGTACAGAGTACATACTCCGTACAGCCTTGGCCCAAATAGTTCCCGTTCAACGGGTTGGTGGCTTGCTTCTGGGCTTCGGTCTATTTCATCGTGCATGTTTCCGATGTACCATAAATGCCCGAGACTCTGAGATGAGATGAGATGGAAGCTTCTATGTATATTACATTCCCTTCCCTTGTAAATATTCCTGTCTTCTCTTCGACTTCACAGCATGTCCGCCTTAGAGTAAATTGAACGAGGCATGATCAAGCTCGCCTTTTTTTTATACGGAGGTAAGTACGGACGAATATGACTAGACGCAACGCAAAACACAACCTTTATCAAAGTATCTGAGCGCGGAATCCTGCTATGCCTCAATCCTCATATCTAATCATTTTATACAAGTACCGACACCACTTCCTCTGCGGACGATTGGCTATCGCTACGCCGTGAGGCGGACTAGGTACAAAAAGCAACCCCGCAACTCCATGGCCGCCCCTCCCTGAACAACAAGTTCGGTCTTCTCCCAAACTCATCCTTAACGGGAACGGGGTCCCTCCGCAGTTCCCGTGGGTAATTTGACCCAAGAACATCCAAGCGTGCATACCTTTTGCGTTGCGCACGTCCTTGAATTTACCTTTTTGTTCCTTTTCTTTGAAGATCTGGCGATCACAACCATGTACGGAAAAGTCCCTCTCCACAGCCGGCGCGGCAAGCAAGTGCAAGCAAACAAGCACAAGCACGGTTGAGTTGATATCAAAGTCCATGGTACGAATTCATTCGTAAACGAAGTAAAAGCTTCAACTTCTCAACTCCGGCAAATCGAACTAACACATGCTAGTTCCCCATATGAGTCCATATGAGTCATGGCACAAAAGTAAAATATAACCCCGCCTCCATAACTCACGCTCATACCTCAAAATACCCGTCCGTCCCCAAAGCGTTTGACGCAACTACCGGTACATGTTATGTCTTCCTTCCCTCTAGACCCACCATCCTACCAATGGAGCCAACAATCTTCTTTCCTATGGAAGCGTCGTGCTCTTGCCTCAGAGCCAATGTGGATCCCGAGACCAAAAGAACTACATGAGATGTTCATCGGCGGGACAATAAGTCTAGAACATCCTTTACCAAATTGCACACTCAAGTCAGCTGCCAGGAACGCCTGGCGAAGTCTACGTTTTGAAATTCCAGAATTGGTAGCAAAGGGACAATTTCAAGACGGGAAGCCGTTTATGCAGTATGAAACACCTAAAGACGAAGATGAAGTCAATAAGTGGATCAATCGAACAGCTTTTTTTGATCAAGAATTGAATGATTTAAGCTTTGAGGGTCAAAGAGAAAAGCTTCTTATGAGGAAACAAGCCTTTGGCCTGGACACTGCGTCTCTACTTCTATACTCAGAGCTAGATACAGACTTCGTCAGCCGTTTTCATCTAATGCTCAATATGGACCATGAAGTCACAGACGGTATCGGGATTCGGATTCTCTTTGGAAAGTATTTGTCTCTTCTGGCAAAGTTTTTGTCCGGCTCTCCAGAAGTAGGTGAGATAAAATGGGCTGAAAGTAGTCGGAACCTCTCACCACCATGGATAAGCATCATGGACGAAGAGCAGGTTACTTATGGGCCTGAGTACGAAGAAATGGTCCAGATGAACAAGACTCTGTTGCTCGAGAATATGGTAATCTATCTTTTCTCTTATACTTATCAATCAATACTATCAATCAAGTGGTTGCTCTTGAATAATACCGCTTTAAAACTCTCGATTTCTCCAAATGTCTCAATAAAAATTTCGTATCAGGACCAGTCAATGATTATATACTTCAAGGTGTCCCAGAAGCCCGAAAAACATCTTGTCAATCGTAGCTCTTCTCAGCCTCTTACCTCTCATTCACCTCAAGTATACAACTTCCGCTAACCCATACCAGGCCCAAAACCCAGGCCTTCCCCTCCTAACTCAACCATCCCCACCATCCCAACAAACGCACTTTATAACCCTTTCCACCACCCAGACCTCCACCCTCCTCACCTCCATCAAAACCATATCACCCGCCGCAAACATCACATCCCTAGCCCACGCCGCTCTCGTCCTCGCCCTCCTCCGCTCATCCCCTTCCCCCCTACCACCAACATTCTACTCCTCATGCTGGCTCAACGGCCGCCGATACCTCCATCCCTGCCCCCAAAGTCCCCAACCCGTAAACCAGTATATACCATGCTGCATGTCCTTCGCACCCATCATCTTCCCTGATCTCAGCTCCCTGCTCCTGGCCAAAGACGCAAGCAAGACTGAGATCAAGCACAAGCTCAAGAAAGCATGCCTAGTAGCTACGAGCGAGTATATCAAGATCCGGGAAAGAGAAAGCATGTTACCTGAGATTGTAGTATTATTAGAGACGATTGGGCAGGCGATGTCTAGGTATCCTCCCCTCTTTCCTCGCTATCCAATGCTGGATTGACCAGCCTTAATTATAGAGCAAAAACGGAAAGTCCCACCACTCCCACGCAACGTCCTACTACAGCAGCACCTGTGAGTTCACCCCCACGGCTTGAGAGTAGCGGAAAGAGCAGAGCCGCGCTCGCTGACACATATGTACTGTAGCTTCTCCTCAGTGATGGAAAGGCAGAACCATACATCGCGCATTCCTACTCCTACCCCTCTTCCTCACCACCTCTCTTTGTAGTCGAAGAGGTAAAATTCGCTGCTAATGCTGATACGGAACTGTTTGTCTCCTGTCTCTTTTCTCCGTTTCTCTCTCCCATTCTCTCTCCCTCTCTCTCTATCTCTTGAATGTGATCGTGATCGTGCGTGGTTTGACGACATGAATAGGATTGTACGCATGAGCAGTTGGCGCAACCGCACCACGATATCGGGGGAATGGAACGCGAGGGACTACGAGCGGGGCTACATCGAACGGTTTCTAGACGAGGTGGTGCGGATTATGCTCGCGATTGTCGATTAGAAGGGAATATATTCTTCCCGCGAGATGAAGCGAATCCGCGACAAATAGTTACGCACTTGCAGTATCCGGTCCGAGGCTTCGGGGGGGATGACGAAGTCCTGCATCTTGCGAGCTATAATGGGAAGGACATGAGTGGGGACAGGAATGCGTTCTATGATGATCAGAATGGCCTTCTTTGGAGAATATTAATGAATGCTTTTATAACGCCAGCGACTCTTTATAGCGATGATGATCCCGATGTCCCTAATGCTACATATAAGTATCTATTGAGCGGCTCTTGTCTGATATAATACCCAAACTCCATATCTTGAAATTCCCAATACTCCAACGCTACACAAAAACATAAGGGTATCACTCAATATTCCAATCATTCGCCGTCCTGACCTCTATAAAAGCAAGCACACTCCTCAATCGTCCAGCACTAGCCCCCAACCACTCCCTCGCCGTCTCCTGCCTCTTTCTCGCCCCCACATCCTTCGGCTTCTTCTCTCCCTTACACTTGTCATCCCTCGCCTTAATTCCCCTCTCGATAGCCTCACCCAGCTCCGGCGTATACCAACACTCACAACTCCTCAAAAACAGTCTAAGGCAGTTCTCCACCAAGATCGACACCTTGGCATTCTCGTCCGTAGAGGAAGTAGAAGCCGGGAAAGGGAGAAAGCATTTCTCGAGCACTTCTTGGGTGAGGTCATCCGCGTCGTTGGACGTGATTGAGTGGGGAGAGGGGGCATTGTTTGGGAGGAGGAGTTTGAGGACTAAGAGGGTGAGGGAGACGAAGAGTTGTAGGTGAAGGAAGGAGTTTGTTGAAGGAGACATAAAGAGGGAGAAGGCGGGGATGGGGGCTTGTTTTAGGCAAGTGAAGACCATTTCGTAGAGATTAGTAAGGGGGGTGAGTTCATCTTGGAAGTAGAATGATGCGCGTGAGAGCTGGAGTTGTTAGCAATAATCTTCTATGCAACATAAAAGGTTGTGTACATACCAATGTCAGAACACGCTGCCGCAGAGCAATCGATTCTGTGCCTCCTAAATACGGATCCACCAAAGCTATAGGCATTTCGTCCTCGTCCTTGTCCTCGGCTTGCATGGGCGATGAGTAGCCGTCCGCATAGTCAGCTTCTTCTTCATAATCTCCGAATTGGTGATCCATGGTATCCGCTCTTTTGCGTTTCTGCCCATTCTTGTCCTTTGTTTCGCTACCGACGAATACCTCCGGAAACTCCTTCAGACTGTCGGGTCCCGCGTCAGCGAACACGGATCTCACAACACGCCTCATAGCGCTTGATTTTTGACCAACTTCCGACAGGTAGTTCATAAGCAGACCTTTCTGCACCATAGTATAGTCGCACTCCCCGTCAACGCCCCTCATGCCCTCACGATCCAGCCGTTCCCGCTCTTTCCAATCTGCATCCAAAACATCTAGCATATAGTCGAGGTAGACTTTCCAATACTGCCATCTCTTGGGGTACTTAACGCTACAATTGAACGCCCACCCCACAATATGCCAAAAATCCGTTGCACAGTTCCGTATCCTGCCTTTATTTCCAATGATCCCTTTCACTAGCTCTACCTTATCGTCTGTAGTATCAGAGCCGCTGACGCCTTCATCATGTTCCAATGCATTCCTATTACGTCTCGTGGTTCTGGTAGATGTGAGGGGAGAAAGAGAAAATGCTTCGACGAGATTCGCATTTACAGGCCCAAGAATAAGAAGCGTGTTGCGCAGGAAGGTGATTGATTTTGACGCGAGCTCGGAACGCTCGTCTGGGGGCGATTGGCTTGTATGGAGGGGGTGAATGAGTAGGGCGCTGACAAGTTCGATATGGTATGGTATTGGGACAAAAGCTGGCTTGTCCTGAGCTTCTGGATGGGATGCGCCAGACGTGACGAGATCCCCTAGGAGCGTGAGAGCACTCCCATCTGTTTGCGTTAGCTTGTTCTCGTTTATGAGAAGTGATACACACATAGCTGTTCATCTAGGAAGATATGGCAGTGTTTTTGAATATCTTCAGTTATTGGAATTCCTGGCCGGTACTGACAGCGCGATACTGCTTCTTGGAAAATCTCATCTTCTTCATTGAAAAGGGCATCAGGCATGTCGGAGTCAAAGGGTACTGGCGAACTTGGAGCAGTATGAAAGGAGCAATCCGAGCTTGGTGACGGAGGGGAACCCATCGTGGGGTAATGCATGGGACGACGCGACTTGGTGATGCGCTGCTTTTGTGATATATGAATTTGATTAAAAGCAGCGAGTCAGCAGCAATATATGAATAGAGCAGTGACAATAAGCGGTTGCACTTTTCTGGACTTGCGAATGTTTCTTTTTCAAGGTAATGATAAACTAAGGTTTATATAGTTGTTTTCTGATACAGAGTTGTACCTGCCTTGCCTGCCCTTATGCTGTTTAGAATCTCAAATTTGCGCTAAGCAAAGACTTAGCAGGTGGCTCTGAAACCATCTCTTCTCTTACAACTCAGCTTCCACGATTAAATTATTGATGATATACTAGCAGGAGACCCTTAACTCTGGGTGCCACGTATGCAGCCGGTACCATGTCATTTGGAGGGGCTGTTGGGTGAGTTCGAAGTTATAAGGACCATGGCATTGTCTAGGTATAGTTTGGTTCCCTGTCGTTCATCCTCTACTTCTGTGTCTTTCAAAACGCGACCTTTCTCCCCTTTGAAACTCCTGGCTATCATTATATATGCAGCAGTACAAACCTCAAGGTTAGTTCTCATCCTTTTATCCAGTTCCCGAATCATTTGCCCTTCTGGAGGGACCATCATAGACGCGTCCCATATGTTGGCTCAGGAGATTTCAGCTATAGTCCGGTGGACGTGAACAAGCCACAAACCCCATGAAAAAAACTGCTCTACCAATGAGACACGGTACTGCTACTTCATCTCCAGAACCAGAGAAGCCGATATCTTTTCATCTGGCCCTCGGCGCTATAGCTGAATCACAAAAACCAACCGCCCATTGCAACCTCCGACCCATCAGCATCAGCATCAATCCTCGTCAAAGGACGCCTCTCCCCATCTGCCCCATCCTTCAAAAATGCCAAGTCTCCCAATAATAACCCACCCCTCCGTTTCATCTCCTCCTTCTGCCATTCTTCCTTGGGGTCTTTCACCACAAACCCCGCCTTAGCCCCCTCACCCTTTAGCGGCTCCGTCTCGAACACTCCCCGTTCCTCACTTTCCACCCCAAGTATTGCAGCATAAGCCTTCTGTAGCGTCTTTGCTCTGCCCCCAGGTACAAAGATGGCCAACCGCTGGATTCCATATGCACCACTAGGATGCGTGACACACTCTTTCGAAAACGGAACCCGCACCTCACGATCCGTGATATCATGACAAAAAAACGGTAGTTCTCCCCTCTGGTATCTATCCGAGACGACAGGAAACGTAACTTGCCATTTGACATCCACCCCATCATCCCTCTTCCTCCCTCCCTCCACGGGTTTCTGATACCTAACCTCCTCCTCACCATCCGCCCATTTCACCTCCCCCAACCTCTTGCTCACAAGCTCATAACTCTCCTCGGCACCTCCACTTCCCTTGCTAGTAAAAGCAAAATCAATAATCCCAAAAGTCTTTTTACCCCACCAATGCCCCTCCCTCAAAGCGGGGTCATCGTTTATGAATGAGATGAGCTCGATGTACGAGCCGTCTTTAAAACAGATGAGCTTGTTTTCAGTTTTGTTGTCTGCATGGCGCCCGCCGGGGGTGACGGTGAAGTTTTCCGTCAGCCATGCGGGTAAGTCGATGAGATGGGCGTACGGGACGAGAATTATGATGTGGTCGAGGTGGGACATTTTTGGTCCTGGTCTTGGTGAGGGTAGATGTAAGGAGGTGGTTAGTTTTGGAATGAGTTTGAGTGCTTGTAATCTTGTAATCTTGTACTTGATGACTCCTCGCGGGTTGAGTGCTTGAAAGTGGGTTGTGGCTGGTCACCTGACGCATGTGATCTTCAAAATAAATTCACTGAACTTCGAAGAATTCGGAATGATTCGGCTCGCACTTATGTAAACTGATAGTTAGTGATACTGGCCTTTGTTAAGAATACCCCCCCTGCGACGTATAAATCCGGGCTTCTTCTTATTTTGTTGGTCTACTTCCCTCGGCTAGAAATAGGGGGGGGCCAGTAAGCGAGAGAGACCGTTGCTGGATGGGAGGCAGAATAACATGATACAAGAAGTTAGGAGAGGATGTCTTGCTTCTTGTTGTTGTTATACAGCTATCATTAGTCTCATAACACTTGGTATAGGATAACTGTTTTCTTTTAGTGTGTGTCTGATTTTGAGCCTCAAGCATTTCACCAAAGGGTGCTTCTCCAAATCACTTCCTATCTACCTATATAATGTAAATCATGCGCTTTTGTTGCAGATGGGTCGGTTGCTAGCCAGTCTTTAGGTTGTAGTTGAAACGCACTTTCTTTTAAACCCCTATTCATTTTTCCGGTGCGGAGCAGAGGAACATGCACGAGCGTCCGGGTTTTTTTTTTTTTTTGGTTTTTTGGTCCTTCAGCCTGTACGTCTTGCTCAAAGGCTAAAGAAGAGGCAGATGTGTTATGTATTTCATTGCTTGTTAGTTGAAGGTCTATTCCGCTTATTCTGCATCTTCCCTATTCACCCTTTCCCATAATCCCAAGAGTCACCTACCATCAACGCCCATTCACATTTCTTCTAGATATCCACCTTATCATGACGGTCAGCTCAGCAGCTCGAAGATGGAAAGCTTGGGGCACTAAAGATAGTGGTTGAGTAGTTGATCGTGTACTATTCTGCATTCCTAGACTTCCTTGCCCTCGCCCCTGAATATCCTGTTGAATGCATCCTCAAGCTTAGAGTGGCTTGTAGATTCTAAGGGTAGATCTAGAATGGCACCGCCGCCCTCGCACCTGCAATCAGCCTTGACAGTACTGGTGTCGCAGGTCCAGCGCTACTTGCTGCTATTCCACATGTATTATGCCTTGAATCTGGACTGCCAGTGACATTTGTAGCACTGACCATCGAGTTCGACATCCAGGAGAGTCCCGTTTGGAATGAGGTTTAAGGGGCATGGTTGCGATTTTTGTGGCTGATGTAAGTTCTATTGCTCGTAGCGATTTTCAGGCGTGGAGTTTCGTTATGTGTTTGTGGAAATGGACCTTGCTAGTTGTTTGCAGAAGTACGGAAGCAGGTGGTATTGGTAAAGTTATGGAAGTTCATTCTCGCATGTTGTTCGTGGCTTTTGTATCCTTGATTCAGGTCGAGGGAAGAAGCACTGATTCACATATTCGTCCTGCAATTCAAAATGATTCACTTCTTGTTCACATTCACAGACTTTGCCCGCCACTCACAGACTCTGCTCATCATTCGCAGGCGTGCCCATGTATTTAAGCTTCTGCTCCCCATTTGAAGACATCGATCCTCCAGATTGATAAATATCTCACAGCATCCTGCATAGCAAATAATCCAGCAATAACTACGACATACATTTCACAATACCAGCTCTTCCTCTCTAAGCGATTTCTCGGAGAACCAAAACGCACAACTACCACACTTTCAACAACCCACCATCAGCAATGACGGTACCATCATCTCCGCAGCAGGGCGACGTGATATACATGGAGGGACAGGAACACATGGTGTGTGACAAGTGCAATGAGGAACCGATCGTAAATATCCCTTACACCTGGGATACAGAAATGCAAGCTTATGGCCGAGCGGAATCAGGCTACACCGCCAAGTGTCCCGAGTGCTTGAAGAGAACTCCAAATAACCCCGGTTTGCTCATTTTGTTCAGCTTGCCGAGATGGATCCGTCTTGAAGCCAAGGAAGAGAGCAAGGGGGGCCTTTTCAGTAAGGTGGTGGGAACTTCGAAGCTGGCCCGGTGGTTCCAGGGGGACAAGTCAATGGACAAATGAATATATCCTGGACATGTACATGCGCGCGGTTTTGGAAAGGGGGCTATAAGGAAACGGGGATGAAATGATAAGCAATGATACCTTTGTATTCACAAGAAGAAAAAGAGCCTGACCTGAGTTTTGAAGTGATTCCAATTTGCTGGTCTCCCTAAATAGAATATGAAGGCGAAGATGCCCCTAAACCAATGTGAAGGTCCTAACCGACATCGAAATTTCCAGCGCCTTGGTACTCGACTATGCAAAGATCCGAATTCTGAAAGAGACTGACACTAGTCTGCAGGATAAACGTTAGGAAATAAACTCACATTCCAAACCATGCATGACACCTACTTACTGCTTGTTGAGGGTCTCGTTGGTGGTCACGCACAAAACAGCAAGATAGTTCAATACGGTCTATTATTCTAGACTATTCGCTCACATATATGAGAACATCTGTCTCGGGGGTATGCTGAATCGATGAAACAAAAAATCATCATAAACAAATGGGAGCGCCCACTGCGTAATACCAATCACCTAGGATTTGGTCAGGGTATGTTGAAGAGACCATCCATATTTCCACCGTTCATCCCACCCATGTATTTTTATTCGTCATTACTCATGAATCGTCCATTCCATCCTCATTGATCAGCAGTCTTGATGGAATTCATCAAAACTGGGCTGCCGGAGACCAGGCTTGCATTTTTGCCGTGGATGAATTTCACAATAGATATGATCTTGGCGCGTGTAGGTAAGTCGAGCTGCTCGGCCGGCTCGTCGAGTACAGCTGCGAAAACTTCGACTAGCTTTGGTGTCAAGCCGATGATTGTCTGGTTCTCGTGCATGTCTAACAAAATGTTAGTAAAAAATTCTACGGAGGGCTAGAAATACTTACATAAGCCAGTGATACACTCGAAAATAGGCTTATTCTCCTCGTAGTCTTCCTTCAAAGGAAGCTGTCCCACGATGGTAGGCATGATATCATCAATTGGAACCTTGTCTGGGTGAGCCATGATCATTCGGCAGAGACATCCCGAGGCATTGTCTAGAGTCCTAGCTGTCTGTGTATGAAGCATGGGCTCAAGCTTCTGCAGGATGGTGTTGAAGCTTGGAAGATATTCGGCTGAGTTGGTTGAGTGGAAAACAAGTAGACCGATGGCGTAAGCGGCGTTCGACTTCGTCTCCGAGTCCTCATCACTTAATCTGTGTAATAGCAGCTTGAGGAGTACGCTGGTATATGGTGTGACACCTGGCCCCATGTTTGCGGTACACTCTGCAATAACTCCAATGGCTGTAGAACGTTCAAAGTTTGTCTGCGAAGATGCGTACTTCTGGACTGGCTTCAGGAAGACCTTCCACACCTCCGTGAATTGCTCCCCGAGTGCTAAGGACAGTCCGATCACAACATCCATAGCAGTATCGATCACGAGCCAATCGTACTCGGACGATTCTTCTTCTTCAAGGCCCTCATGGTCATCCTCGTCACCAATGTCTTGTTGACAGGGATGTGTCTTTGTAATGATTGTAGCTAGGATGGATGTCGCACGTTCAGCAAAGTTGGCTTGGGTGAGGATAGCTGGGCCACATAGTTTCAATGTAGCCGCAACATTTCGGTTGATATCTGTAACGACAGCCCTGATATCATCCGGTGTCAGCTTAAGAGCCTTCATATTCTCATAACAAGGTAGAAGGAAGGATGGGATGGGGTCAGATTTTAGATACGCGTTCGCAGCATTCGCAACTTGTGCGTCTGAGTGAGCTGGGTATAACGTCATGTTGATCATCATTCCCAAGATTCAAAAGCCATACAATAAAAAGAAAATGTAAACTTACCGGTCAGTCTCGTCCTCCCACAGAGACAAAGTGGCGACAGTAACAACCTCCCCAAGCTTGAGGACCTCTTCTGATGGTTGAGATTTCAGAGGCAAGCCAGGAGCCCACTTCTCGCCGGTGTGATCCTCCATCAAGGCCCAAAGGCATGCATATGCACGCCACAGGGTACCAATGGCTGTCTTTCTGACACCCTCGTAACTGTGCTCAACCAATCCCATAATGGTCTCAATTGCCTTCTCGAAGTAAGGAACAAAGTTCTTTCGGGTGTGAGAAAGAACATCGCCAAGTACCTCAATCGCAATTTCCTTCTCAAATGCCACGGCTGTGACCGCCTCCAAATCATCCCAATCCTCATCGTCATCGTCTTCCATCTCATCGAGGTCATCTGGTGCATCGCTTGCAGACGCAACCTTGATCTTTTTGCCAGCGACGATAACTTCCTTGCCCAGAAGATCCTGTGCCTCCTCGCCCAATTCAACTTCGAGATCAGACTCTTCCTGATTCAGACTCTCCATGAGGCCTTTGACGACGCCATCCAAGAATGGCGTGAATTCTTCCTCGTATACTTTCGCCAGTGTACTCCACAGGATGTAGCTCGTCTCCCTTAAGCGAGGGTGGCCTAGGTGAAGCCCTTCTTCACTAGCTTGCATTAAAGGCTGGACATATTGTTGGAAAGCTTGACCGCCAACAGCTTGTGCCATGTTGCCCATGGAATCACAAACAGTGGCACGGAGATCCAGCTCCTCTTGGCTATCTTTGATAGTGACATACTCTGAGAGCGCCTTCATGGTCTGCTCAAAGTAAGGCAAGAATGCATCCTCGGCTGATCCAGCGATGGATCCCATTGCACCTGCAGCACTTGCTTTGACAGTGAGATCTTCATGGCCAAACAATCGGCCTAGTCGAGGGATAAGCTCTGGTAGGTATGTAGCCATAATGTCCTTTTCAAGACCATCTGTGACAGAATCCAACGCGCCACAAGCAGCTTTCAGGATCTTGAGGTTCTTTTCTTGTTCGGCCTCGGTGGATGCTTGGACGCTGGCGGAATCAAGGTTCTTGAGCAAAGCTGGGATAAGCTCAGCGTGAAATTTGGACAAGTCCTCAGCGAGGTCATCCGCTAATCTAGCAACCCCAGTCAAAGCAGCGTTGCGAACACCACTGACAGGATCATTCAAAAGTCTCATAACACCTGGCATCAAAGTGTCTATTTGAGTGCCAATGAAATCGGGCGCACCTTCGACACACATCCCAAGTGCGAGAATACCAGCTTGACGATATGCAGGGTCTTCATTATTAATGTAAGAAGGCAAGACGTTAAGAAGTGGGACGATGACTTGTCGAGGCGGTAAACTGCTGGCCAAAAGATCTAAGAGGCCTAATGCGGACCTATGAGGGTTGACCTCGTCGTCTTCATCGTCTTCATCAGTAATTTCTGTAGCAATCTGCATACACTTGAGTGTGAGAGTTTCGCCCATGTCTTTGGTGCCCTGGATTTTCATCTTGCGATATCTCGCAGCCTGCATCAAGAAAGAGAGAGCTTGATTCCTGGATTCTTGGGCAATATCTTTGTTGACAGCAAGGTCGATCATGAATGTCAAGAGATCCTTGAAGTGAGAACTCAAAAGAGCAGTTTCGCATCCAAGTAATGTCTGGAAGACCTCGAACGCCTGCATAACTCGCTCCTCGTCGTCCTCATCCACGGCGCCCTTTAGAACAGCAACCATATTTGGTAGAACCTCAACAAAGCGGGCCAGGTTCTCTGGATCCTCTTCAGGTTGAATCAACATAGCTACTCTGCTGAGACAAAGCAGGGTGTTGATCCTAACCTCGGAGCTCTCTGGGTCTTTGAGAGTATTTCCAAAGAGTGTAAAAAGATTGGACAATTTGTCCTCAAACATATCACCAGCAACCTCCAGCAAAGTGAAGAGAATGTAAATGCCGACCTCACGGTGTATGACCTCCTTGGAGGTCGAAGCTTGCGCGAGAAGACCGGGAAGAGGGGCCCATTCTCCATCTTCGAGATCGATTTTGGCGATAGCGGCAATAACGCGAGCGGAAGAGTGTCTGACGATTGCCTTCTGCTCATTCATCGTCGACTGAAGGAGCTGGTCGCGAATCGCTGGCTTCTGGCCTGCTGGAAGGGCAGCCCAGTGTTTTGGGACTAGACGAAGGGCTTCGACGGCAGCTTGTTGCCTGACCTCGGGGGCATCGTGAGACGTGAGGATTTGTAGGAGCCAAAGGAGAGCCTCTGGGTGGGGATAATAAGTTTTTCGTAGCTCTGCGGTGGCAGCCTTTACTCCATTTGTGTCAGCTGCAAGGACTGTTAGCGAACAGCGCTTTACTCTGGTATCGAAGGTGTTGGAAACTTACGAATTTGTATGCTTTTCAGCAGCTCGAGGAACTTTTGTTGCTCCATTGTTGGCAGTTGTCTACCGGCCCAACCATGTAGTAATTGCCAGTTGTTAGAGTTGAGACTGGCTTTTTGTTTTTGTTCGCGCAGTGGAGAGGAAATTTCTTGCGTGGAAACAAAAAATAGTTTTGGTATTGCTTAGCCCGCCTAAACTGGTCTAGGGGCAGTGAGGGGTCTTCTGCACGTGCAAATATGGGTCTTCTCCTCCAGTGAACGTCAAGGTCGGAGTAAATGGCTCGATATATCTAAAAGAAGTAGCGCTGCCCACGAATAGAAAATCTGTATATACCTACCTTAGTATAAGTCCTTCGAAACTCTTACGATACCCTCCTACAGTTCTTTGTGCGATACCTGAAGTCTAATAACATCAGTTGCTCCAAATAACTAGATTGGTGAGTCACGATTGATCCATTTCACGAGTACAGTATAGCTAAGAGCTCTCAATCAGGTCATCGAAATCAACATGAGTACTCCAACAGAGTGGTACCGAGATCAATATCTCATTTCAATCTCTCCATCGCTCCTTCAACCCGCCGCTGTCAATGAAGCATTCAAAAGCGACAGCATATACTGGGCAAAGCCGATAGGAGAGCCATTGGTCAAAAAGATGCTTGAGAAATCACTCTGCTTCGGACTCTACGAATTACCTAGCTCCACATCCAGTATTGCCGGTTCGTAGCCCCCCGTCTAATATACTTATTTACCCTTGCTCAAGGTTTTTCTAGGAAAGAACGGCCCGCGTCAGATCGGACTTGCTAGACTCATCACAGATGAAGTCTCCTTTGCTTATTTGACCGATGTATATGTTCTAGATGAGTTCCAAGGAAAGGGTCTAGGTACCTGGTTGATTGAGTGTGTTGAAGCTCATGTCATGAAGTGGCCGGAATTGAGACGGATCATGCTCATTACGAGTCATACAAACAAGCTTTATGAGGAAAAGTTGGGCGTGAAACCGTTCCCGCAAGGCGTGAATAATGAGATGAGCGTCTTCTCAAGAGCAGGCTTAGGCTCCGTGTTGCCGCACTGAAATGCTACTGTCTTGATGAGGATTTGAGGAGAAACATGGATAACAAGAAAATGCGTTGCATTGAAAGTCATACTTACGACACCGTCTTGATTTTCTCGGTTCGTTTGTCTATATTTGCATTTCGCTGATCCCTTTCCAACTCCAGGCCGTAATAAACAGAGCAAACCAAGGGTCTCATCACAAGGAAAGAGCGACAAAAAACACACTCGTCAACATAATCCCTGTCCACCAGATCGCAGTTTCCCCCGCAAGGGGATTTTCTTTTGTCCTCCCTCCACTGCTTTTTGCTTTCTCCCCTCCTCTAGACTTAGCATCCCCTGTGGAAGCAGCTCCAGCTCCGGTCTCTACAGAATTTGTCGTTGAAGAAGTTACAGTCGGCGAAACAAAAGCCTTCTTCGAGCCGTCAAAGCTTAAACAGGCCGTCGGCATGCTATAGCTAGTCCCGGCAAGTACTGTTTGACTCCCGACGGACGCAGCCAAGTTGAGTTCTGGCACAGATAAACCGCCTCCTACTTGTAACCCCACTTTGATGTTCGCTTCTGGGACGATGTGTGTGAGATTTTGGAAGGCGTGCGAGAGGAGCTCGTCAACACTCGTGATGTTGGTGATCGGCTCACACTGCTTATTTACACCTGCGAGATTCGCTATCGTGATTTTCAAAGCAGGGAGATCGATGAATGCTCCGGCAGTCATACCTGCAAAGCAAGATCTCGGAGTCAGCATTATGTGATTTAGCAAGTTGTGGGGGTAGGTATAAGATTCCACGGGAGTTGAGGCGATGTTTCAGAGCAGTCGACTCTCAACACAATCTAGACTCAACAACTCCTAGGATTTTCACAGCAGGAGACGTTATTTCAAAAATGTGACTTACTCCCATCGCCACTTAAAATATCGATTCCCAGATCCAGCTCGGCGTGAAGACCGATGCCGAGCGTAAGGGAGATTGAGGGCGATGAAGCACTAAGGGGAATTGCGGATATCTGAGCATTATTGAAGCCTTGAGAAGAGGACTCGTTTAATTGTCCAACGTTTAAGAGGATTGACGAGTTATCGGGCACCTAGTCAAATGTCTGAGCTTCAGCTTCTGCTAAAGGGATGAAGAGAACATACTTTCAGATCAAACCCGTACGTAAAATCTATTGCTCCTTTGATTTCAAGACTTCCCGTTATTACTGGTCGAAAGAATGGGCCAATTGTTGCGATTCCTGGAATCTATGCTCTCGGAGTTAGATGATTCTAGGCTGCATGAGACAGTCAAATGCTAACCTCAAAGCCAGGCAGTCCAATACTCGTCAGTATCTTGTTGAAGGATTGGGTAGTTGACAAGGACAGAGTCGTATCGAGTTCAACATGTGCACCCAAATTGTTCGCTACAGCTCTGAAGAATCCTGTATTGATGAAATCTATCGCTTTTCCACCATCAGTTGTGGAGTTGCTGACGGTAAATTCTCCCTCTACAATATCTATCGTTCCACTAACGGAACAATTACTGCACTTGACGGTTGCTGAGTCGGTCACTGTGCCCACCCTGTAAGATTCATTAATACAATCCTTCCTACAGTAGAGTGTTACTCACGTATTGGATAGGGTAAATATTGCTTGGTTTGAGGGCACCTGAAACCCGACATCGGCGTGGATAGAAGAATTTGCATTTGGAGTGGATGTTGATGCGGCTGTCTGTGAGGTGGGAGATGATGCCGCTGCTCGTCGACGACGAAGACCCTCGTGAACTCGGAGAGAATCTTCTCCATACTGATCATAGCTCATGCCAAATTTCACAGTCATGGATTTATATGATTCTTTCCACTGGATCCGTCGGACAACAAACGCCGCTGTCAATGTTTCATGGTCATAGTGGACCTCGGATACCCTGTTGGTCTCAGAAAATCGGTCTATGATATCTCAAGAGGAATACATACAGGTATGGAGAGCGTTCGCCATCTTCATTGCACCCAAAATGAGAAGCGATAATCAAGAACTCTGAGATGCTATCCCAAGAGTCTCGCGCGGCATCGAACATATGGACCTCAGCGAATTCAACCTTGATGGTAGAGTCGAAGCACTGGATGTCCTTTAGATTCATCTCGATATCTTCCAGAATGAGTGCTGGAAGTCTGTACTCCATTGACGTCTTTGCAATCCTGGTCCTTCCTCCGTCCAGAACAGATGCATCTATCAAATGTGTCAAGGTGGGTTTCTTGGCTCGAATGGACAAAACCTACGGTCGGCATAGTGGTGTTCGCATTGATACTTTGGTTTTAAATCATCTTCTCTTTTTCGCAGGTTCGCCCGAACTGAAATTGCAGTCAATTTTGGAGAATTGATTCTTGGGATATCTCGAAGCGAGACCCCCGATTTGTCGATACTCGCATCGATGAGGCTACATAGAACTAAGAGAACCAGTGCTGCCGAACCCAGAGAGAACATAATTGACCTGCAATTTCTGATCTTGAGTGATTAAGAATAGGAACTTAGGACGAACGAGTAGAGAAAAAACAATCGGACTGCTAGCTTCGACATCTTGGGGGCAAGCATAGGTATTGTACCCCAAACACGGCACATATGTACAGTAGAAACGACAGAAACAATAGAACCTACCCTGGGAACCATCCTCACAAGGCTGAGTGATCAACACAAGGCACGAGTGGACACTCAAACGCGTCCAGAAAATCCTGCGTGTTAGATTGCCGGCTCACCTCCCAAAGTAAGCAGGTTCCGAACGCTGGCCCCGGATCTTTCAACTTTGCCTCCAGCATTTATAGGGCTTAGCAAATCCTTTGAATGCAAGCTTGCTACTTCTATGCAGTGTCCTGCATTGTTGGTGTAGTATTTATGTTTCAATTCTCCAACGAGGCTGTGTCTCACCTTATACGGCGTATGCACTCAGCCGCTATCCAAACTGTCGGGTCGAAGGATTCAGGGGCCATTGTTTTGCTACGCGAATCCTGAGCCCAGAAAACGAATCTTAGGGGGAAAAAAGTTACAATAGAAATTTGGAGGTTTGAAATAAATTAATGGTTGGCAAGTACAGTCGGATTTACAGAGGAATAAGCCGATTTGAGGTCAATCGCGCTTTTCTTTTTCGTCAACGCTATTAGCACAACAAGTCAATCTACTATTCCAAAATATTCAAGGCCAAACGACAATAATATGCACAGGCTGGTTCCACTCACGTAAAGCCATGCCTGAAAACATTTATTTTTGACCTAAAACATATTTACTGAAGGAAACATGTGTTAAGTTAAACTTCGCCACAGCCCTGCGGCTTTTGATCGCTTGGCCAAGATGCCCTGAAAATCCCCCAATACCGTCAAGATCTTCTTTAACAAGTGATACCGTGGGGGTAAGATGTAAAAGCCACCATAAATACAGCAGATGAGGAAGACCATGGTGGACGGGAAGGGACGGCATAAAAATTCAATACAGTATGTAAAGATTGAAATAAGCAATTTCTTTCAATAAAAACCCCATTCCTTCTGGAAACGGGAGTGGGTTGGGTTTACACCTGACGTTTGATTTATAATAGTGTTTATGATACGTGGATATAGTGTTGTACGGCCCTGCTGTACAAGTAGTTAAGATATATACCGAAACACTATACTTGAAATGTTCGGTTTACCAGTCGTAAAGTCCATTATCGTGTAAATGAAACATCATGTCGGCTTTTTTGCCTTTTGCTTTGCATTTCTTTTTGCCATACTTTGTAGAAGTGCATGCTGCTACACGTGAGATGATTTGCCATGTGTCTTATCAAGAGTATCTTTCCAACTCTTAGCTAGCTCCCCAGCTTATGACTATTCATTGCTATGGTATCTGACATGACTCTATCTACTCTTCTGACAATCCTTATGGTATTTGTAATAAAGTCTGCGGTTCCTTCCGCCAGTAATTGCCTCCGCACGGGTCTGACTTTCGGCCCCAGGCTACTGCATGCGACCGACATGTTCCTAAAATAGCAAGAGAAGCTCTCGTGGAGGAAATACAATGTCATTCCATGCATAAAAAAAACGACTCTGCACACTTTTAACTCCGCTCTAGAAACACTTATTTATTCTGGAAGATCGTTAAAGTCAATACACGGTGAGAGAAGTTGAAGATGTGGATCTGGGTAAAGTACCGACCTGGTGGGTACTCAAAACGGAACTTTATTCCTTGGAGTCTTTCGAAACCTTGCTTGATTGTCAGGATTATTGACATGAACTTTGCTGGGATGTATAGCTTCTAGTATAATGCCCCAAGTATAGCATCTCATTTGATTTTTATCTCGTTCTTTGCCTTCTCGTCAATTGAATCAGTTCGTGGAGGCTGCATCTCCAGGTCACTCTCTCCATTACCTCCATTCTCACTAGCAATCAGTTCAGATGCCTGCTGCTTCTCTTCTGCCCTTTGAAGACCCTTGTCCTTGATAAACACACACAAAGCTAGACAAACTCCTATGAGTGGCACCCAAAGAATGAAGACCGCTCTGGAGGCATCCATAAACGCATCTAAAACTCCAGTCTTCTGTACGGGGGTCAGATTCGTCACGTCTGGTATCTTCAATATCGCCGCTAAGAGTCCGGACTTGTACCCTGCTGGCAAAGGCGTTGATATTGAGTTGAGAGATGCCTTCAAGACGTTTGAGAATAATGCCGAAGAGATTGCCAATCCCAGAGCTCCACCAAGTGATCTGCTGAAGTTTCGAACACCTATGACTACTGCGCGATCTCTCTTCAAAGAGTGTGCTTGGGCGGCAACCAAGGTGGGTTGGAATACCCCTCCAACCCCGGATCCTTCAAGGAGTAGAATAATGGTTATTTGCCACCTGGGAGTAGTCCTGTCTAGCAGGAGAATCAGACCCACCCCCAGAGTCCACAGGAAATATCCTCCCCAGATGATTTCACCATATCTCTTCAAGCGGGAGACATATTGCCCCGTGAGAATCGACATTGTAGACTGCGCGGCCACGAAAGGGAGTGTAAGTGCAGCCGAGAGTATTGGCGAAAACTGCCTGACGTTTTGATAGTAGATAGGAAGGTAGTATAGGTGCGAGTAATACACGATTCCGAACAGGAAATTTTGGACCATGATGGCGCACACAGCTGGAATTTTGAAGATGTGTAAAGGCATCATAGGCATGACTGCGAACTTCCACTCGACGATAATGAAGAGAACCATCGAAATGCTCCCTAGAGTAAGCATGGAAATGACCATTGGACTGCTCCATTCGAAGTATGTGCCACCCCCTGAGATCGGGATGAGAAGCAGTAGAATGGCCACCGAACTTGACGCAATCCCGTAGTAATCAATCGATTTGACCTTCGCCTTCATATCGCCATGTACTTTGCTCGGCGGTAAAGTGAGGGCAATCATGCCTCCAGAGAGTACAGACATTGGGCAGGTAACCCAGAATAATCCTCGCCATGTCGATTTTTCAACAAAACCACCGGCCATAAAAGGTCCAATGGCATTGCCGAGTCCAACGCAACTGCCGAGAATGCCCTGGTACTTTCCCCTATTTTCAAGTGTTACAATGTCACTGACTATCATCATAGACAGCGCCGCAATTCCTCCATTGCCAACTCCTGATATGCCCCTAAAGGCATACAATTGCGGTCCAGTCTTTGCAAACGAGCATAGAATATCCCCCAGAGCTAAGCAGCCCACAGCAGAAATGAAGACGACCTTTCTTCCAATGATGTCTGAGAGCCTTCCATAGAGAACTTGGAAGACTGTATTTGCAATCAAGCTTGAGGTTCCAGCCCAAGCAATTGTTGTTGCGCAGTTGAGGTCTTTGCCGATTGTAGGCAATGCAATACCGATGGAATTTTGATCTATGTAGCTGATGAGAAGAGCAAAAGCAAGACCACAAAAGACGACAACGAGCTTGGCTTTTGGCAGGATGTTCGTATCGATCCTGACTAGTTCGTTGGCAGACATATCAAAAATGCAAACGCAGTAATAACGCAAAATGACCTCGCTAACGTAACAACCGACAATGCAATGAAGTGATCAGCTTGGAGAGAAACATGTGCCAAGAGTGGAAGTAAAAATGGCTTCTGTGATGAGATAAAAGAGGATTTTCTTAGTCTGATTCATAGACGCGGATACATGGCCCTAATTCGCACCCTTTTGGCAAACACCCTATCAGATTCACTGGTACCATGTTTTCTGTGATGATGTATGCAGACTAAAGCTCATGATACCGTTTTTACGGTTAGTTTCATCTTTGAAAGGCGTTGAGAGCGGACCTCCGCGAGAACTCCACTCTCGGGAGGCGCGCCTTTTCGGAGGTTGACGATGATCTCCGATTGCCAAAAGCATCAAGTGTCATCTTGCTTGCCTGCTATAGGGAGTCTGGGGTTGGAACCTCTTGAGACCCACCGGCATTATAAGAATATCTGGACTGACCGCCATATCATAGCTTGCCTGCATTGCAGCTCGCAATTTGCAAATGGGAAAGCAAAGCTGGAGAAGCTGCTTCGGCCCTTTGAGCAGAGCCACGGTACAGAGATATTTTGTCTGTTCTCACCTAATATGTAAGAGGCTATGCCGATGCTTTGCGGGAGTGAGGCTCGAAGTAGTGAATATTGATTACGGAGAGAAGACATTTATTTGATCAAGGTTTGACGTTTCAAATTGCAGCCTCGCTCAGCCTTGTACGTTTTAAGCGAGCTTCGTATGTGCTTCTACCTAGGTAGATAGTTAAGAACATCCTTTGACATTTAGCACTTCCACAAGCAATTGATGTTTGTCCTCCTCAATTGAACCTTTGAGATAAACCTCGGGATCCTCACCCCCCAGATACCAATATTCAAAGTCTATCTACTATTATGGCAAGCCCCTATGAAGGTACCTACCTACCCCTCCTCCTCAAACTTCTACTACCCCTCTAACACCATTCAGTTGAACATGGCATAAAGCCCAGCACAACCACGAAACCCACTCGACGCCCTTCAATGTCCTCCTTCTTCGCCCAACTCTCCCAAATCGAAACCACAAACCCGCATGCCCAGCCCACCCCCGTGGAAGTGAGCGCCGCCGAGCGCCTCCTCCAAGACCAACTGACCACGCTCCGGCTCTCCGCACCCACCGAGTCCAACCAAGCGCTCCTGACAGAACTAATCTCCGCAATTGAAATGCAAATCGAGCACCCCCCAGAGAAGGCCGCTGGAGTGCCGCAGTCGTATCTGGATGAGCTGGATCGGGTGCCGAAGAAGCTGTTGAAGAAGACTGATACGTGTCCGATTTGTGGAGAGGCGTTCTTGGATGATGAGTACCCGCTTGTGGTGCAGTTGCCGTGTCATAAGACGCACCGGTTTGATCTGGATTGTGTGGGGCCTTGGTTGAGGATGCAGGGGACGTGTCCGTTGGATCGGAAGGAATTGATGAAGAAGAAAGAGGTTCCCAAGCCGGTTGAGGATGATGAGGAAGAGGATGATGGTGGGATGTATGCTTAGGGGAAGTGAGGGGGTGGGGTGTGGATTTATCTAGCATGAGCATGGCGTTTGGGAAGTATTTCTGGGTAAATGAGATGATTGGTAGTTGGAGCTTGTAGATGATACTCTCTCAGATATGAGATGAATACCATAGTATGTCATTTGGAATATGACCTTCCAAATGTTTGCCTTGAGGTTGTGAGCTTGCCTCCTTCCATTGACAATGTCGAGCCGCCTAGAATCTCTCAAGTCTGCTACCTAGTCGACGACAGCCAAATCGGCATGTGGAAATCGTCTTGTTACCCTGAACTAGCAATGCGTATATGTAGAATATTCCAATGCCTCGATAAGCGTATCAGGCCCATTATCTTGTCTGAACATTACGGATGAGCCGCTCTAGAGGGCCCTGAGTTGTAGTGAGACGATAGACAAAGTTTATAACTCTCACATCTCTTATGCCATCTTTCATATAGCTTTGTATTTGCATGATCTATCTCAGTGAAACATTTCCGAACAGAAATAGTCCAACCCCACACTAGTTTGTTGCAGGCAGTCACACGGCGTCACTGAGCCCAATGTTGAAAGATGGGCAATGAAAGGCGAGCTCTATTAAGAGCATACCGAGAAAATGCAGCAAATGTGCGTCGTTATACTAACCAGCATCTTTATGAAAAAAAACCATTCCCTCCCCTCTCACGTTCTCCCACCTTAAGCCTTGCTCTGCTGGCTCTCAATGTACTTGTATGCACCGAAAGCCGCAGCACCACCGAGAAGAATGATAGCGTAGAGACCAACCCCCAATCCGGTACCTGATTGTGTCGATGAGGTAGTGGTCGTGGCTGCTGCCTTGGGCTTTGGGTCTCCCGGCTAAACAGAATGGTGATTAGTATTTTGGTTTCAGAGGCTATGATTCATATGGGGTGGTATTACCTGGCGCTTCAAGGTTCCGATCAACAGACCGTCCAAGATCTCTCGTGCCTCGTCGCTGTGTCCGACATCTTCGAATGCCTCGGTTGCGTCTAGTCCACCAACATCTAGAAGAACTTCTTCTCCGCCACTGCAAGTAGGTTAATTAAGGTCCTCTAATGGATTTCCTTGAGGTGGAGAGAAATAAGGCGTAGGAATGGGATGCATAAGGGGGCCATTTCCACAAGGTGTCGTTGTCGACAGCTTGGCCCGCAGCTCTCGCAATAGGCAATTATCCATTCACAGATGCTATCAAACACACGCAGGTACGTTTGCTATCCTCAAGAACTTCTCCGACCGCCACGAAAGGTGGCCGTATCTGCCTGCCCACCTGTTGTATTGCCACCCCAAAGACGAAATATAGACTTACGGATGCTCATCAACGAAACTGCTGGAGTTGTAGACCTTATCGTGGATCACCAAGTAGAGATCCTTCTTGCTCGCATGCTCAGCGACTTGAGCGTAGGTGAGTTCTGCAGACATGGCGGCGGCCTGGAATCTTTATCTCCTTTCGGCAATTCCGAATCGTAAGGGTATCGAAGATGGCGTCTAAAGCACAATCACAGACGTGCGTGGGTTGGAAGAGACTGATGGGTGGCGGTGGACAATTGGGAGACTGGAGGCTGTATGTAACGTTGGTGGGAATCGAGACGAATTTACAATCAATCTGTTGAAGGATATCCCGAGGAGAGCTTTCAGTCCGAATCTATGCCGCGGGTTAACACTAGCTCCACTTGTCAGGTCAGCAAAAGACACTCCTTTACTATTGGCTACTTGTCACAAATCAGGAAGCTATTTTATTTCCTACTTTGGAATAATAAGCTGAGCCTTAACCTTAACTCAATCCCCGCTCGATATTGCTATTTTCAGGTAGTAGACAAACATCGAAGAATTTTAATCCTAGTTGTAGTAAGTCCCTATCTTTTTTATCTTATGAGGAACTGAACTACCACGAAGCATTCGGAATCTCCTGGCTCCGATGTTTCCTCGTACAGTACACCGAAAAGCCCAACCCTGTATATACCAATGCATCGCATTTGCTGCACCACCCCGGAAAATGAGAGCATCCGACTCCGTGTGATACGTATAACAACCTTTGGTTTAGAACTCCACCCATGTTATTTGTAGAAACACCTAACTACTCTACTACTGCAGCTTCGCACTCGTTTACCGTTTTGAACTCCCGCCTCCTATATCTTGCCCCAGTCTATACCCCGCAATCTTGTCCCACTCAATCTTTTGCCTAGTGATTGGTAATTGCCTCCTCAACCCCTTGAAGGCCCCCTCACTCAGGTTATTAAAACCCTTGTTGATCTCCTCTTGATACTTCTTTTCCGCAATCGTGATTTCCCTGATGATTGTGCTGGCAGATGCCAAGGACACTGACGCTGAAACTGGCTTCGTGGTTAAGAGTCGAACGTTTCCGTCTTCGTAGTAGTGTACGTCGACTTTGATGCTACCAGTGAGAGATGAAGATGAGGGCGAGAAGATATAGAGTGAACGCCAACGGCCGTTCCTGCTTGTATCAGCTATGAAGCGTGTTTTTGTTAAGGCCCGGCTCACCAGAAGTTGTTCGGGCTGTATTTGTTGGCAACCACCACTGCGGCAATCTTAGAGTCATCTTCAATAGGATATACACCATATGAGGCACTGGGATAGTGTTCTTTGACGTGGGTGCTGAGGCTCTTTAGAAGGGATTTCCTGTCGGACTTATTAGCTTCGGTCATGCTGTATATTGTCATTAAACGCACACAAGATCTGACTGGCTGCTTTCTAAAACATGGCTTTGGACGCCGCTTGCTTTCTGGTCTTATCAGCAGCTATATACCATCGCAAGCCCTGGGCATATACCTGTGTGCTGTGATCGAAAACGAAGCTGGATGAGCTCTCAACATCGTAGTATTTTCCGTCTCCGAGAGAATTGTACGAGCTGACTATGACCTGTTGTATTCTATCAGCACCCTTCTATTCCACAGCCCCGCGAAAGAGAACCGACACTTTGGCTGCTTCCAGGCAGCTTGACAGTTGCGAACTGTTCCTCATTGTATTTCTCGAATGCGGGTCCAAGCTGAGAGGCAAGACTAGGGGTATCGATTGTAAGAGCTTTGATGTCTAGGCAACTATCTTCAGTAACGAGTTCGAGGATCGCAGGAGGAAGTAGTACCGGCAATAACATCTGCAAGCTAGAAAGAGATCAGTCGGTGCCTTTTCCCGTAGATCGTTTGTTGACTTACCTCTCCTGGAGGGGCTCCTTCCACAAATGAGGAGACTGTGGCTAATGGGGACGCCATTGCAAAGAAATTGAAAAGGGAAATACACTTCGCGACTACTTCGTGAAGCTCCGGTATGAGCTTCTGCTGCGATCCTGAGGAATGAGACAAGCCCAATGCGTGTACCTTCTAAAGCTTAAACCCCTCGATTGTGGCTGAAACTGCGATGTGGCTTAATTCACGTGACCATAATTACCATTTTCTTAATCACTAGCACAAAGTGTTAATTAGAGTCTTGACTTGTTATGGACATTATGTTCTAAGGCTTGTTTGGTAGGGTGGTGCAGCCTGGAATCATTGTAATAACTCGTGGCGTGGCTAATAAATGGCAGCAGGGAGGGGTTGCTATTTACATTATATTAAGAAGTTCTACGCCGAGTCGCAGATCGTAAATCTATTGCCAATGTGAAGAGGATATTATTTTTAAGCTTGCGGAGAGGTGGCAGTGAAGCCACTCATTTTAGAAGGTATCATAGTGCTACAACTTCACACTGCAGTCATTCGCCTATCCAATGCAATAAGTTCTGACTTTTCCAAAATGCTTTGTTTGTTATGTGTTGTGATAGCTAGGCTATCTAATCTCTGAACAATGCTTACCTAGTTCAATACTCTATCGCCTTCTTAATTTTATCATACACCCCTATTCAAAGTTAGTTATTCGTTTTTCGCGCGTCTCTTTCAACACTTACTCGCAACATCTGGGATATTAAACCTCTCAAACAATAATCCCATATGTATACTCCACCCAGCCACCCTCATCACAGGTGCTTCAAGTCGGAGAAAAGTCTCTTTATCCTCCTGAATACTCGCGGCGACTTCAGCTCCTATGCCAGCGTTGACCATGCTCTCATGGACCACCAGGCACCTGCCGGTCTTTTGTACACTCTTCAGCACACATTCTTTGTCCCAAGGATATACCGTCCGAAGGTCAATCAGCTCTATGCTGATGCCGAAATCTTTCTCTGCCTTCTCGATGGCTGCGCTGCAGGTGTAAAGAGGGTGGCCGTAAGAAACAATAGTGAGATTCTTTCCTTCCTTCAAGATTTCGGCCTTTGATAATGGAAGGGTGTACAAAGCAGTTGGAACCTGTTCAACTGCAGCTCGATACAAGGCTTTTGGTTCCATGAAAACACAAGGATCGCCACTTGCTATCGCGGAAAGTAGCAAGCCCTTAGCTTGGATGGGAGATCTAGGCATTATGACTCGTAGACCCGGGATGTGTGTGAACAGACTTTCGGGAGACTGAGAATGATATCTATGTACCATTAGTGACGTCCGCGTATAATATCGCATAGACTCACAGAGCTCCATGCCCGACACCACCACAAGGCATCCGAACCGTCAGTCCTCCAACATGTCTCCCCTCAGTACCATCCCTATATCTGAACTTCGCAGCTTCATTAACCAATTGATCAAAAGCCGGATACACATAATCCGCAAACTGAATTTCAGCCACAGCCTTCATCCCTTCCGCAGCAGCACCAATCGCAAATCCTACAATACCCTGTTCACTCAATGGTGTATTGAAAACTCTCTCACTCCCATAGTTCTCCGCAAGCTTCATACTGCATCGAAAGACCCCACCGAAAGCAACATCTTCGCCGAAGAGGATAACCGAATCGTCCTCAGCCAGAGAAAGGGAGAGAGCATCGTTGATCGATTGAAAGAGGTTCATTCGCTTTGTAGTTCCATTCCGTACTTCGGGAGAGAGTTCAGGGTTCTGTAGAGCAGATTGGGAACTGTGGGCGAGGAGCGGGGTTGTAGCGTAGTCTGTGGAGATGTTCAGGCGGGCATTTGGAGGAAGTGTTGAGTAGAGACGGTGTGTTTGTGTCTTCAAAACATTGTTGAAAGGAAATTTTGAGGAGGTTATCCCTCGTCCATACATTCTAGCTGTTGACTGCATGCTGTGTAGGTCGCACAACAGAATATAAGAAGGTATTCATGGTTGATAGTTGTAGGTCGAATTGAGGGGGTGTTAGAAGGTCATACATAGCCGATACTACCCGCCCCCGCCATCTTATCTGTGAAGCTAGAATATGAGCATTTTAACTCTCATGCAAATTTCGAAAAAGGAAAGGGAAAAAGGGAAAAAGGGAAAAAGAAAAAAAGGAAGGGCTCTGAATTATTTACAATGGACTATTGTGAAACGATAAAACTTGGCGGTCTCAAAATCTATCTACGCTGGGACATTCGTCCGTACGCATCCACATGGTGGATCGCTTTCTAAGATATCGACTCGGCGATAATTGCCCTGCCAACGGTTGAAAGTAAATTCAAGTGGATGCATCTAGAAAGACACGCAATGGCGTCGTCAATGCCAGCAAGCCATTCAGTTTCTTGTACAATATTCATGTTTCTTATTTATAGCGAATTGTTTTGAAATTTAGACGCAAAGCACAGCTCACCGAATAGCGACAGCGAAAGATATGGCTCCTCGCGAATCACCGCGTCCACGAAAACGCCATCGCCATCACAATGACAAAAGGAGGTCGCAGGGTGGGACACCGAGGAGATCGAGACATGAAGCAACATCTTCTCATACAGAATCGCAGGCATTATCTGCAGATTCCTTAGCAAAGCTGAACCAACTCAATCAACGGGAGAGAACAAAACCTCAAGAAGTTACACCGAAGAAAACAAGGCGGAAACGGGAAAGAGAAGTAGTCGATGAGCAGATTGTGGTAGAGAGGAGTAGGAAACAACATAAGAGAAAGAAGCGGAGGGTAGTCAGTGGAGCTCTACTAGAAGAGGGGAACGGAGAGAAGCTGAGAGGATTGAGAGGTGGAGCCAGGTCAGAAGAGCAGTACCAAGAGGGGGAAAGTCGAAAAAAGAAGTTCTGTAGGTCACCATCCTACTGTAAAAGTCGAACCAGATACTAATTTGTCATAAGGGATAATTGGTGTGGTTGCTTTGGTGGTATTGATCATTATAATTGTTGTCGCCGTGGTGGTGAGCAAAAAGAAGAGTGGAGGAAGCTCAAACTCGAGCTCAAATTCAACAAGCGAAGCCGGTAAACCATCGAACTCGAATCTCAACGGAATTGACGAATCGAGTATTCCAGCCGGGGCGAAAGGGACAGATCTTGACCCGTTTTCTTGGTACGATACAACAGACTTCAATGTTACTTATACAAATGAGACAGTGGGGGATCTTCCAATCATGGGCTTGAACTCTACTTGGGATGATTCGACGACTGCAAATCCAAATGTTCCAGCAATTGGATCTGCTTGGGGATCGTACGAAGATAGGCCAGCGCGAGGGGTGAATATTGGAGGATGGCTTTCCCTGGAACCTTTTATCACTCCATCACTCTTCAGCGGCGGTATTGTTGATGAATACACCTTGACTCAATCGTTAGGAACGAATGCAAAAGCAACCCTGGAAAAGCATTACGCTACCTTTGTGAGCGAGCAAACGTTTAAGGATATAGCTGATGCTGGGCTTGATCATGTACGAATACCATTTTCGTACTGGGCTGTGGTCACCTACGACGGTGATCCATATGTCTACAGGACTTCTTGGAGATACTTGTTACGGGGCATTGAGTGGGCGCGAAAATATGGACTTCGGATCAATTTAGATGTCCATGGACTACCTGGAAGCCAGAATGGATGGAATCACAGCGGGCGTTTAGGACCCATTGGATGGCTAAATGGTACAGATGGCACTCTCAATGCACAAAGATCACTCGACCTCCACGACCGACTCTCAAAATTCTTTGCCCAGGATCGTTACAAGAACATTATCGCCTTCTACGGTTTGTGTAATGAGCCCAAAATGACCGCTCTCAATACCACAGATGTGTTAGATTGGACCACCAGCGCTTTCACCACAGTCCGCAACAACGGCATTGACGCCTATGTCGTCTTTGGCGACGGCTTCATGGGCCTCGCTAATTGGCAGGGCAAATTACAAGGCAACAGCGGCCTAATTCTTGATGTACACCAATATGTAATTTTCAATGCGGATCAGATAGCCTACAACCACAGCAAGAAAGTCACCTATGTCTGCAGCGACACTGGTGGCGGATGGATCCAGCAGTCTGAGCAGAGCATGAATGTCGCCACTGGTTTTGGGCCTACCATCTTCGCCGAATGGTCGCAAGCCGACACAGACTGCGCACCAAATTTGAACAACGTTGGCGCCGGCACTCGCTGGGAAGGAGACTACGACATCGGCGACTCGAGCACCACGGTATCGTCTCCTGACTGCCCCACCAAGAACTCTCAGTGCTCGTGTGACAGCGCGAACGGGGATCCAAGTACGTATAGTGATACGTACAAGCAGTTCTTACAGATGTTTGCCGAGGCGCAGATGGCGAGTTTTGAGAAGGGCTGGGGATGGTTCTACTGGACTTGGGTTACAGAGGATGCGACACAGTGGAGTTATCAGTTGGGTATGGCAGCTGGTATACTGCCTAAGAAAGCGTATGCGCCTGATTTTAACTGTTCTTCAACCGTCCCGAGTTTTTCGGGCCTGCCGGAGACCTATTGATGAAGGCTGGTATATATGACGAATTGAACGAGATATAAATTGATGATTACGTCTAAATAAGGGAATAGGTCTGGCAGCTCGGTGGCGTTTGGGAAGCAAGGAGTCCTGTTGAATAATCATGTGAATAGCTATTTAAATCAAATACTGCGTCCGCTTTTTCAAAAAATGAACAATTCCATATCAGTATGGGACTTACATCATACCTAAACTAGCTACTTTCACTGCTATGATATATATACACATGGCTTTGCAGCAGTCATCATCTCGTTTTGAAGAACATTCCCCTTTTCGCTTCGCTTAATCCCATTCTCCGCTTTTCTCGCATCGCCTTATCCGTCGTCGTATCTTTGCTTATAGATTTGCCGAAGCAATATACAGCTTTTCTTTCCTCTCTCTCGGTCGATACCAGGTTCTTGGATTTACGAAGAGCTACTTGACGCAGACCATATGCGCAGTGGAAAACAGGCGCCTACTCCGTATAGGCGGTTAGAAGAGAGTTGCTGTGCCGCTATGGTAACAAGGGGCCTGTGCACTTCCAAATTTAGCTTTATATCGCTTCATATATTTTTGTTGTCTGATTGGATCCATGTTACATTTTGAATTTAGACTTCTTTAATCCGCAACTCTCTGAAGATTATCACAAGTCCTAATAATAATCTACAATTCGTAAGTTTACTGGAACTTGACTTTCTATTTATATATATGCTGAGGCTGAGCCCCTAAAGTCTTGGCAGCCTGCGGCACAGTTTGTGATGGCAGGACATGATTTGACGTCTTGTACGAAGTACGAGCGGGCTTATGTAGCCCACCGTTAGCAATGTTCCTTTGGATAAGGCTGCACCGACCTGGTGGACCTACCTTGAATATATTTTTTCTGAATCTACACATCTCCTCAGTCGTTCGAAAATGATTGACAATCAGAGACGGAACATGACCATAATATAAGCAAATCGCGCTGGTTCAAACGGTTCAAACATGCCCGGCATGGAGAGAATATCACGACGACCGTTATCAGCATCAGCTCCTACCGATGTTTCTTTACTCGGCCATTCAAGCAAAATGTACAAGAGTATTCCCACCAGCAATATTGAAATGCATCCTATATCGGACGACGATGGCCCCGGCACCAGTCCACCCGGCGTCTCTAGCTACCAAGTGTCGAGGGAATGGAAGCCTATAATGCTGCGCAGAGGCCCGGGTATGCTTCTGGTTTTGTCGTGTGCGGCACTCGTAGGCCTGCTGGAGGGTTTCGACGTTATTGCTCGTCACCGTCGAGGCTTCGATGCGGAAAATAAGACTTCGGTCCGTTTGGCCCGCTACCTTCCTACTGTCATTGTGATTATGCTTGGATTTGCCTGGAAATCGCTTGTTCAAGATCTCAAACTTGTTACACCATTCTCAGCAATGTCATCAAATTGGACAGAGTCACGGAAATCGGTATTGCTGGACTACGTCGATCCTCTTGAATTCAGATCCGTTTGGACCTCCTTTAATTATCGGCATTGGGCCATGTCCCTCGGCCTATTAGTTGGTCTACTCTGCGGGATTCTGGTACCATGTAAGTATATCTATCTACACCCATTTATCCCTGCATGATGAAATTCCGCAGACAAACTCGATTTAGGTTCTGGTATATCACTAACGCAAAGTCTTCCAGTGGCAAATTCTTTGACTTTCGTAAGTCTTTATATGCCAGTAAGCCGACATACTACTATCATTCAAAATTCGCGGTTTTCATTACCTGGGGCTTTATCAGACAACAACGGTACTCTAACCATACCTTGGACCTACCAAGGAAATCAACCCTATGCAGCAGTAACTTCTTCTCGGCAACCTAATGGGAAGAATGCTCCATGGACTTCCGATGATTTTGCCTTTGAATCTTTCAATATCGCGCCCTGGTCAAAAGCAAATGCCACCATTTCTGCGACGGTACAGGCATTCAATGCTACCTTCGAATGCTCTAGGATGGCTTTACATCTCTCCAACACATCAACAGGTTTTTACCTGTACGCTAACCAAGATGACCTCTCCAAAGCACAATGCCACTCGTCATTCAATCTAACGATCCCAACTGCCAATAGCAATATCACATCAGATCTAGGCTTCCTGAATGTTACCGACTGCTCTGGGGATGGTACGGATATACGAATGCTTGCCACGGTGGTCGCCAATCCTCCAGACTATACGGCTCTTTACGAAAACCACAAAGCGAATACAACAGCTGCCACTCTTTTATGCAAGCCGCATTATTTCAGTTATGACGCCGAAATTCGCGCGAATGGAACTACCGGTGACATCTTGGATTTTAATATATCTAAAGAGGCCCCACAAAGTGTAAATATTAGTACAACTCTTCCAGTTATTCTTACTTATCTAAACAATCCTCGTAAGTAGAGAGCTCCGGGTACGTACCTACATTTCTGAGGTCATGAGCTGACTTTCAAATACACTAGTGGATGAGAGTTCCCAGTCAGCATACGTGCTTGATAAGGCTGGTCCATTTGCTAGCTTTCAGGTGCCACAAGCAACATTCAACAATTACACAGAGTATGCGTCAGGATATATTTCATCTGGGACCTCGAGCATGGACCCTTTTTTTGAGCAATTGTTTAGTTCCGACCGTACTGCTTCGGACTATATTGCTAATCCCCTTCTCTTTGAGTCAGAGATGTCAGTTCTTGGAAACACCCTCTTGACACAGATCGTCAGTTCGTTCGCGAGGGCGAACGTCTCACTTCCGCTGGATGGATATGTCACTCTGCATGAGTCAAGACTTCTTGTAAGAGCTGGTGCATTGAGGGCCATGCAAGGCATTGTTGCATTCATGGGAATTGTTGTTATTCTCTGTTGTACGGTCTTGCGGCCACAAACTCGACTGACCGAAGACCCCGGTAACCTTGCAGCGATATCAGTAATTCTCAATACCTCTGAAGCTTCGATAGAGAAGAAACTTGCAAAGGAAGTCATGTCAGGCACACTTGCATCAAAAGAAGCATTGGATGGCTCACAGTGGCTGCTGTCGCATTCTGAGAACGGACATGCTGTAATTCAATCGGCAGACACTAGGGAAGGGCAACTTAGTGGGGCTCAAGAGGTCAGTCTTTTCCTTCTGGTAAAGTCCAGCAAGTGCATGTGAACGTAAGATGGCACTTCTCTACCATCTAAATGTCGGCAGATGAGAAGAGGTTTACATACAGTGGCTAGAGAGCGACCCCGGTTATTAGTGTACCGCTTGTAATACCTACAGCCAAGCCTTTTCTTGCTCCATAACCATGGTCGCTTTTATTACGAAACTCGAGATTCAAATCAAGTCAGAGCTGATATTTGTGGTCAGGAGAAGCTACGGGAAGACGTAAAGCCAGAAGGTTATCAGCCATTTGCATTTCGTCTATACGCTATGATCATGCTTGCCGTGGCGATTTGTGCGGTCATCATTAGCCTCGCTCTTCTGCTGAGGTTCTCTAGAGAAACAGGTGGATTTGTGGCATCAACATCGGATATATCAGCGGCATGGTCGTTTATTCCCTCTCTAATTCTCGTGCTCCTTGGATACTGGTAGGCATATTCTCTACCGGAATGTTGATCCCCTATGGGAGCTGAGGGGCCTCGGAGCTGTTTCAAAAGCCCATATGCGATCTCCCGCTACAGCTCTCAAACCCCGCGGTCCTCAAAGATTTTAACTATGCTAATTCTTTGGGACAGGCTTGCAAGTGTTTACGGCGTTCTACAAACGATGACTCCGTATGTTGCTTTACGAAAACCTTCTGGATCCAGTACCCTACAATCAAGCAACCACAGCTCCGTTTTGTTGACACCAATCTATGCAATTCTCCGCTTTGGAAGTATTGCCCTAGCAGTAAGCTCGATTATTGCTGTTTCTTTCCCGGCAGTCAAAGTCTTAGCTGCAGGTTTATACGTAACGACGGGCTCTACTGTGCTACACCATGTCCAAGCGACGATCGACACCAGCATTACAGACAGGCTCGAGGCTATGTACGACGAATTCCCCGCGGTAACTAGTGTAACCGATGATAGCGATAGAATTACAGCACAGGTCGATTCGATGGTTAAGCAAGCGTCGGCCTTCGCTGAGTGGATTACAATTTTAGATTTCGGGGTGTTACCAAGAGCCGGCACTTTAGATAATCTTGTGTTCAGCAACTTGACGCAGTTGACCTCGAAATACGTCACACAAGACACGGTCGGGGATATGGTTGCCATGAGGATCCCAGCAATCGCCATCAATGTGACCTGCTCAGCATGTAAGTAACCGATTTGTTTGTCTCGCTTCCTCAATAGGGCTGTGTTACTACTCCCGAAATATGTTTTATCCTTCTCGATTCTTGCTCTTTATAGGCAAGGAAACATGGCACTAATTTGTGGTAGTGGGACCGGAGAATTTTGCCACTTGGGTCACAGACGAAAGTTCGAGCAGGGCGAACTACACCACATTTGACTTCACCACAAAGTGCCAAACTACAGCCTGTAATAACTCAGTCGATAATGTTAGTCTTGGCTTTGGCTCCCTAGGCAATGAATGGCAAAAGTCTGGATATCAAGGATCTACAAGCTCTGGCTCTACTGTCTCTCATCGTTATCAGGGGGCTGCCTCGGTCGGAGGCTTAGTCAAACTTGGAAATCTCACAACATTCGACACACCCTATTTACTTACGCTCGGAGATTTCCCCAATTTCAATGATCCATTTGTCAACCTGACAAAGATTTCAAATGAATCGACTCTACTTCTACCTGGAATGTTCAATGCGACCGTATCACTACAACAAGTAGCAGTCATTTGCAACAAGGCTTTCTGGGAGGTTGATGTCGACGTTGAAATCACCAGAAGTGTCAAATCTGGCATTGGCGGCACCACAATTCTACCATGGGGTATTTCCGGGTATGACAAGGGGTCTATTGAGTACAAACGACAGTACAGGAATGCCACCCCAGAATGGGCATATCCAAAACAGACTATCCGAAGCCAATACAATGCCGACGAAGACAGCTTGATCAACAGCGACACGCTATGGCCCACGCCGCCCAAGAGTACCAATGTCTACGAGCTCCTGGCCGCTTACCAACAGTTCCAAGTCGCAATCTCAGCGGGCTTATGGATGCTGCACAACTAGCCACGGCGGTAGAACACGTCTGGACGTCATACGCTGCGCAGATGCTCACAGAACTGCGCCCGCACGCGTTGGAAAACGCATCAGCAAGCAGTACGCAGATTATGTCTGGCAAGCTATATACTCCCGTAATCCGCATCAAGCAGGACACTAGTATCACGATTGCAGTTTGCACACTGCTTTTCTTGATGCTAGGCGGGCTGGTTTACATCTTTGTCACTTTTCAGCGGGAGAGCTTGATGGCGAGGCCGCCGAGCAGTATCGCGGCACAGATGTCGCTGCTAGCCGGCAGCGAGTTGGTGAAGCAGTTGAGACAAGATGGGGTTCGCTCTGTGGCCGAGACGGGCTTGTGGCGGGAGAGGTTCCAATTGGGGTGGTGGCCGGGACACGATGCATCTACTGGGGAAGCGACGTGGAGGTGGGGTATCGATGTTGTTAGGGACGGAAACCCGCCCAAATGATTAAATAGTGGAGATATGAGAGTTTGAATAGAATGACTCTTGATAGTTCACAAGCAGTATTCCAAGTGCCGTAGAGAAGATGCACTTTGCTACATATTCGCTTCCCCATCCCCATCCCCATCTTCCCCTTTTCCATCCTCGCTTAATTCTGTACTAGATGGTCAATCGAAACCACTGCCACCACGTCATAGTTTTGATTGCCATGAGTCTTGATTATCCGTGAGAAAAGAAGAACGAACGATCAATCTGCGCTCTGCTACCAATCCTACTTAAACCCAGAATCAGGTATCGCGACTTCTAATCATGCCAGGGAAAGGAGGAATAAGTAGTTAATCTAAGAAAGTAATCATACACATAGGAACCGCTAAGGGCAATGGTTTCAAGCACATTCCATTGATGCGTCTGGGGCAAGGAATTGATAAGTCTAGTCGATTAATCTTACACATAGTAAACAGTTCAACATCCTATTGGGTATAATCTGGTCTTTAGCCACACTCCGCAGCATCTATGCTCGCAGCGCTTATGCCTTGGGCAGACTCTCAACTGCCGAAACGAACGTCTCAAGCGGTGGTCTCTCCGCACTCACCACCTCTCCATTCTCAACCACCTGCGCTCCTGCTTCAGAAGTTACAGAAGCGGTATTAACATTCTCATTTTCCTTCCCCCTCGCATTCCCGTCAACAGAGGTTCTGATCGCAGCTCCAGGAGCCTCATTCTTCACTCCACTGTCCTTCACGCCCTGAATTCGTACATCATCCGCAGGAGGAACGCCGACAGAGCTGGTCAACGTCGTCATACTGGCCGTAGAATGGTGACCCTTCAAGGTGAATGGGAAGGCAATACCACCAGCCTTTGGGCGCTTGCGGCCGAAGTCATCTTGTTCATTCGTTGGGACCCGGACGATGATCGATGGGGTGCTAGGAGCTTCGTCTTTCGTAGGGCTAGCTATAAAGTTCGGAACAAGGTTCGGGTCGCTGGGTTCGCCGGCTTCGGCTTTCTTTGCAAACAATACTGAAGCAGGAGTATTTTCATCCACTCCGTCCTCCACGTCAGCCTGATGCTCGTCTTTGACAATACGCCTGCGAGATCTACTGCGGCTGTAATTTGCCGTCTCGAGCTTCTTGCCCTGGCTTGTCTTGGTGTCGTCTAATGGCCTTGCACCCACTCCATCAGCGGCAGTAGCAACCACAGTATCGGGCTCCCTGTCAGCTTCCTGTTCTCGCTCGATGGTTGTCTCGTCGTGCTTGCTGCCCCAAAGAGCCCACAAGCTCATTCCCATGCTTCGTGTCTTCTTCTCTTCCCTGAGATCTTCTCCCATCTTTCTCCTACCAGCCAAGGCAGAAGGTGGCGGTACTTCCCCATCACCAAACCCTTGGTAACCTTTCGCCATCTCCTTGGCTCTCTGCTTCTGGATCTTCCTCTTCGATGACGCAAATTTGGTGTCCCATTCCATCTTTGCTGTCATCCATTTCTTGACTGGACCTTGCTTGATGACACCGATATCACTAGAAGCCATTTTGCATCCTGGCAGCTCGGATGCAGGTTCAAGCTCAGACGTGTTTCCATGCCTGTCGACTCGTTGGCGGATCATATGGCTTTTGAATGGCGGGAGAGGATCTCCAGCCTTGCCCACTTGACCTGTCGCTGATGTCGCTGCATTTTTGGTCTGCTAATTGGTTAACAAATTATCAGATACCTTTTGGGAGCTCATTACCTTCTCGTCGATTACCTCGTCTTCATCGTCCGAGGAGCGAGAGATAATGGAAACATCGTCATCGTCCAGGATTTCGATTTCAGTATCCTGTGCTCTTGCCAAAGCCCACGCGCCGAATTGGGCAATTGATCGATACATATATTTCGCAGGGCGAGTGAAACTCAGGGTAGGTGCCACGTGACAGAGATCGTCCCAAATTTGCAATTGCACATCGGTAGGTTTCCAGCGATTAACCTGATTCCTGTTATGATCGTGTGGACTCTCGTCCAGGAACGCGTCACCTGGCGGGTATTTTGCTGGGTTTGCTGCTTTGTGAGCTAGGTATATTTGCTCGTCTCTGAGCATTTCGCCCCCTCCAACCATGATGAGCAAGGGCGGTAGCCCTCCAAGAGATGGTTGCAGAACAGGGGAGACTAAAGGATGAGACATTAGCTGATTCGAAGCATACATCTGGATTTGGTCTTTGATTTCGACCAATTTCCCATCGATCATAATTGACAACTCATGACCAGGACCAGGAACAGTATTTGCAGCAGGTCCAGTACCATCATTTGTAGCAGTACCAGTTGCGGCTGTGTCATTTTTAGTGCCAGCATCTGGGTGTTGATTTATATGGAACCCTTGGACCGCATCTGCTTCGCTTTCTTGGGGAGAAGAAACGTGCTCGTTAGTCACCAATTTCTTTACAATTTGTTCTTCCATCGCCAGCATGTCGTCAGTATTTGGAGGAGGCCATGAGGGCGACGGCTTTTGATGGAATCCATGTGGAGGAATATAGTCCAATGGGTTATCGCCAGCAACACTAGGGAATGAGTGTGTCAGGTCGACCCAAGGTGATATAAGGACAGCTCCGGCTGGCAGCGGGATGCCCCGATCTCGCATTACCACCAACATGCTATCTACATTAGCTGGAAATCCAATAATATGCTCATACAACGCCCACCTTAATACCATACCCCCTCCAGCAGAGTCTCCGGCCAGGATGATGGTTGTTGGATCCTGAACGGTGAGGAGATATAGGTATGCAGCCAAACAATCATGGAGCCCACAGGGGAAGGGAAATTGAGGAGCTAATCGGTACCGCGCTATAATAAATCAGAATTGACTCGAGTTTCACAAGTTCACAATACTCACTATAAATGGTTAGTTTTATAAAGTCTCACGGTTCAAGGAGACTTACCGAGCAAACACTCTAGCTTTCAGTTTCCTAGCATGTCTCTGCATCTGGTATCTATGCTCATCCACACTTCCAAAGAAGTACGCGCCTCCATGCACATACAACATTACCCTCTTCCCCGGATCACTCATGCGCTTCCTTTCCTGATAATCGGCTTTCATCTCAATCCACTCAGCCTTCAAATCGCCCCCCGGTCTGCGCCACTGCCACCAAGTCTTCCCGCCAACTTTCTCAATACCATGGTGCCCCAATTGTTGTTGTATAGCTTCCGCTGCCTTTGTGATGTACTCCTGCTCGATCTTGACCTCGTCTACCCTGACCCACGTAGGATGAGGCACCCATTGGGACGTGAAGCGCTGGACATCTTCGACGGTGTGGTGGGACGCGTAGAGCAAGAATTTCTTGATCAGGTTGAGGCCCTCGTCGTAGGAAATCTGCGCCGTGGGTTTCTGCGCGCGTGTTTTGCGATTGAGATACTGTTTCGTTAGCAGTTGTTTGGCTTGCGAACTGGGATACTCACATGGTTAAAGAAGGTCTGGATGACAGCGGGAGTCACGGCAGAACCGACTGTTGCTGTATTAAACACCATTGCTGCTCTCCTTTCTTCGACTCCTAGGAAGGGCGTAGCAGCGTAGCTCTGCAGTGATGTAGAATGACTGCTTCGTACAAACAAGCAAGCAAGCAAATGACAGCAAGAGATAATTGGTCAATCACTCGGTATTACACATTAATGAAGGGGAGGAAGAAAACACAGGATGCTTCATCAAGCAATAAGTACTAGATCACTCCTTTCTTATTTCAGTTAGGATGAGAGATCACCCCCAAGTTCACTCTCCACACACGTCATCTTTCTAAGCGAGGAAGTGACAGGGCCCCTTCCCTTGTCGGTAAATCTTTATGCCGGCATAATTTCTTGACTGCGCGCGGGGCGTGGGGCGTGCACAAAACTTTTATATTCGCCCTCTAAATATCAACCCCTCATTCAACCACCATGGCATCCGCGACAGAGCTTCCTGGCCCTATGGAAGTCAGCGAAAGCAGTACGTCGCAAGGTGCGCCTTCGCCCGGTACGTTTCATTAAACTCCTTCCCAAAGAAACATTGTGAGGCTGATGTACAACAAAAGCAAAATGCCAAGCCCAATTCGAACTCGGCACCACCCTCTCCCTCTTCCTCTGGCCCTCCCTCTCCCTCGCCGTCTCCAACAACTGGGGCGGAGCCGATAGCGCCGACAAGCGCGAATGGTTCGCGCAAACCACCATCGACGTCCTGAACGACGAGCCAGACGCAGACACAGAATGGCTAGAGACGTTCCTGTTGAATGTGATGCTGGATGAGTTTGAGGTCAACGTGGATGATGAGAGTGCGTTTGAGGTTGCGGAGCAGGTGCTGAGGATTAGGAAAAACTGTGGCAGGGGCGCGTTCGGGGAGGTGGAAGCGTTGAATGGGAAGTGGCAGGCGAAGGGCGGGCAGAAGATGGGGGATATGTTTGTTAAGAAGGAGAGGGATGAGAGGGAGGATGAGACGAGTGGGAGTGAGGACGAGGACGAGGAAGAAGAGGGAGGGGTGGATGTTGAGATGGAAGACGCGCCCCAGTTGGTGAGGGCGAAGGAGCCTGATGTACCTCAGGTGGATGAGGATGGGTTTACGAAGGTCACTAAGAAGAAGAGGTGAAATCTTGATAGAGAGGAAACACCTAGAGGTATATTGGCGTTGAATTGTTGCATGGAAAGGGTGGCGTTGGGAGGATATCAAAATTGGGCCATTGTCCACAACAAATAGAGATATTTTGAGAAAGGTCTCAGGTCTGGACCTGTAGCACTTCGCTAGTACCGAATTCGTTCTTCGAGATCCAGCGATGATCCAGCAATGAATTTTCGGTGCTGTTTGCTAAGTTCGAAATCATAAATACTCTGCTTGCCGATTGCGAATAGTTGCAGTATCCGCATCTAGTCCTAAGCACCACCAAAAATATCCAGCAAACAATGACTCCTCCGACAAGCCGAAGCTCAAGAGCCTCCAGCTTAGGTAGTCTTAAGTAAGAGGATCGTTTGACCCGTATTGACCTTCTCCAAGTAACCTCAACCCAAGGCCTCACGAAGAATATCGTCCTATAGCTAATTTGCAAAACATCGCCACCAACAGCCTATGCACTCATCCCGCGGTCTAGACATGCGGGATCTCTGGGTCCGCCGGGAATGACCAGCAAAGAAAAGCCCCCGAAAACCATCCATAGAAGCTGAACTGATTTGTCGAAAAAGATGCATAGCGCTCTGGGCGGTGTCAAGCCTCGCGGATTCAGTTCATCAAAGCTGTCAATGCATCAGCGCGCCGCGCCGCCTTTGAGGTTTGATCGAAAGAGGATCCAGGAAGCGAGTCCAAGGTCCTGGGAGTCTTAGAGCAAGGGTAGGTAGGTTGGGGCAGATGCTGTATAACCAGAGAGGATGCAGATCGGGTTATTAAATGGGGACGAACGCTTGGGTTCTTTGGAACCCAGAAGCAAACCATCCCATTGGAAGTTTTGCATGGTGGTGAGTCTGCATGGGAGACAGGATTCCGCTATTCAGACAGGCTTGCAGGAAATGAATGGCTTGAGCACGAGAAGATAGATTATAGAGCTTTGTGTGATTGATAGATGGGGAACACGGGTTTGGGTATAGAATGGCTAGATAATGGCTTGAAGCAGGTGACGGAGAGATGGGCTTGGCGATAATATATAAGTGTAGTGATTGATCGATGAAGGATTAATGAGAGCGAATCATGGGAGACTTCCTTGTTGACTTTTGATAACTCAAGTAAAGGTATATGCGATGCAGATAAAATGACTCTGGGGTTTCTTCCGTACTCGAGTACCACATGATTGCTTTAAAGCTATAATAGAAAATTTTTCTGCGAATCAAAGCCGACTGAAAATGACAAAGGAGAGCAGAAGAACTACAACTACTACTCTGTGAATACCTGCCATTCTGTAAAAGCCGATATCGCACATTCTCTCTCTCAACTAGGAGAAAGCAATTCGGTTTCACTGGAACGGTTGTGAATGAATATGCGCCAAGGGAAGGGCAATATATCGACGGAGAAATATGTATGCTCACTTCGGACTAATAATAAGTAAGTAATTGAGAGGATGGAAGCAAAAACATGTGAATAGGATCTAGAACGGCGGGGGATGGGCTGGACTATTCGCCATGTTCCGTCCCGAAGGCGTTGGTGTTGGGTGGAAATGGGAGCGGGAGCCAATCCCAGGACAGTGGATGGCGAGCATCGATGTAATGCGGGGAGAGAGGAGGGGCTGAAGGGTAAAGTCGGGGACCAGTTGGATAGTAAAGATACCTAGGTACTTACTCCGTATCAACCATGCAGATATACGTAGATAGAAACTGTAGGGTAGGGTAGGTGTAGGGTACGGTATTCCCATTCCCATTCCCGATGCATCCCATCCATCCCATCCCATTCCATGCTGTTGTCTCTTTGAGCCGCAGTGCTCGCGTGACGGTTCCAGTTATTTCAAGCTGCGTATCTGCTGCATCTGCTGCATCTACTCTGTATGTCTTTGTCTGCGTCTGCATCTGTGTAAAAGCTTACTTCCTTGGTGCGTCTGCAGTCTGGGTGTGATATAACCCGATGTTCTTCACTTGTATAACCCTGTATATATGTACGAGTACGAGCACATGTGTAAGGTTATCTACTCCGTACAGTATCTGCCTTTTGCCTTGCCTTACCTTACCTTGCCTCACCTTGCCTTACCCTGCCAATAACAAGCTTCCGCTCATGCGCAAACTCTACGGAGGTATAATCGATTAGTTGAAACTCACTGCTCAGATGCATCTTCTCCGTATTGCTCCGTATCCCTCCGAACTGCTCTGCCGTGTTGTTTTCGAGCTGTCGTGCAAAGCCCCATTTGGCGGGGATTGGTTGGCCGGTAGTCCGCTCTGATTGGCCCACCCCAGCCCTGGCTTCAACTCCCTCGGCCTTAGACGCTTCCTAAACACGCTCCTAGACTTCTTCCATCATACAAACCTTCCAGCCAGACCCGATCCCTTATCCATAGCCGAACTAACTTCAGGATGGCCACGTCTTTAAATAACTCCAAGGACCCCGTCGAAAGATCCCATTCCCCATATCAAGATCCTCGTACACTCGGTCCCAAATCCAAGATTCTTGCAACCAGAACCTCCAATTTCCACTCTACCTCTCTCAGAACAATGGTCACCAATACAGTCAACAAGACAGCTCTTCACCCTAGTGGTGTCCAGTACGTTATTCTACTCCACCAGCTCTGTCTACATCAGAAACGACATTGATGCCTTTTGCATTCAAGAGAAGTAAACTAACATTCCTGACAGGCCCTCAAAAGAGCACACTGAGCTCGAGGAAGAATTGCATGAAAAGGCACATATCGACTATGATCGTGTAGCAATTGTAAGTATCTGCACATTCCTGCCCGATTCTAAGCTTCCGTAACTAACCACTCTCCTCCCCAGGTACCCAACCCAAGTGTTGCAGCTCTCTACGAAGATGCCCTCGTCTACGAAACTGGGTCTGCTATGACCTCGACCGGTGCCCTCACCGCATACTCGGGAGCAAAGACTGGTCGATCGCCGTTAGATAAACGTATTGTCAAGGAGCCAACATCAGAGAATGAGATCTGGTGGGGGTAAGTGGTCAAAGAAATCCCTCAATCTGTGCCACCTTTCTAACACTGATACAGACCTGTGAACAAGCCGATGACGCCTGAGGTAAGACCGTTCTGGTATCTCGAATGCTACAACATCTCCTTCCATTAGACCGGTACCTTGCATTCTGTGCCTGTCCCAGCAGAAAGCCCTCTTCTCATGACAATTTCCTGGTCATATGCATCCATCTATTAGCTTTTTCTTTCATCGTTACAGCTTCTCTTTCCCAAAATTTTGGGATGAGTTCCTGTATCATCGGCTTCCATTCATCCTTCCTTTTCAGAGACGCTACTTTGAGGGGAAGCCGACTATAGCAGCCGACCATAGCCTCGCATCAACCCCGCATTTTGGTCGTGGTGCACTGTTATGTCATTGTGCTTGGCGTTCCCCGCGTCACGTGTCACCCCTCCATTACTTCTCTCACTTCCCCTAAAGGTTGTGAACATGACGCTGACTATCTATATCAGGTCTGGAAAATCAACAGAGAACGTGCTATCGATTACCTCAACACAAGAAACCGCATCTACGTAATCGACGGTTTTGCAGGATGGGATGAGAAGTACCGGATCAAGGTCCGGGTTGTCTGCGCTCGTGCCTACCATGCTCTCTTCATGCGCAACATGCTCATTCGACCTAGTCGAGAAGAGCTTGAGCACTTCCACCCCGACTACACCATTTACAATGCCGGATCATTCCCCGCAAACAGATATACCGAGGGTATGACCTCTGGTACCTCGGTAGCCATCAACTTCGCGGAAAAGGAGATGGTCATTCTCGGAACCGAATACGCCGGTGAGATGAAGAAGGGCGTCTTCACAGTTCTCTTCTATGAGATGCCTGTCAAGCACAATGTCCTCACTCTACACTCTTCTGCCAATGAGGGCAAGGATGGTGATGTTACCGTTTTCTTCGGTCTTTCTGGTACTGGCAAGACCACTCTCTCAGCCGACCCCCAGCGTATGTTGATTGGTGATGACGAGCACTGCTGGAGTGACCGTGGTGTCTTCAATATTGAAGGCGGCTGCTACGCCAAGTGTGTCGGTCTCTCAGCCGAGAAAGAGCCTGATATTTTCAACGCTATCAAGTTCGGCTCTGTACTCGAGAATGTTGTTTTCAGCCCAGAGACCCGCCATGTTGACTACGACGACACAACTCTCACCGAGAACACTCGATGCGCGTATCCTATTGAGTATATTGACAATGCCAAGATTCCTTGCTTGTCAACAAACCACCCCAGCAACATCATTCTCCTCACCTGTGATGCACGTGGTGTCCTCCCACCTATCTCGAAGCTTGACTCGGCTCAAACTATGTTCCATTTCATTTCTGGTTACACCTCGAAGATGGCAGGCACAGAAGATGGTGTAACGGAACCTCAAGCCACATTCTCTTCTTGCTTTGCGCAACCATTCTTGGCTCTGCACCCCATGCGATACGCCAAGATGCTAGCGGAGAAGATCGAGCAGCACAAGGCTAATGCTTGGTTACTAAACACCGGATGGGTTGGTGCTGGTGCTACCAGCGGTGGTAAACGTTGCCCGTAAGTAGATCTGAGTCTCAGACCTGAGAACAATGCTAACCAATGACAGACTCAAATACACACGTGCCATTCTTGACGCCATCCACTCGGGCGAGCTCTCAAAGGTGGAGTTCGAGACCTACGAGACTTTCAACCTTGCTGTACCTAAGACCTGCCCTGGTGTGCCCGCAGAGCTCCTGAACCCAAGCAACGCCTGGACTCAAGGAGGTGACAGTTTCAAGCAAGAGGTCACTAAGCTCGGTAGTCTCTTTGTTGAAAACTTCAAGAAGTACAAGTCTGAGGCTACAGAAGACGTTATTAAGGCAGGTCCAGATTTGACTACAGGTCCTGAATATGCCAGCAAAGCGGAGGAAATGCAAGATAAGCAGTACTACATGTAAGTGGGTAATGGCTCGAGTGGATTGGGGGCAATACAAATTGCATGGCGTTACATTTTGTCCCATTGTAGTATATTCTAGTCAGCGACACAAGTACGCAAGACATTGAGGATACATAAATTGAAGAACTTGAAGAACACCTCGGCGCCTTATTGAAGTGATTATTAGCGTTTCACAAGTGGAGATGTGAAAGAGATGACACAGGAGCGAGATATTGACTCTTAATAGTTTGGCGGAACAAAACATCCGCATGTAGCACAACAAAGCATTGGAAGGAATGCACAACACATGACATGACATTGATGAATATAGTAGAATTGATATTCCTTACATAAAACGTTCATGGCCAATGAGCAAGTTGGTGGAGTCGCGGAAAACCTCCGAGGTAGCGCTACAGCCCACTAACTAACTACACCAGCCAGCACATCTCAACAATGACTAGCCCAACGACAGCGACAGCGACAGCAAGCAAGCAAGCAAACACACTGCACTCCACTGCAACTCAACCCAACCCTACCCAACCAAACCGTGCTGTAGAGGCTTAATTGTACCTCGCGCAACACCGAATATGCAGCCGGAACACATGCAGCAATCGCAATCGCAATTGCAGACTCGCCCTCCTATCGTGGGACGTCGATCAACAAGTTCCATCCATTCCCAGACCAACTCGCCCGCTGCCAGCCCACCGCAGCCTGGCAAGCCCAAGACCCAGAAGCATGTAGTTCACGGTGGGCGCGCGTATGGGCATACAAGAGTACCTTCAGGCAAGGCGCTGCATAAGCTTACCAAAGTACACGGCAATGGCAATGAGGGCTCGACTACAGATCTGAAGAAACTGGGAAAGAACTCGTCTTCCTCGACGAACCTGAAAAAGAACTCCCCGCACGCCAATTTAAAGCGCAATCGTTCGTACGCCGACGTCCCTAAGCGACCAAAGTCATCAGGAGAGGTCACAAAGAGGCCGACATCAGTCCACTTTGAGATTGGCGATCAGGACGTGAATGGCGAGAGCAAGAGGGAGGTGGAGGCCGAGGTAGAGATTGAGGATGCCTGGGAAGAAGCAAGCTCCTCTGCATCACCAGCCTTGTCGCGCGCTCACTCACGCAACGGCCACTCCACAACCACCTCATCCTCCAAACCCAGCGCCAACAATTCACGCCCACAAACCCCATCACCCCTCGTTCAATCCCCTGGTCCGCACTCGAATGGCCCTCCACCTCCGCGTTCCCCAGCAGACGCAAAAGTCATTACCGAACGCCTGTTAAATCGCATCCCATCACATAACACCACAACGACAAAAATGTCACACACCCTCGCGACCGCAACGCCATCGAGCCGCTCTCCCCCCCTTATCCACGCCCAAAACAGAACCCTCCAGCTCCGCCGACCTCACCTCCCGCTTCGTCGATTCTTCAACCCCAACCCCCACA